TGCTATCTCGCATTTTTTTACCGCGCGGCGCGAGGCAAAGAAATGAAAGAGAGAAAAAAAAAAAAAAACCAGGAAGATAAAGAGCTGCCTGGTGCACTTTCGCCGTCGCAGCGATTAGAATCGACGGGCAGCCGCGCATTTCTTCGCGCGTCTAATTCAATCCGACTCCATTGGCAGAATTTCTTTCGCGCGACGACCGCGAAGACGCGCGGCAGCGCCACGATAGATTCATCAAGAGTTAATTTCTGCCTCTATTACGTGTTCGCTCGTCATAATGGCCGCGCGCGACAGCGAGATATTGCTCCGAGTGGAGGAAAAAAAGAAAAAGGCGAACCGTTTTCTCGGCTTGTTTTTTCGATGTCGCTTAATTACGGCGCGTTGCGCAATTCCAGCCGACGACATGAAAAAATGAACGGGAAAAGAGCAAGAGAGAGAAATCGGTATCCCGCCGTGCAATCAGTTGTAGTAGGTGTGCAATTTGTCGGCGCTCGTCACTGTCAGCGGTGCACGCGCTGCGATTACGCGTTTTGCAAGCGTCCGTTCTCGGCGCAGCGCTGACGCGCAACGAGCTCGCGAGCGCAAACGCGAGCCCACCTGGTCCCGCGTCCTCGTGGTCTTGAAGTCCTTGGTGGAGCCACCTCGCGACAACTTCATGCCTTCGACCCGGAATCCCAGCGTGGCCGTGCTGGATATGGTCTCGCGCCAGACCATGTACCTCGGCTTGGTGACGCCCTGAAGACGTCGCTCCTCGTCGCTCGGCGCGTTCGGGTCGATCTGCACCATCTTCTCGTACATGTCTTTGCGCAGCTGCGAGCCCACGCGAGGATCGGTCAGAACTCGCGCGGCAGCACTCGACTCGGAGGAGTACGGGCGGAAAAAAGCTGGATACCTTGGGTCGCTCCTTGGCCTTGGCGAGCTCGGACTCGAGGTAGGTGCGCACGCCCACCTTGCAGTCCATCACGCACGGACGCTCGAACTCGCCCAGCAGGTCCTGCAGCTGGAGGTACGACGCCACGACGGCGGCCCTGTCCTCGGGCGGCTTCTCGTTCGGGCACTCGTTCTCGGGCGCGTTCTCCTTTCGCTGCTGCAACAGGCGCGCGCCGTTACCACACAGCCCGCCGGCGCTCGCGCGCGCGCTCGTCACCTCCGACCGCAACTGGCCAGGCGTTCGCGAGAGAGCCACCTGATTCGCGCTTTGGCCGCGAGCGAGCGTTGACGCGCGACGCCCGGCAATTGGGCAACACTCCCGATGGAATGGCATTCTCATTCTAATGAGCCGCGCGCGCCTACGTCAGCGCTCACGGCTTCGGCTGCCAGAGAGAGAAAGAGCGAGAGAGAGGCGCGCTATCGCCGAGTCCGCGGCAAGGTCGCACTCACTTCGGTGACGTCGTTCTCCCTGACGTCGAGCACGCCCTTGTACTCGGGCACGAAGGGCCTGAGGACGTCGGCCATGAGCAGCCGGAAGCACTGCTCCTCCTGCGGGCAGAGCTTCTTGAGGATGGTGCCGGGCATGGGACCCGCGCGGAAGTTGCCCTGGTGGCCCGCCAGCTGCACCTGTCGACAACAAGTTTACGGCCCGTCAGTCTTGCGCGGGGAGGCTCGAGCGAGCGGACGCCGAGCGGAACGCCGAGCTCACCCATGGGTAGCGCTGCTTCTTGTAGGTCTGGAAGAAGGGGGTCCAGTGCACGAAGTTGCGCAGCTTCCGCCAGCCGGACACCTGTAACACACGCAGAAGCGCGCGCCGCCGACGATAAGCGCGCGCAAGGAATGCTCCGGCGGGGCGAGCGGCTCGCCCCGGCGCATTCTCCGCGCGTCCCGTCGCGAGGCATTGCTAGCGCGCGCGCGCGCGCGTCCGCGGTCGTACCTTGGCGGCGGTGGCGGCGCCGTCCGCGTCGGCGTCGAAGGCGGCGCCGGGGACGGCGTCGGCGGCGTCGGAGGCAACGCCGGGCGGCGCGTCTCGCTCGCGGTCCGAGTCCCACTCGCTGCTCAGGTCGTTGTCGCTGGGCTCGCCGAACTCGAGGCGCGCGGGCACCTGCAGCAGCTCCAGGTACTGCCGGTAGCCCGAGGCGGCCGCCGGCTGCTGTCCGGGTCGGGCGCGCGGGCCGGCCGAGCTGCGGCGACGGGCTGCGCGACGAGGAGGCCGAACGGCAGCCCAGCCGGCGCTGCTGGCGGCGCACGCGGCTGCGCGCGATCTTGCGCTGACGCGCCCGGCTGCCCGCCCGCGACACCTTCAGCTCGTGGCCGCCGCCGCCGCCGCCGCCGCCGCCGCCGTTGTTGTGGTTGCCGTCGTCCTCCGCCTCGCACAGGCTCGGCCGCGTGCACACGATCCGCGGCACGAGCACCACTCGCGGCGGCGCCTGCTGCATCGTCGCGCTCGTCGCTCTCTCGACTGGCGGCGGCCGGCGCGCGCCGACTCGCCTGCCGGCGCCCCCCCTCCCGCCGCCCGCCGCCCGCCGCTCGTCCCCCCGCCGCCGACCGAGAGCTGGATGCGTGACGCGGCCGATTTTGCGGCGAGCCACGCGCGGCCGGTGCCGCGAGATCGGCCAGCCCTCGCGCTGCGCCTCGTCGTCCTCACCCGCAGTCGCGCTCGGAGATAACGAGCGTCACGCTACTGGAGCACACGCACGCGAGCGGGCGGCCAAAGTCAAGGATCGCCGCGGGTCCCCGGCCGTCGGCCGATCGTGGCGGCGTAATTTCGCAGACCAATTAGTCGGCGCGTGTGTCAGCACCGGTAGTCTTCGGAGGAAACGGGCATCGAGAGAGAGACAAAAGGCAAGAGCACTCGGGCGAGCGATCGTCGACGTCACAGACTTTCGCGACAACAACAACAGAGAAAAAAACACAGAAAAGAGTGGCCTTTGCGCAAAGCCATCGATGGGCGCGCGTCAGTCGAGCGTCCCCGTCCCCGATTTCGAGCTCGGTCCGCGCAAACAAACGCGCAACGCGGATGACATCAACGTCGAAAATTGGCGCGTCGCGACGTCACGGCGACGTTACGCCCGATGCCCGCGCGCAATTCGCATGGGCATCGGCGGCCAGCGATGCGCTTCCTGCCGCCGGTAATTTCCGGACTGGCGGCATTATTATTTCGCGGGATCGCTATCGTCGGCGCTCGCGCGCACGTGATCTCCGGCACGTAATCGCAGCCGAGCGACTATATCAGCTTTTGCTGCGTATGCAGCGGGGTAACGCGCTTCTGGGCCCGAACAATCGATGCGCTCGATTGATCACGCGATCGCCCGCTGCGGCGGCTCTGGCGCACAAAACCGACGGAGCGCGATCCCTCGGGGAATCCGCCAATGTCACGGCGACTCCACGAGAATATGTTGGGCGAGTTCAGGCGTTTCGTTCGTAAACCGGCGCTCGTGTGCAATCCTTATCGGAGCGCGACGCGCTCTGCTTATGCCCGGCCGCGAAAAGGTCTGATCGCTCATCAATTTCGCCACTATCGCGTCAGATACGAGCCGTGTGCGTAAATCGCGCCGCGCTCGCCCGACGATCGCGTGCAAGAGATTGGAAACGCCGCCTATCGCGTCTGCCGTTCGCGCTTCAGATATCGACGGGAGATCCACGCGGCGAATGCCGAACGAAACACGCGTACAGCCGACCGGCTGGACGCAATGACGCAAAGATCGAAAGAGAGAGAGAGAGAGAGAGAGAGAGAGAGAGAGATGAGAGAGTGAGAGAGAGAGAGAGGAGAGAGAGAGAGAGGAGAGAGAGAGAGAGAGAGAGAGAGAGAGAGAGAGAGAGAGAGAGAGAGAGAGAGAGAGAGAGAGAGAGAGAGAGAGAAATTGCTCACAAAACTCGCATAAACTGCAACACCACGCGTCGCTTACATAAAGGCCGCGCTCAGCGGACAATCATGACTTTCGCACGAACCACCGGCCTCGTTACGCGCAATTTTTCGCCAATCGAAAATCGTTCGATGCTTTTCGCTCGGGTCCGTCGCCTCGATGAGCTCGCGAACGACAAACAACAAAAAAATAAAGAGAGCCGACGAGAAAGCGAGTTTACTTGGATTTCCAACGGTAGCGTTGCGAAAAGAGCAAATGAAAACGGGTATCGGGAGTTCGTTTCGAAGCACCGCAACTTACTTTTGCTTACACTGTACCGATTGACTGCTAAAAAAAGAGTTGGCCAACGGGGAAAAAAGAGCCAGGTAAGCTGACGCCACGGCCGGCCGAAAAATCCGTAAAGATGCTCAATGGTCGTCGACCGTCAGTTTCATCGAAGTACGGCTGTGCGTCAGCTGCCGAGCCGTGGACGAGCAATTTTCGCAAACGATCGCGCATTCGGTACTCGTCGATCCCGGCGCTACCGATTGTGCCACCGATTGTAATTAGCAGTGGGCGAGAGCTCATCCGCATAGTCGCGTTGATCTGTCGTCAATCGGCGCGGGAAAGAAGAGAAAAAGCAAGGAGCGACGCGCAAGCGTATGCTTTTCCGATTCATTGATCCCGGAGCGCGTAATCGACTGTCGTTGATTATTCATCGACAAGTGCGTCACGCGCGCGCGAGCGAGTGACGATCGGCGTCGCTGATCTCCACGGTATCTCGCGCGGTTCTTCGCGACACGTTCAAATCTTGAGCTGCGCGACCGCTTGTCGTCGATTGTTTCCCCCCGATCGCTGGCTTTCGGTCAAGTTCGCGCCTGCTTTTTTCTATATAGAAAAAACAGCGCGCGACAATAATATGGACGTAGCTTGGCGCCTCGCGGCTCGAAGAGACGACGAGAGTCCTCGTGCAAAGGACAATGGAACGCGCAAGACGAATTAGCATAGCGGCCTCTTACGCGACGCTGTAAGCGCCTCGCTAACCAACTCGGCGCCGCAAGGAAGTTTCCGTGGCCGCGGAAAAACTTAGCCAGTCGCGTAGCTCGCACCGCGCCGCACTCGAGCCGCGCGCGATCGCTCTCTTACCGACCGCCACGTCGCCATGCGAGGAATCTCGCGAACCGACGTGCCTCTCTCTCTCTCTCTCTCTCTCTCTCTCTCTCTCTCTCTCTCTCTTTGCCCGCGGGGTAATCGTCGCGAGTCCTTGTTGCGTTCTGCTTACCGCGAACTCGCGCGGCCGATTTGCGAAGGAGCGCGCGGCGATCTTTATTTAGAATCGCTCTCTTTATTTCACTCGATCGACCTCCGGACTTCCGCTTCGCGTTCGGATCCTATGGCGTTTCGAAGGGAAGGGCTTCGGGGGCTTTCTGCCGTCGGTGCGCATCATCGCTCGCGTTGCGGTACCGCAGCGCGCCTAGTTGGCAAGCGAGAGATCCGCGGAAAGCAAATCCTCACCGGGACAACGTTTCCTACCCGTCGTCTTTGTTCGCGCGCGTGAGACAGCGACTTTATTATCATTACTATTGTCGATTTATTTGCGTCATTCGCACCGACGCTCGCGGTAGGCGAGGGTGGATGCGCGTACACGTGCGATCGATTGTCTTCGAGCACGATTTCGGACGTTACTCGCGAAATCGCCGCGGTGGCGGACGGTAGGCTGCGTGGAAGTAAATAAAAAAATAAAAATAATCGGAAAATGTAGATCGTCAGAGAGAGAGAGAGAGAGAGAGAACGCCGATGGAAAAAGAGGCGAACGGCTCGACTACGTCAATGGCATAATGAGGCGACGCGCGCGTAATACCTTGTTGCGCTTCGGCTGGGCGTAGCTGTCGGAGATGCCGAGCAGACAGTCGTCGCAGCTGCAGTAGCGGTTGTTGCTCGCCGACTCGGCGCTGAGCGCCGAGCTGAAAGTGCTGGCGCTCGTCTGGCTGTCCATCGAGTCGGCGCGCAGCAGCCTGCCGGACCTGGCGCGGGCGGCGCGCCCGGCGCGTCCGGCGCGCTCGCCCGCCTGGCCGTCTTCCGACCTTTCGATTTTCGCCAGCAGCAGCTGCTCCATCAGGTTAAGCGTGGGCGTCAGCGACGACTGACTCGTCGCCGCCGACGGCTTCGTCGGCGAGCCGTGCTCCTCGTCCATGACGCTCGCCGCGAGTCGCGACGCGCACACCGACTGCGGGCTAGCCTCGGCGGCTCATTTGGGCGCGACGCGGCCCCTCGGTCCCTCGGCCCGGGGCACCAAGTGCGAAGCCAGACGGCGAGTCGTCGGCGTCGCTCGGCTCGCGCGGGGCCTTGCGGGAGGAGGCGAAAATCGCAGGGCGGCCGGGCTCGGCTGTGCAACGGAGCGCAGCGCGCGTGGCGCGACTTTTCGGAGCTGACTGAGCCTTCGCCGACTCGCCACGGCCGTTTTCTATCCGCGCACTACAATGCAAACGCCCGCCGCGGGGCGAGCGAGCGGCAGTCCGGCTCGTCTGTGGGAGAGAGAGCTACTTCTTCGTCTTCGTCTTCGTCTTCGTCTTCCTCTTCCTCTTTCTCTTTCTCTTCCTCTTCTGCTTCTTTTCCTTGATCTGCGTTCTAAATTTACGCGAACCGCCGAGTCCGCGGCGCCGATGGTGAAGACTCGCGGGCGGCTGGAGGCGCTCGGCCGATTTTCGTCGGACGTGTATTTATAGAGGGCCCGCCACGCAGCCGCGCAGCTCTTCCATGTGGGCTCTCCCGGCCTGGAGGCGCGCGATAACGCCCGAGCGTGTAACGCGCCGGAATTAGCGAGCGAACGCCTCGGTCCGAGAGCGCGCTCGAACGGCCAATCCGTCCGATACAGGATTTAATTTGCCGGGCCGTGCGTAAGCCAGAAACTCGATAGCCGCCTCGCGCTCATTGTCGTTGCGACGGCGACGCAATCGGGTAACGAACTCGCTCGCTTCGGCTAGGCCAGCAGCGGTTCAAGGATGCGGCGAGAGCGCGTCGCTGGTGCTCGCCGCGTCGGCATCCTTAGGGCTTGCGAGGCGCAGTACTCGCCAATCGAAAAATTGACGATGTAAGGGAGGGGAAAAGTACCTCAATTAAGAGGTAATTTCCGACGCAATTGGCAAAGGAAAGAGCGATCTGGCCATAAAAGTCTCTTGGAAAAACGAGATCACCTGGCATTCCAGCGGCTTGGGACGTCGGTGTGCGGTGCACTCGACGGACAGAAATTCGCGTTAGTTGAGATTTATGCGTGTAATAGAGACCGTTAAAATGCCGCGGAATGGGACTGCTCTGATAGATTGCCACGGCACGCACGCGGCTTTCGGAGCGACTCGCGCCATAGCGCATCGGCAAAAATATCGCTGTTTCCGTCGCTGCTGTTTGCGCTCAACGCAACGCGCTATGAATTATGTAATGATAAAAGAGTTGTTGAATTCTCGACGCACGCGATAGTACGCGTGCGCGAATCAGCTGACAAGGTCGATTATGATCGCGTTTCGGAAAAGGAAGTTACCGTCGACGGGACTCGGTGCACTGGGTCAAGGCGCGCCTCTTTTTCTTCTCGCCAAAAATACTATACGCGCCGAAAAGATTGATTGGATTTACGATGTCTATCTATTTGCTCGCCTTATTTTTCAAAGCCCGCGCGCGCTGATTCATAATTTTTCGGCTCAGTTGCACAAATAGAATGTAGTTTACGCTTCGAGGATCGTTAAATTTTGCTCGAGTCGCGCCAAATTAGCATTCGCAAAGAGATATAAGGCAGGCGGTGGGTGTTTCGTAATATCCAGCTCGCAGTTTGTAAATATAGCTCGGCGAAATTATTTGATACGGCAGCCAAGGGTTTACGAATTATCGCTCGTTCGTAAACGTCCGTAGCGACGAGAAATTCGGCAACGCCTATTTACCATCTGAATTGACCAGTAAATTTTAAATAACAGAAGCGAAACAAAAGAATTGCACGAGTAGACGCCAAGGACGCATCAGCCTCGAGGCAACATGGGCATACAAATACAAATCATTCTCTCTCTCTCTTTCCCTCTCTCATTACGCGCGTCGATCAAACGCGATCGACGTGTCATCGCTCTTTCGCCTCGATTACAATCACGTAAAGCACGCTAAACTCGTTTCCACGCATACCTACTTCCGTGACAAAACTTGTATGCAGCGACGGCATCATAAAGTACGTCTCGCGAGCGAGAGAGACGACAGCGCAAGATAACGTACCGACCGCAGATGGCGCGTGATTCAAAAGAAACTGACCTGTGCACGCTTAACCGGCGACTGCAGTTCGCTGACCTCGAGCTCATCGCCGCTCAGACTTGAGATCGTCGAACAGTCTGAGATTTTACGTTGTGGCGGCTCGAGATACTCCACTACTGTCGTCGTCGCACTCGTGCTAATTTTGTTTTCCACGTCTGGTTGCTCCTCGATCAATTTCTGTGCCAACCGCGCGTATGGGTTTGGACTTGCCAGACAGGAGTTACGCCTGTTACCACCGTCGTTGATGTATCTGCTGTAAACGTGCGAATTGGCGTTCATGTTACTTTTGCTTTTACAGCTATTATTAACAGCGGCGAATGCGTGCCGTTCCAGAAAGCCAAGGAAACGAGTTGCGAGTAGAGATTTAACAGTGCTAAATCGAGCGATACGTTACATTTTCATTTCTCGCGCAACTTCCGTCGAATAAAAACAAATGCTGCAGAGCGATTGTCGCAGCGTCTAATTTTAACACCGCGCTCCATTTTCGTGTTCTACTATCGATTTAAAATATTACTTCATTAGGCAGAACGACGGCATAATTTAGTATAATACCTCGCGAAGGCCAAAGAAAATTGTAGGAAGTTACATTCGCTGCTGGTATGTGCGTCAATTGTTGCCCTGAGCGCTTTTTGTAAAAACATGAATGGGCTTTTAAGCAACTTTTGTATGCCATTGCCGCTAATGCGAAATTATGCGACTCGCCTCGGTTTCCTCGATTCTTGTGCAAACACACATCCGATTTCTTCCTATACCTGGACATGTACAAGCCTTGAGGTGCAGGACAGACCCAGCACGAATCCGAGTGTCTGCGATGCCGGCAAATATCTTGGAAATTACGCACTTCATCGCAGTCCAGGCACGAGCAGCTGCTCCCTTGACTTGGACTGGCACTGTTGCTGTCGAGTTTTTCCTGTTCAAAATCACTGCGTTCCGAACGCTCGTCCAGGTATGAATAATCCGAGTAATCGCTGACAACGACGCTCGGTGTTCGCCAGTAACGCGGACGTCCGCTGCCATCCATCGACTCGTTGTCACCTAAAAATTCAACGTTTATATTGTAAAAACTTATTTCATCGCTTGCTAAATCACAGATGTCACCTCGCAATCCTTTTATTTTATGTTATATTGAGTTTATTGCGTCAGTGTTCGCGTTGGAAACATTTCGTTCTGATTAAAGTTTTCTCTCTAAACTCCATTGAGTACTATAAAAGATTGAAGTGATTATCGCTTCCGTAGAAATGCCATATCACATGCTCAATTCATTACTCAAGTGCTTAAGAAAAGTTTTATATAGACACAAAAATCCAAGGGCATATGAATCACACCTACCCTTATTCTGATCCTCATCGCTAAGCACGGCGCTGTCGGAGCTACAGCACCGTGTGACTTTAGTTTTCTGCCGCCTGACCATTTGCACACCAAAATCTTCCTCGCTGACGACAGCAGAATCGATACTCCAGCATCTCGACACCGAGCCTCTTTTGCTTCTCTCAGCGTCAGACTCGATGCCTTCATCGCTGATCGGACTTTTATTCATGGCCGACCTGAGCGGCTGCTGCTGCTGCTGCTGCTGCTGCTGCTGCTGCTGCAGCATTGTCGCAGTAGAGCTGTTGAACTCGTCGTATTGCTCGTCCACTTCGCTGCTACCGAGTGTTGCCTGCGTTTTGGACTTCATCGTGAAAGTGCAGCGCTATCCTATCTCGCAGGAGCTGCGAGGTCGTTGAACGGGGCTGTCGATCAAAGGTCGCCTCTCTCTGCGCCGAGATCTGCAAGTAAAAAGATGCTCAGTAGGCGTACCAGAAATTCGAGGTTTTCTTCAAAGCGATGTCATTGTCGAACAACGTCCGGCAAATCGCATCGAGGAAAAAACGTCGCACGAAGAAAACAGTATGCGCAATCGCGTGTTATAAACAGAGGCATTCATCGCAGTTTACGTCGACCGTTTCGGTACACACTTTATTGCCAGCAAAGGAACGTCGAGAACAGATGACACATTTTGTGTTTAATGAAAGAAAAAAAAAAGGCAAAAAAAAGAAGAGAGACTAGAAGCATTACACAAGCGAATGTGCAGTAACGACCGTAAAAACGACTTGTTTAAATGCCATCGCGCGCAATAATCGCAAGCGAAAAAGAACTATTTTATTTATGGCCTTCACTCCGTTTATTTCACTTTATAGTTTTCAACAGAAAAACACATATTTATGAAAGTATAATATGTCGGGAGTGCGATTAGGCACTCTGCGAATCGTATATAACTGCGATGATTAATGGTTTTACGCTATGCGTGCACTGCAGTCGCAATTAAATGTTGAAATGTCATTTTTATACGTGTATCAGTGGTGCACGTGTCGTCACGTAAGCGCTTTACTAATTCATCCAAACAGGAGCGTACCACTTACATCACGACGCTTTCAAAGTTTAATCAAATTACTGTATAACTGAAACGCGAGAGCATACCCTAGTGCAAAAACTCATGTGCACGTCTATTGACAATTGTCTGTCTGTCGCTAATTCGCAATGTAAACAACAACAAATACGTACTCACGAGAAGACTGAATTGTCGCGTCGTGTGTACGTCGAAGGGCGGAAGCGATCTAACGGCGTGCGATGAGCATTCTTAACCTAGAAATTCCAGCTAGCGACGTAGGCGCCCTTCTAATTGCTCACGCAAATACAACTACACTTTCACGCACACCGCGGACTGCACTTTGTACGAGGGAGACGTAGATCCAACGCGTCACGTTGCGTTCACCACACGTCGTTCATGTCGTGTGGGAATACAGCTCTCGACTGAACATCCGTGCAGATCGCAAATCGAAGAGCGTCTGCGGCGCTAAAGAGAAACAGAGTGAGTGAGTGTGAGAGAGAGAGAGAGAGAGAGAGAGAGAGAGAGACGTAGAGCCGAGAAGCCCTTTTCGCGCACATACACTGTAGACACAGCGCCACTGCACGCGGCGCGCGTGTGAATTTAGACTTCGGGGAAGCGACGACAACGACGAAGATTATTTTCGTGGCTCCACTTCTCGTCGTTTCTCTTCGGACGACAAGCGCTCCTCCGTCGCAGAGGGATTAAAACGAAATGGAAAACCGCGAAGTGTACTCCGTCGTTATATATGGGTTTTCATTACCCGATGACGCGTGTACGGCAATGGAACGTGCTTCCGGCGATGCGGGCCCTACTTGTACAGTGACGTTTGCTTAGGCTGCTTTCTTGGCGCGCTGCCCCTTACGCGAGGCGAGCCTGTGTGGGTTTCCTTTTCGGGCAATTAACGACGATTATGACATCTAGAGAAAAGCTTTCGACGGTTCTTTATGAAAAAGCGTATGCAACGAGGCTTTGCCGAAGTCGTTGTACATTACTAGTATAGTAAGTAGAGTATAACGAGAGTCGCACCGTGAGCAGCTTAAGAAATGCTCGTTGCGCGCGAGGTTCGTTTGGAAATTATAAACTGGTGAAGCTAAATGCGATTAATTAAAATAATCGGTAGTAACAGCGTAATCTGACTGGTTAAAATCGTTGTGGAGCAACTCCGCCAATTAAAATGGCCAGAGAAAGAAATCGCTGATGGAAACTGTTTTCGTCGCGGGCTCGAAAACACAAGCGTCACGCTTGTTTACCAAAACTTTGCCGCTCGTTGGACGCTGGTGTGTCGCGCGCGCGCGCACGTGCGCGTCGGTGACCCACTACTCCGAAAATGAAAATCTGGCGCTGTCGCCTGTGCCTCTTCAATGGGACCAAACGCGAATGCTCCAAGGCTACTGCCCGCGGGCGCGCGCGCGCACGCGCGACTACGACTAGCGGCGCGTTCGAGACGAATCGCGCGCGCATACGCCGGTGCGAGCTCGGACGATGCGTTTCGCGCGTCGGACGATTTTCGCGTCGATCGAGTCGCGCGTATGCTTGGTCCATTCCCGTTCCCGCGTGCGACGTGTACGCTAACGGTCGTGCACGACGCAGCCGAATCGGCATCGGCGAACCGCTCCGTCGGGGAGCGCGCGGAATAAGTTACGAGCGACGACGTCGCGCGCGCAACCAATCGCGTGGATGCTCAGCGGACGCGAGCTTTATAACGAGCCTTTGGCCGTCCTGTTGCATAAAATATCACTTAGCTGTCCGTTGATCTCGATCCCCGCGGCTATATACATACGATCGTCGATTAAATATCAAGGCTGCTCGTGAGAAATCTCGCGCGCGTCATCGCGCTTCAACAGAGAGAGAGAGAGAGAGGAGAGAGAGAGAGAGAGAGAGAGAGAGAGAGAGAGAGAAAGCCAAACAAAACGAGCCCACGGCGACGAGGCTTCTGCGGGTTTTCGTGTAAATTGTAGCGCGCCGCGATTACAGCGCGCGTGCGGGAACCGGTGACGTCGTCCGTCCGAGCGAGAGTCGATATCGCTTTTTGTCCTTCGCTTCGTTTTTTATTTTTTCTCATTTTGTCTTTTCTTTTTGCCAGCAGCCTAATTTGCAAGAAGCGAGTTTCGTAACGTGCTTGACGTAGAAGCGTTGACCCTTACTCTTCGTGGCTCCGAAGGAGACAAAACGAGCGTGTGTGGCTTAATTGTTTGGCGTTTGGGTACGGCGGATCGCGAGTTAATTTTTTGCCCGGTAATCATCGATCGTTGGTTCGGCATTGGTTATTTGTTCTCGTTACTCGCAGCGCACAGCGACGATAACGAATTGGCGCGCGCGCGCGGACGATAAAACGCATCGGAAGGGACGTGCGCAGCACGGCGACGGCGAGCGCGCTTATCGCTCATCCGGTGTCCGAAAGCCCGCATCGAGGCGCGTCCTTCGAGCGAATCCGCCGCGCAAGCAGGACGAGAGCAGGACGAGTCGCATTTCGCGAACTAGGCTGCGCGCGCTGGCGAGAGAGAGAGAGAGAGAGAGAGAGAGAGAGAGAGAGAGAGAGAGAGAGAGAGAGCGCGCGCGCATAGGCGTTTTCTCGCCGCGGCCATTGACGTCACGGCCGCGTGCGTCAGAGGCCCCCCCTGCGCGGCTCCCGTCACGAGAAACCAGAAAGCGACGGCTAACCAGCGAGCGCGCCGGAGAAAGAGGCTGCGCGCTCGGTAGCGATCGTGGCCGCGCTTCGACTCCGATCGCTGATTTATCGGACAGACGTACGATCCGCGACCTCTTTCGCTATTTATAGCCAAAGGGCCGAGAGACGGAGGCAGAGCAGGCTCCTCGTGTCGCGCTTTTTGCCCACGAGGAAATGCGCGCCTATTTATACGCCGATTCATGTCCACCGGTGGAAGCCCGCCGAGTCACGAAAACGAATGCCAGCGCCGTGGAATGCACTTGGCGCGCGCCGATCGTCGGCTGGTCGTCTGGAGAAGGCGGGACACGGGGAAAGTCGCGAGACGAGAAAGGGGCGCGGCGCCGTCTGCCCAGTCCGATAATGGCCGATCGGGGCTCGCGCGCCACTCGCCGCGAGCGTCCGCCTCGTCGTCCCCGATTTTCGACCATGCCGCTCGCGCGCAATCAGCTCAATTGCGCCGCTGGCCGTCTCAAGCGCCAATTGGAAACAACAATGTGCCAGACGAGTATCGCCAATTGATCTTCATTATCTCGTCAGCATCACTGCCGTATTCCGCTAACGGCTTTTGTGCTCGCGTCTAAGGGATATCTCGTGACTTATTCCGAGCCCGCGGACTCTCCCCTCGGTTCGACCGGGTGGAGCTGGCGTTTCAACAATTCTCACAAGACTTTTAGAATTTGCTCGATACTTCTTTACCAACTTCCGGTGTCATTTGGCAGACTCGCATCTGTAGACGTTTTTTTCTTTTAATGAAATTGTACTTTGCTCATCATTTTAGATCATTCGCTGAGTTCTGGATCGGGCTTTGATCTATTCGAGCAATCGACTTTTTATTCGACAGTCAACTATCTCTTTCATACTTGTATAGGGGTAAACGATTCATCGCTTCCGCGTCTGCTGTTTTTTATGCCAATTATTTTTGTCATTTTTTTCCATTGACCGGAGTTCTTTTCACTCGATTAGAATAAAGTTCAATCCGCGCTACTCGGTAGACTGTTCAAAAAAATGACTTATGAAGCCATGAAAAAAATCTCGTCACGCGGGTGAATATCGCCCAAGTTCGCAAAAATTCGTTGCCGGTTATTCGTTGCCGGCGCCATTTTCTAGTCTAACGAATAAAGCAACGGCTTGTCGAAAAGATCAAAGGACGCGGTTACTCCGGGCGTCGATTCCAGCTGCGATCTACGCGCTCGCGACTCGGACGTAACGCGCATCTTCTGCGCAGAAGGCACGAATTGCATTCGACTCGCGAGACGTACGCGGCTCGCTGAAAAGAAAAAAGAAAGGCTCGGAGTGCGATATGCGCTATCGTCTCGCGTGCTTCGATTACCTATTAAAAGAAAAACCTTTTGGCGAATTGCGAAAGCCACCGCCCGCAACATCCTCGGGAAACCACAGGCTACTTTGTACGAAGAACTTGACTCGGGCGATTTATTAGATTTCTAAAAAAAGAGCTGCATGGTCGTTGGCAGAATTAAGGCAGAGAGGAAGAGGAGAGGCGTCGAGGCGCACGGCGATCGCTCGCTGACCCACTTATCAAGCGCTTCCGCACGGACGGCGGCGGCGGGGGCGTCGAACAGCGCCGAAAAGTCGGCGCCGAGCCTGCAACTCACAGGCCTGTCCCATTCAGAATCGAGGAGCGCGAATCGCGCCGGCCAATGCCATGCAGGCAAGCAACAGATAACGTGGCGGCCGCGCACGCCGATCGCCGATGAAATCGGGTCAGTGTCAGGCACAAGGATGCCCGCGACATCGTTTCCACTCGCGGCAATTTTTCGTGTTCGCTTCGCGAGCAAGGGGAATACCGAGTAGATACCGAGTTGATACCGAGTACACACCGAGTAGATACCGAGTGGATATCGAGTAGGGCGAGCAGCCGCGCTTTATCGAACGCTCGCCTACGAGTCTCACCTGTTTTCTCTCTCTCTCTCTCTCTCTCTCTCTCTCTCTCTCTCTCTCTCTCTCTCTCTCTCTCTCTCTCTCTCTCTCTCTCTCTCTCTCTCTCTCTCTCTCTCTCTCTTCGTCTGTTCTTTTGCTGAACTCGCGAATAGAAGAATGCCTGCGTCAACTGCGCTCGCGGTTACGCGTTGATTTTGCTTTCCACGAGGGCACTCGAAAAGGCGAGAAAACACCGACGAAGCTGACTTTCCCGCTGTTTCTTTTCTGGCATTACCAATGGCGCGATAAGACTGGATAAATTTAGAGATTGAGCGATTGTTTGGGACTGTGATGAGCAAACATTTCGTCAGCGCGCAAGAGCGCAAAAAGAGTACGATTCTATCTGTAATCTCTCAGCGAAGGCATTTGCAGTTGTGACGATCGCAAAATCATTTCGCTTATTTTCTTCTAATTAATCAGCATTGAGAAACACAACGAGATTTTCAAGGATCGACCGATGGGAACAATGCGGCGCCAAGTGGCGTTATTAAACGAAAGCAACGAAAACCGATCGGCACGTCCAACTGTTTTTTCTCCGGGTCCAATGGTCGGAACTGTAGCAGTTTTTTGAGCAGAGTTTTCGCAGTCGTCGTGGGCATATAAATTACGCGAGCGTCCGTTAGCTTATATTGCGTGAATGCAGACTGGCGAACGGACGATCGATAAAGGAAGTCCATCGGAGAACGCGTCGTCAAGTTGTAGACGCCTCTCGCTGCCGACCTGGCGCACTTGCGTCAGCCGATCGACGAAAATCCAATTTGGCTGTTGACTCGCCCAACGAGCTCCCGCGAACACGTGCACTCGTCGTAAATTGACTTAGAAAAGTGCACCTCTCGGGCGCGAAGAGACGCTTTCATCGGCGCCGCGCGGCTTACACGCAGTTTCGGTTTTCATTGCTCTTTTACAACCTCGGCGTTGGCTATATCAACAAATTTTATCGCTCTCACGCCCGTGATGTTATTGTTTCGTTTGGGTGACGCGTTCAGCGCCGCGAGCTCGAGCAAACGCAAAATGAAAAAGGAAAAAACAAAGGAGAACTCGTCGCCCATCGCCTCCTTTTCTCAACGCAACCAGAGGAACAAAAATGATACTCACGAGGTTGGAGCTTGGAGCAGCGCATCGTCGTCCAGCGCGCGACACCGGGCAAAGGATCTCTGCGGCTGCCGAGAAGTCTAGTGCATGATTGTGGCATCCGATCGCGCGCGTCCGCCGGTTGAAATCTGCTATCCGGCGAGCGATCAGCGTGCCGCGCCGAGGAGCCGCCGCCTCGTCGTCGGTTCGCGCGCGTTCGTCGTCGGAGCGCCGACGGCTTGCATTCTCCGTTGCTCGATCTCTCTCGCTCTCGGATCGTCCTGGTCGCGAGTGCCAGATAGCCAGCTGTCCATTATACCGGACTGTACATTTGCGCGCGGTGCGTGCGAGGCGGAGCGCGCTCCGTCACTGCGTATGCGAGCGTGCGGCCGCGTGCGAGAACGCCGCGCGACTGGCCTCTCGGCGGTCTCGCCGCGCCGCGCCGCGCCGCGCCAAATCAAACGGGAGTCGGGAGAGAGAACGCAAATATACAATGACAACCACGTCGACACAAGCGCCACGCGCGTTTTCACCTTCGCGCGGAGCCGACTCCGCGAGACGCGCCTTCGTCGGAGCAAAGTGCAAGACCTTCTCGTGAGCGCCTCGCCGAAGTGCGCTGCTTGCTTCTGATGTTGCCTCGAAGGAGCTGCCAGGTCTCGCGGACTTTACTTTTCACGACGCCTCATCGCGCTCCGCGAGCTTGTGTAATTCGATTTTATTAAGATGACTGCCCTGTACTACGTATAAAACAGCTCCACGTCCGAGCCAATATCTAACACGGGATGATTTTCTTTCTGTAACTCGTCTTACAATTTTCTTTTCCAATGGGCAGGCTGTCGCTGCATACAAAGCAAGTAATGCTTTTCTTGGCATGTGGAATGATTATGAGATCAGTTCCACCCCAGCAATATTTGTCTATATCTTACAATTAACAGTCACTTAGCCTACTTGTAGCGCCATTCTTGGCGCTTTCAACAAGTGACGTTTCTACAGCGAGCTACGCGAACAGTTGCGTTCTTTTCCTTATTCCTACAAAATCCGTCAACGGTAAAATGTATATGCAGTTGATCTTTCTAGTGTACTGAGCCAGTTAGACAGCTCGCGGACTTGGATAGCATTGGCGATTCGAGTCAGTCGACTTTTACAAGTGCAACCTATATGTTTACACGTCGAACAAGCGTGAGAAAAAAAAAGATATCTTTCGGAAATTCAGTTCTCCTAGCTGGTAATCCGTCGCTGCAGCCTACACAACAGCACTCAATAATCCAAAATAATATTATCGTTGACCCAGTTGTGTGCATAGTAGCGTCGTATTAATTTGAGATTTTACCGCGCGAATGGCTTTTCAAGTGTTTATGCGACGGAGAGTACGCTGCGAGCTTAACTTGCGATGTCTCGGTGTCGGTACGTTTCTTAACGGTCTTGTCGAGGAAATTCCAGTAAAAATGCGCTTTTTCTACTTGACAGCTAGTTGAGAAAATGTACGTAACAAAATGTATTTATTGCGAGCTCGCGCGCCGAGGATAATTGCTGGAAGTGTGTACAGCGCAGTATGCTGCGCTAATCGCGCAAAAACTGTTTGACTTTGCCGAGAGTACGAGAGTCCGAGAGTCGAGTCGTTCGATCGTTACTCCAGCGTTTTCTATTATTCGGAAACTCTCACTGAGTCGCCGTAGTGTATGCAACGGTAAATTTCCGGAACTTTCTTGCCAAATACACTGTGTTTTTCCTCGCAAGACGTCGAACGGAAAGCTCGCGGCTTTTCTTATCGTAAATTAATTAGGTCTAGGAGAATTGCCGAATACACTATCGATTGTAAAATTCTACTTTTTGATAACCACGTCCTAAACGAACTTTAACAATAAACAGCTTGACAATCGGCGCAAAATGCCTTTGCTTAATACATTACAACGCCATGAACATCTAGCTGTGTTTAATAAAATTACGTCGTGATAAATGGTAAATAAGTTGATATTACGGTTCGCAAATGATTGTTCGTTGCTTGATAAGAATTCAAAGGTCTTGAATGATTTGTTGTTTGATTTTTGATGAGTAGCGCGGCTCTGTTCCTCACGACGCGGCGCCATGGATTTCAATCGTCGCGCTAACTTCAATGATTTAGGTTATGACTACCCAAATCAAATGTCACTGGAATATAATAGAACGTTATTTGATTTTCGGTTAAAATAATTACAGTATGGTTCATAACATTTTACTAATAATAATAATAATAATAATAATAAGATACATACAATCGTACTTGCAAAATGTAATTACTTACTTTATCCTTTATTAACAAATTATAACATTATTTCCATCCTTTACGAGCTCGTTAACGAATAAAACTATTTCCTAAGTATATTTATTTTTATTCGTTGTATTACTTACATAAGACAGTGCTTCAAAGATTATTACGTACAAGAAGTTTGATTCACGCGCTTGGACGAATGTTTTCGTTTTATTCTTCTAGATGGCACTAACTATCAGCGGCGCATGCTAAACCAAGCAGGTCTTAAGGCCCCGGTCCCGTAGGTATGTATGTATACATACATACATACGTACGGATGCGGACGGATACGGACGCGAATCGCGCAACTCTAGTAACATCACTAAAAATATCTAGTTCGATTATTTAGTACCAACACTACCGGTAGTGAGCAAAAGTGACTGTTGTTTCAAACTGTAGCGCCGAACGTATCACATATAATGTAACGCCTATCTAACTTTTACATTATTGCAGTCTATAAGATGGCAAATGATAGAGAATTGATAGACTTTCAACTACAATTAGTGGAATTAGGCCTTAACTTTATGGAAGTACTTGAATATATGAGAAGAAGAAAATATATATAAATGATATGTATTAATCATCCCAAAAGCTTTTTTTACATTAGCATACTCATCAATAAGCAATATTCATGAAAATTTGATAAGTAAATTGTAGACCTGACATTTGAACATTAAATGTGGTACGTTCGGCGCTACAGTTTTAAACAACAGTCACTTTTACTCACTACCGGTAGTGTTGGTACTAAATAATCGAACTAGATATTTTTAGTGATGTTACTACAGTTGCGATTCGCGTCCGTACCCGTCCGCATTCATACGTAGCTATGGGACCGGGGCCCAAGGCCCTCGCCACATATGCGCATACGCGCGCGTACGAGCGCGTACAAACGCGTACAAATCGCTAAAAATTTTGATAGTGCCAACAACAGAAAGTTACTACTATTTCTCGCATGCCCCAAACGAACACACTTACTCCCGGAACAAACGATCATAATCATAACGCTATATTATTGAAGGTTATGATACGTTTGTTCCGGGAGTAAGTGTGTTCGTTTGGGACATGCGAGAAATAGTAGTAACTTTCTGTTGTTGGCACTATCAAAATTTTTAGCGATTTGTACGCGTTTGTACGCGCTCGTATGCGCATATGTGGCGAAGGCCTAATATCTCTACATTGGCGCGTTGTGGTGTTAAGAAGTTTGTTTTTTTTTGGACTCTAAATTTTTTTAAATATGACAGAAGAAACCCAACAGGCTAGTGAAACGCAAATAATAACTCAGCAAACAGATCAATGTGTTGTGAATGTTACTACGGAAGTTGTCAAAGCTAAAGACGGAAAAAAGGAAAAATGTCGACCAATGACTAAGGTTAGTTTTTATGTACCTTATTTATTAAGCGTTGAAATACAAGTAAAGTACAAGTAACAATAACCCGATAATACGTAAAATTGGAATTTGTAAAAAACTTAATGATTATCTATGTTTTAGGTTGTTATTAGAAGATTGCCTCCAACAATGACACAAGATCAATTTTTCGAGCAAGTCTCTCCACTATCAGAATACGATTATTTGTATTTTGCCAAAGCTGATATGTCGTTGGGTCAATATGCATACTCCAGGGCATATATTGATTTTGTTGATTCTCAGGATGTTTTTGCATTTCGAGAAAAATTTGACAATTACGTTTTTGTTGATTCGAAAGGCACTGAGTTCCCAGCAGTAGTAGAATATGCGCCATTTCAAAGAGTGCCAAAAAAGCGTATTGGAAAGAAGAAGGATATCAAATGTGGAACCATTGAAAGTGATCCTTACTATATAAATTTTTTGGAAAGTATAAAACATCAAGAGACTGAAGCTGGAAATACACAACCAAAAACTGAATATTCTTTCCAGCTGAATGACCGTAAGTTCAATTTGATTAACGGAATATTTAATACAAATCGTAAATTAATCGTTTTTTTATCACAGATGCTACTAAAAAAGTCACAAGTACACCACTGTTAGATTTTCTCAAACAAAAAAAACAGGAGAAACAGCGTATAAGGGATGAAAAGCGTGAAGAAAAACGTAGAAGAGATTTGGAACGAAAAAGAAGTAAAGATGAACCTATGATTTCCAAAGTAAGAAATCAATGAAGCTATTATCATAATTTTATTTATAATAATTTTGTAATACCTTTCTAAATGTTTATTTGCGCATTTCAGGTCTTAAAAAATATAGAAGATAAGGACAGAGATAGCAATAGAGATTTGAATAAAGAAAATAAAGATGACAAAGAGAGAGTAATAATTAAAGATTTTAAAAATAAAAATAAAAAAGAAGACAGATACAGGGACAAAATGGGTAGGGAAGTAAAAGTCCCAATGAAAAATTATAGAGATAGGGATGATCGAATGAAAGACAGAGAAGTTAAGCAAACTAGGAAGTATGAGGATAAAAGGTACAATAAAAAAGATGATCGTGACAGTCACTCAAAAGATGATCAACCACACGAGAAAGATGAAATTAGTTATAAGGAGCGAAAAATAGAAGAAAAGCGTGGAAAAAGTTATGAGAAAATGCGGCAAGAGAAGAAGAGGCTGGTTGAAACACTAAAGAAGCAAAATGATGAGTCTCAAGATAATCTTGATAATGAAGCTGATAAAAATGAAGATTCTTGTCGAACGTGCTTAACAGAGAAGAATGACAGTGACAGTAAAAATAAACAAAAGATTCAGAAAATAAGCTCTGATACAACTGAAAAATTTAGTGAAATGTCTAATATAACTAAAGAAGACAAGGATTCAACAAATGACAAACTAGAGGGTAAGATTTTTTTACCCAATTTAACTTTATTAAAGGTTATATAGTTTTTTTTGCAGTAAGTTGTTGGCTTACAGAAGTTTACGAGCAACTTTCACAAGTCAATATTGAGGAAAAGAGTACAAAATTGAACAAGTCAAATGGTACTAAGTTGATAGTTAAAAGACGTAGTTCACTTGAGAGTGGTGGTGGCACTGGCAGTGGCTCGAAAAGTACCGAGAATAATGAATCTAATAATGTAAGTGGTAGCGATAGTCTTAGGCGTCATAAATCACTAGACGGTGGTGATGATAATAATTTACAAAAAAATGAATCTGATGAAAAAGACAAGGACAAAAAGGATCCACGAGTTGAAAGGAGAATTAGAAATAAGGTCTTTTTTCTTTATCTTTGAATTGTAACGTTTTTATTTTGCGATGTAAACAACTAGTGAATGATATTTCTTTTTATCAGGATCGACCAGCTATGGAAATTTATCGCCCTGGAATGGGAAAATTTAGTAAGAAACGAATGGAACAAGAAAAAGGAAGTGATGAGCGTGTCACACCTTCGCAAAGCCCAACTCCTTCATCTAGTAACTCTAATTCTTATAAATCTGTAAAAAATAGTGGTTCAGAAGTACGCACAATGACTTTTAAAAGGAGTGTCAGTCGCGAAGTTTCGTAATTTTACTTTTACGCGACTGCTCTTGTTGGACTACACAACTTCACAGATTGCTTTGTAATTTTGTGACGATAATTAGTTTATTTGATCCGTGTGAGATGAAACCAATCAAAGTTATGTATAATTACTTTACTTTTTTTGTTATGTTTTCAATTATGAGCTATGTCTGTGAAACTTAAAATAATTGAGGAATTTTGTTGTGAGTAAATAAAAGTTAAACGTGCGATTCAATTTGAATAGGTTTGAGCACGTTGAATTTTGTAGAAAATGTTGTATTTTTTTAAGCAACTACTATCCAAGAGATTTATAATCCACACAATACGCATAACAATGAATTTTTCTAATAGTGGTTGTGCATATTTTTTGTTTTTTTTTTTCCATGTAAGAGACTTCTCAACTCATGAAATCAACTAAGTGGAAAAAAATGCTTCGACAAGCTGTAAAATCGAATCTAGTTATTGTCATTGACGACGTTATCTATACAAAAGTATTGATAAGTAAGATAGCATTGGTCGCACATCGAATCGATTAATAGAATGCTAAATGTCAACGTAAAACTTGAGAACAATCGAATGATAAATGTTATCAAAGTGCCCGTCGCACTTTGGCGGATGAATGCTGAAGAATCTAATCGTATAATTATCAGCTAGAAACAGAGATAAGTCTCCACCTTTGTGTTTTAAATACATAATTTGCCGTTATCACGACGAGCGTCCCTTTCCGCGGATAAAGAATGAAAATCGTTAGTGGCTTGTCATAATCGTTCGCACTCTCGACTACTCTCAGTCGTTCCGGTGAGTTACCGATAAGCACACGTATACGCGCGTCGCTCATCAATTTGCCAATTTGCACGGTTGCTTTTGCAACTAACATTGGTGCGAACAGTTTTGTTATTAATTTTTTAGAGTTATTAGCGACAAGCAGACAAATGGTGAGCATGTATTTTCAGTTTCTTACTTTTCTGTCGGTTCTTCGCCAAAATAAGAAAAATTACTGGAAAATTACTGAAACAAATAGGTTTATAAATATATGATTAGTGATTAGTGCAAAAAATTACACATTTAATTGGAATCATTAATAAGCAATTGTTGCATAAACTTGCTTGTAAAGATCTTGATTGTACTATTTCTCACAAATATTCAAATAGTAATCAAGGGAGTGTCCTTAGCCAGATCCGCTACCACAGATAATTAAAAGCATTAATTTATGGAACAGTTATGATTTCAGAAAAAGAAAATGTAACTCTGTTACCGGAATCGGATTCAATGATTGCAAGCAAGTTTTTATGCGACACTAATGATTTAACTCTGGAGACTTTTCAAACCGAGGCCGCAACTCGATAGCCTTCTTATTGAAATTCGCTCTGTTCCAAGTGATTTCTCGAGTAAGCTTTGTAGAGTTCTTAAAAAAAAATGGAGTTGCGAGCGACTCGATGTTTCAATTCACTTAGAAAAAATAGCTAGCATTTGTCGAGCCGGTGCTCGGACAACAGAACTTCCGCCAAGAACGGCGTGACAATGAGTCCTTTCATTGACGGCGAGCAACAAATACGTTTGATTGTCGCGCGCCGCGGAGTCTTTAATTTCATTAGAATCCTTAGCTGGTGCACGATCATTGCGCGTCGGCGTTTAGCACTGGAACTCTCAGTTCTCAGTCACGATTCTACTTTCAAGTAAACCTCAGGCTGCGCGTCGGATCGACTGTCTGTCAAAGTGCGAAGTTTTGCGCGCCTCGGACGTCGCAGTCGCCAGTACTCTTGCGTTAATTTGGTAAGCTCTGAGATTTCCCTTTGGTGCGTAGCGCGTAGAATGACAGTTATACGTTATTTACGAGAATCGCGTTCCAATTTTATTAAAGAGTTATAAAAGCGACCTGCTTTAGAATTTGCATAGCTCATTGAATATTGATGCTCTCGAAAGAGTATAAATATATCAGTCGTTGCAACACGTTTACCCGTTCACAACTTTCAGTACGATTTCCCCGGTATTAGTCGATATTAATCCGGCGATTATGTAAATGGAGTTTGTAACCGATTAGCAATGCCGATTAGCTGTGTGGGCGTTCGTACGAAAACGCAATGAACGTTTGCCGAGAATCGATAATCGAAAAAAGGCAGATAATCTCGCGGATCGGCCGACTCGATTAGCGCTAGTCAATTCAAGTCCAGAGCCGCGGCGAGCATGTCTTCGAATTCCTGCTTGTAAATGACTTTAATGCCGGTGGCAGGTGACGCAGAGCTCGCTCTGCCACCGTATTTGACCTCCTCCAAGGGAACCTCCAGAGCGCGCGCCAGTCGATCTCTCGCGTACAGGTAAGCGCCCTGGTTTCTGTGCTCCTCTTGGACCCACATGACCTACGAGCCAAGCGTTTCAGACAATTGCAAGCTGCAAGGTACCGCGAGTCGGTTGCACCTTGCTTTTGGGGTACTTGGCCGCCTCCTCGGCAGCCAATTTATAAGGGAACGGGCAGATCTGCTCCACCCGGACAATCGCAATCTCGTCGTCGAGGTTCCTCTCTTTCCTCTCGGCGACCAGATCGTAGTAGACCTTTCCCGAGCAGAATATGAGTTTTTTCACGGTCTCGGGCTTGGCGGTGGGGTCAGGCAGGAGAGGCTGGAAATGGGTGTTGGGGCCGACCTCGTCGAAGCTCGACTGAGCCTGCGGGTGACGCAGCAGCGACTTGGGCGTCATTACTACCTGTGCGCAGATTAACTTATCGCTGTTATCGTTCGTGGAGGAGCCGCGTCAAGGCGAGAGATAGCTCCGACGACTCATCGGCATTACGAGTGGCTTGCGGAAAGGCATGTGGATCTGGCGGCGGAGCATGTGCACGAGATTGGCCGGCGTTGTGGGGTTGCAGACGATCCAGTTGACGTAGAACAGCTGGTGCGTGGGATTGTCCATGTGGTCGCCGACGTCGTCGTCGCAGAGCTGCAGGAAGCGCTCGAGCCGCGCGGACGAGTGCTCGGGACCCTGGCCCTCGAGGCCGTGGGGCAGCAGCAGCACGAGGCCCACCTGCCGTCCCCACTTGGACTGGCCGGAGCACAGCACGTTGTCCAGTACGACCTAGTCGGACGGTACGGGTGCCACTTGGGATTCGCAGCGCGGGCGGGCGCTCGCGCCTCGTTACTTGGCAGTTGTTGGCGAAATCCCCGAACTGCGCCTCCCACATGACCAGGGCCTCGTGGTCGTAGGTGGCGTAGCCGAGCTCGAAACCTGGGGGGACACGCAACGTTAGTCCCGCGGCGAGCTCGACCGAGCGGGTAACCGTTACCGCTGATCCCGTACTCGGACAGCGACGAGTTGCTGATGGTGTAGAGCGCCTGCCCCGGGAACACGTTGTTCATCATGTTCACCCACGTCTTGTCCCTCTGCTGGTCGTGCACCACGTGCATGCGATGCGAGAAGGTGCCGCGCTCGACGTCCTCGCCCGACAGCCGCACGTGGTGGCCCTCCTTGAGCAGGCTGCCGAAGGCCAGGCACTCGCCCAGCGCCCAGTCGATCGTCCGCGCCTCGGCCAGCTTCCTGCGCCGATCCAGCAGTCGCTTCACCTGCCCGCGGTTCCCGAGGCTCGCTTATCTCCCGTCTGCGATCGACCGACGCGCGACAGACGTCGTACCATCTGGTGCACCTGCAGGTCCGCCGGGGCCGTGGACATGTGCCTGCAGATCGCCAGGACGTCCTCCTCGGGTATGCCCGTCGCCGGGATGGGCAGCTCGGGGCTCTGCCTCGAGAAGAAGTCGGACCAGGGCACGTCGTGCCAGTCGGCCATCGACATCGAGCTGATGCCCTTGGCCTTCTCGAACTCGGCCTCGCAGTGCTCGCGGTAGCGCTCCGTCTCCTGGGCGGACGCACATCGACCTCGAGACGAGCTGCTCCGGCGAGCTGCTCCGGCGAGCTGCTCCGGCGAGCTGCTCCGGCGAGCCGCGCGTACCTGCTTGACGAACGACTCGTCGACGAGGCCCTCCTTCAGCAGCTTGGCCGAGTAGACGGTGAGCACGTCGGGGTGCTTCTGAATGCGCTTGTACATGAGCGGCTGGGTGAGCATTGGCTCGTCCAACTCGTTGTGGCCGTTCCTGCGGTAGCCCACTATGTCCACCACCACGTCGTTGTGATACTCGGCTCTGCGTGGGATGGATTGCCGCGTTACATCGGGTTACGTCGGTCAAGTCGGGCTGTTCCAACGACTGGCCACTTGCCGGTACTCGCTGGCGACTTTGCTGCAGTAGGCCACCAAGTCGGGATCGTCGCCGTGCACGTGGAATATCGGCGCGTTCACCACTCGCGCCACGTCGGTGCAATGCGCGCTGGACCGCGAGTAGCGCGGATCGGTGGTGAAGCCGATCTTGCCGTGCAATCGCCAATGTTAACGGTAGACCTGACGTTTCGCGGAATAGTCGGCTGGTTTACTTGGTTGTTGATGACGGTGTGAATGACACCGCCCGTGGTGTAATCCGGGAGCTTGGTCTGGTGCATCGACTCGTAGCAGATGCCCTGGCCGCTGTAGGCGGCGTCGCCGTGCACCAAAATGGCCAGCGACTTGCGCCCGTGCCGATGATCGGCCTTGTCGATTTGCTCGGCCCTCACGCGACCGATCACTATCGTGTCGACGGTTTCCAAATGCGACGGGTTGGCCATTATCGAGACTTTCATGCTCTTCCCGCTCCTTGTCGCGATCAGATTTCGTCAGCCCGAGCATAACGAACCTTTGCCGCGTCGTACCTTTCCAAGGATTTCTCGCTGTAAGTGCCGAGATGGTACTTGACGTCGCCAGAGCCAAGATCCTCCATCGAAACGGGCTTGAACTGCGTGAGCAGTTGGTGGAGTGGCTTCGAGCAGACGTTGACCAGGGCGTTAAGCCGACCTCTGTGCGCCATCCCGATGACGGTGGTCTCCACCCCTAATCGCGCGCGCGCGCTCGCTCAAAGGTTTGCTCAAAGGTTTGCTCAAAGACGAAGTAGCCGCAGCGAGTACCGTGCTCAGCGCTGGTCTCTATGCACTGGTTCATGGACGCTACGAAGGCTTCGCATCCCTCCAAGCCGAATCGCTTCTCCGTGCCATATTTCTTGGCCAGGAAGTTCTCGAACGTGACCGCTTTCATAATGTTGCGCCAGATCCACTTGCGGTGATCGGGCTCCAGGTCCCACGCGCCCGGGACCTCGAACTTGTACCTCAGCCAGTCCAGCTGCCTCGCGCGGACGGTCAATTAGATTTTCGCACTGCGCTCGCGACGCCGATCGAGCACCCAAGCGATTCTTACAACGCTGGAGTCGTGTATGTAGGTGTACTCGAGGCCCAAGTGCCCGCAATAAATCTTGTTCAATCTCTTGACGATCTCCCGGAGCGGCAGGCTTTTCTTATCTCCGCCGATTTTAGTGACGGTTCCCAGCGGGAATTCCCGGTCGAGGTCTTTCTCGGTGACGTTCTGGAGGTGCTCGCGAGTGACGAGCTTCGGAGGCAACGCGCTCGTGCCACGCAGAGCCACGGATTCGGGATTCTGTATGCCCAGCGGATCGACGTCCGCTATCAGGTGTCCTCGAGTCTGCGCGATAGGCGCGAAACTTTGTAAGGCCAAGTGGACGACGAGTGCCAGCAATGGACATAGCGATCGGATTAGCGAACGGACCTGATACGACTTGATAGCGGCGTTGATGTCGAGGGCACTGGCCACGTAAGTCTCGCCTTGCAGTTCCGCCTCGGACTTTAATCTCACCGTGGGCCTCGTCAGCAGGTCGTCTTTTGGCGCACCCCGACGCAATGTCAGATTAGCCCGAGTGTCGCGCCAAGCTCGATAGTGGTATCGCGGCGAAAACACGTACGTGAGACGGCACGAGCGCCCAGCAAATTGGACGGGACCTCCGGCACCGAGGAGGAGACTCTGATCGAAGCGGCCGTCGTCGCCGTCGTCGCCGTCGTCGGGACGGCCCGGCCTGCGTCGACGCTACGGAAATACGCATCCCAGCTGGCGTCCACCGAGTTGGCGTCGCTGCGCCAAGCGTCGTAAAGGTGCTCGATGTACTGGCCGTTGGTCGTAGTCAGGAACGAATCGTCGCTGCTCTTGCTGCTCGAAAAGCGGCGCAGCCCCCTGCCGAGCGGCCGCAGTCGTGTGGCAAGAGTCGCGCGCATTTTGCCCCATTTGACTCTGCCCCCCGCCCTGCTTTGATTTGTTTACACTTAAAATTTATCGTCGCCTATTTTCCCGAGCTGACGCCCGTGGTCCGGTCCGACTGACGCTTGCGGCTTCGAGAGGTTGTCTAATGCTCGACAACTTCAGACCGGTGGAAATTGCTCGACCTTACTTGTTCATCTGTGTATTTGTTTGCAGGGCAATGGAAACTCCACGGCAGCCGAGCAGCGAGTTATCCAGGTCGAGCCCAACAAGGAGCCTTCTCAAAGCCCTTTGCCCCGCAATAAGATAACGACCAGTAAGGTCATTATGCGTCTCACATGTTGCACAATTCGTCGTTAAGCGTTTTCAGAATCAGCACGAACATACGCATTTTTTTCTTCAGTACACCTTATGGAACTTTGTGCCCAAGAATTTATTCGAGCAGTTTCGAAGAATAGGAAATTTGTATTTCCTCGTCATTATGATCGGCACGGCGATCACGGATTCGTTATTCGCTGCGTCCACCACGGCGTTCCCTCTGCTCTTCGTCATTTTCGTGACGGCGTGCAAGCAGGGTTACGAGGACATTCTGCGCCACAGAGCCGATCGGCGGGTCAACAGTCTGCCGGTGACGGTCTTCCAACGCGGGTGCGCTCGGGTAATGGACCCGTCGACGTTTCGTTTTCGAGGCGAGGGGGCGTCGTCGCGCCAAACGATAAGTTGACTTTTTGCCTCGCAGGAAATACGCTGCCAGCAAATCGCCGTTGGCGACATCGTCAGGGTGAACCGAGACGAGGATGTGCCGTGCGACCTCGTGATTCTGCAGAGCAGCGAGCTTTCCGGAAAGTGCTACGTCACCACGTCGAACTTGGACGGCGAGTCAAATTTGAAAACTTTGCAAGTACGACAAACGGTCACTCGAGAGCTCGATAATTTCGGACTACCGCGGGTCATGCCAATTTTCCTTCGTTACAGGTGCCAAGGATGTTTTTAAATTTAGACGCTGCTCGGATAATAGGCATGAAGGCGACGATAACGTGTCAGAATCCGGCGCCCGGCTTGTACATGTTCGAGGGCAAAATACAGGCGAGCATACCTGGAACGGACGAGGACGAGCAAGAAGCGACGCGTTCCGGGCCTCTCACCATTGACAACCTCGCCCTCGGAGGCGCAAGGCTCAAAAACGTCGATTTCATTGTCGGCTGCGCTGTGTATACTGGCAAGGACACCAAGTTGTCGCGCAATTCCAAAATGAGCATTCAAAAGTTTTCGACCGCTGAAAAGTGAGTTTCATTGGTGGTGCTCTCTTAGGCATCACCCCAACTCGTGCCTTTTTTTTTTCCAGAACCATTAATAAGTATATCCTAGTGCTCATGTTCATCTTGGCGATAGAAGTCATTTTTTGCACAGCTATGAAAATCGTGCGAGCCAAGAAAGACGAGTTGCGAACTTACCCGATGAGCTTGAACCAGGTCGACGGCTCCTACACGAAACTGCTTGCGGATATGGTTATCTTCGTGGGCCTTTACAATTACGTCGTGCCTATTTCACTGTACGTGACGATCGGTAAGTTGCAATTCGCTTGCGCTCAGCTTCGCAACGTTTCACTCGTCCACGAACTTTGAAGAGATGCAAAAGCTCTTGGGCGCGTTCCTGTTTGGGTGCGATCTCGGGATGTACGACGAGCTGTCCGATCAACCTGCCATCGCTAACACGTCCGACATCAACGAGGATCTCGGCCAAGTCGAGTATCTGTTCTCGGACAAGACGGGCACCCTCACCGAGAATAACATGATATTCAGACGTTGCTTCGTCGACGGCAGCGCGTACTGCGAAAACGACTGCGACGGCAGGTTGTACCTTTTACCGGCGAACGGCAATGCGAAGGAAGCGCAAAAAATTGACACTTGGAGCGTAAGTTTCGTTGCAAGATACGTCGCAATTATTTTCAATGTAGAATATACCAAGAGAACGTTATGTTTTAGCCCGAAGTTTGGCATTTTATGCTGAGCCTATCGCTGTGCCATTGCGTGCACATTGCTCCTCCGCTTCAACGGGCCAAGGCAGAGCTAAACAGAGTGGAATTTCGCGAAAGCTTGCGCTTGAGGAAACCTGTAAGACTGAACAGTTCTTTGATGATGGATCCTGCTTTGCCGGAGTATCAGGTACCGTATTCGATTGCGCGTTCGAGCATCGTATGAGCGTTGCACGATTGTTTGCCAGGCGACGTCCGCGGATGAAAAATCTTTGGTAGAGGTTGCTGCCCGGTGTGGCGTTATATTTTTGGGCGAGACGGACGAAGATGAAATCGAGATTGACGCCAGAGGTAGACGCCTTTATTATCAGAGGCTCGACGTTCTCGAATTTACTTCCGGTAATAATTATGAATAGTTATCTACGACGGATTTCCGTCGGGGCGTCGAATGTCCCTAACTGGCACTACTCGTAAACTTGCAGATCGCAAACGAATGTCCGTGATAGTGAAGGATACAGCAGGCGTCATTTGGTTGTACTGCAAAGGAGCAGACTCGTCGATGTTTCCCTTGCTGGCTCGCGAAAACCTCGAAGCAGCGAAAGCCTGCGTCGCCGATTTTTCCATGGTTCGTGCGCGCGGACAGCCGAGGAGTGGGGGGAGGGGGGGGGGGGGTGGAGCATCGATAAAATTGGATTATTGGGTTGCCGCCAATATAATTTTCAGAGAGGGTTGCGCACACTCGTGGTGGGCTTCAAGCGAGTCGCGAAGGAGGAGTACGAACGTCTCGGTCGGGAAGTGAACGAGGCGAGGCAAACGATCGGCAAAGACCGAACGCCAAACGTCGAGCGTGCCTACTACAAGTTGGAAACCGGCTTGGCACTGCTGGGCGTGACCGCCGTCGAGGATCGCCTGCAAGAGGGAGTTGCCGAAACTATGGAGAAGCTTCGCGCGGCGGGTATCAAGGTTTGGGTGCTGACGGGCGACAAAGCGGAGACGGCGGAAAACATTGCCTTCCTCTGCGGCCACTTCCAAAAGGGAACGACAATCTTGAGGCTGATGGACCAGCGCTCGACGCATTCGTGCTGCGTTCTGCTGACAAGCTTCGAGTACTGGCAGTCGCATCCATTGTGGATCGGACTCGAATTCGCAAACGACCTCTAAGACGAACGTCCATTGGTGTTTCAGGCGAAAGATGAAAATAGAGCCCCTCGTTCGGTACGGCTTGCTCGTCGACGGGGCGAGCGCGGCCACGGCGCTGAACCACTGCCCGAGCCTGCTGCGGAACGTCGCGATGTCTTGCGAAGCCGTGGTATGCTGTCGCATGTCGCCGCTGCAAAAGAGCGAGGTATTCGCGGAGGTGTCCGCCGCTATTTGCCGATTTGCCGATTTGCCGATTTGCCGATTTGCCGATTTGCCGATTTCGTTCCGCAGATCGTGCACCTGGTGAAGCGCGCGAAGGGCAGGCCGCTGACGGCGGCGATAGGCGACGGCGGCAACGACGTGTCGATGATCCAGGAAGCCCACGTGGGCCTCGGAGTTACCGGCAAGGAGGGCAGACAAGCCGCGATGAGCGCGGACTTCGCCTTCGCCAAGTTCGCGCACTTGCAGCGCGTGCTACTCGTGCACGGCCACTGGTACTATCTCAGAGTCGCCGTGCTCGTGCAATATTTCTTTTACAAGAACGTCGTCTTCATCACGCCGCAGCTGCTCTACAATATTTTTGCCGACTACTCGGCCAAGGTTCGACCGATGCTAATTCTTATCTTATTCCGTCCGTCGCAGATTAGCTCATCTTAGGTCTTAACTTTCGGTTGCAGGCCCTCTACGACAGGCTATTTCTCATGTGCTACAATGTCATTTTCACGTCGATTCCTATCCTCGTCTACGGCGTCTACGAGCAGAACTACTCGGACAAAACGCTGCTAACCAATCCGCAATTGTATCGATTGAACAGGAGAAATATTTTCATGTCCAACGGTCACTTCGTCCTCTGGATGCTCATGGGTAATAAGCGATCAACGTCTACGATTGAAAATCGAAATCCATGTCCCCAAGTGATATTTTCTTCACAGCTACATGGCAAGCGTGCGTCGTATACTTTATGCCATTCTACTTCTACAAATGCAATTCGGTGATGATACACGAGAGCGATTCAGCAGAGCACTGGCAGTTCGGCACCTGTATATTCTACGTTGTAACGATCATTGCTAATTTACAAGTGCGCCAATACCACTTGCTCGTCGATATCTCAAACAGCTTTTAACTTTTCGTTGTTTAACTTTGCGATTTGCACACTGCAGATATTGCTGTTAAGCTCCTACTGGACGTTCGCTTTCACCTTTTCCATTTTCCTAAGCGAAATGCTATTTTTCGCAGGCACATTTGCTTACAGTTATTTCGATTGGTGAGTGCGCCATCACGCGAGACTTGACCTGTCATAAAACATCTCGTATGCGATCGCTTTCAGGCAATACGACGGACAAATGTTGGAGATATTTACGGCGCTATTGTCCTCTTACACCTTTTGGCTGCTGACGCTGTTGATCGTTGTGGTCAGTTTGATACCTACGTTATTCTTTGTTATTTGGAAAAACAAAAGGCCCAGTGAATTGCGCAGCCAACTGAAGAGGAGAGCGAGATATATTTCCGGAATTGCTCGCCGCCCAGTTGAGCCAACGTCGGCCACTATACCAGTAAATATTTCTCTCGAAGCTTTACGTTGCGCGCAAAGATTCGCAGTTCCACGCGAGCGTGCAAATGATTTGTCTTTCTGTATTGTAGAATAGACGCTCGTCCACGTTTGTTCCTTGGAGAGGATACTTTTCCTTCGGCGACGACAACGCTTTTTAACGAGACTCGCAAAGCCGAAACCTGGATCGACTTGTGCGTAGTATTTGAATACTTGAATTTTTGAAAAGACCGAAACTGGACACGTGAACAAACATTGAGGCTTTATTCCAATCTGTAGAATTACAGCAGACACGTGGACTCATTCCAAAGAAGAAGAAGAAGAAGAAGAAGAAGAAGAAGAAGAAGAAGAAGAAGAAGAAGAAGAAGAAGAAGAAGAACGGAGTGCCCCCCTGAGAGTTGCTTAGAAAACCCGTTGAAAGCGAATGTAAGGTCGTACGGCTACGCAAAGTTCGCCTCACAGGAAACGTTGCAGGTGCAAAGAGGCACTCTAGCAGATCGGTCTTCTGGCCGCCAAGTGGTCACGGCGACCTACGCGCTCAGTCCGTTTGCAGTGCGGGGTGCGAAGAGGCGCTGCGACCAAGTTGGAGATTCCTTGCGTCCGCGGAGACGCAGCCACTTAAGTAGAGGGCGCCGATCAGTCGAGCGACAGCATCGACTCGACCGAGGATCTGCTCGTGGAGGCGGGCAGCCGCGGACGGCCGAGGTAGTAGCCGATGGGGTTGGCGAAGGTCCGCTGGTCCGGCGACAGATGGATCGGGGCTAGGCTCGCGCTGTGCAGCTTGCGTGCCTGCTCCGCGGCTAGAAATCGCAAAACGGCTGATTGGCAGAGGCGCGCGGCCGCCGCGGCCGATTCGACGGCGGAGAGACGAACCTGTCGCGCTGCTCCAAGAGGCCGACGAGCGCAGCTCACGGCCGTCGCTGTCGGTGGCCTGCGCATCAAATCAACAGACATTAGTTTCCGTCTCACGGCTCGCGTGCATGCACGCAGAAGCGACTCGTCAAGCGGTGCATGACCATTTCTTAAACTCGGACCATAATCGATCTACTTGCAGTACTTGTCGTACGTGTTTGCCGAAGCGTGTAGTTAGGCATTCGGAACGGCAGATGAAAGCGAGTGACGTGCAGTGAAATGAGTCGTGTTACGGGACGAGCTCGGGATCGCGGAGCACGTGTGCTCGTTTCGCAAGCACAGCCACGTGCGCGAGACTTTGCTCGAGATGCGGCGATGGCGAGTAGGAGATGGAGGTAAGGTAGTTAAGCGTTCTTCGAGTATCTTACGAAGCTTGTATTTTTATTGGAACGTTCGTTCGTCTGCTATGTGGCTCAACGTTATTGGATGCGCGCAGTCGACATGCTCATTCGAAAGAAAAAGAAAAAAATATATAGCATCGTTATTGTCGTTATTGCACAGCGCATTCTCCATTATCCGTCGACGGCACGCAGCATTTCATCGTTAATTCGCATTGACAAGCTTAATCCTATGTACCTTCAACTATCGCTAGAACTATCGGAATCGTAAAGTTGGAAGATTGACGTTAAAGGGATGAGGTTGTCATCGGCAGTGATCAATGACTCTTTTCGAATCTGAAATGACACGCGCGCAACATCATTCCTCACACTGGCGTTCGTCGAACGAAATCTTTCGATCGAAACGTCAATGTTGTCGTCGACGACGTCGTGATCGTAAGTGTGCAGGTGGATTTGATATTTGCCGTGAAAGCAAATTGTGGTGTTATTGCACACGCGAAAAACAGCATTGGTGTTAGACGTGAGACAACATTCAGATCTTAAAGACCAAATTTCAACAAGTCTACGACAATGTGGACGTCGCGTTCGCAGCACTTTATTTTTCCTCTACACAGTAAATGTTACAGTTTCGATGTACTTGTATGAAATAAACGATTACGATGAAGTATATTCCATTGACTCGACATTTATAAAGATATTTGGTCTTGTGCGTATTCGTACGATATAAGTACAATTATAAACTTAAGGTAATTAGTCTTGTTTTATCCTGCGTATGCGTAACCTGGAACATTTACCTTTGACCTGTCACGTACTTAGTGAAATATTGCTTTATAAAACTTGTAAAAATACATTGCGAACTTGAAACTCTCGTGGTAATCGACAATTGCCCGCCCCGTTAAAACGCAAAGCAGCTCGGGCTATGGGACGCGCAACTCGAGCCTGAGCTCACTGCTCGTTCAGCGGCGGCTCGATCATTTTAGCGGTAACCTTCTCGATATGCATGCTACCGGGTCTGGGTGGCTTGAAAGTCGTGAAAGTGCTGTTGAGATGCAGGCTGACGGGCCTGCTGGGCGGACAATTGTCGAAGCGATCGTCGGGGCCCGAGCTGATGTCGCACTGCAGGACAATGCGCGGCCCGACGTCCGCGGGACCGATTCGCTCAGTCCTGATCTCGTTCAGGCCCGTCACCGAGAAATTCGTCTGCAGCAGGGCCTTATTGCGCGGCCTGCCGCCTCTTACCGGTGGTGTCGACGCCGCAAACTCGATCTTGCCGTTCGCCTCCGCTACCTCGGCGCGCTGCTCGCCCCGTTCCGCGTTCTGCTCCTCCTCCTCGAGCTCGGGCTCCTCCCGTAGGTCCTCCATCGACTGCAACGTCAATAATGCGCGCTCAACGGGATGACAGCAGCGGAGAGGCGTCCGATGGGACGCGTCATCAGACACAGACGGTCGTTGCAAGGCAAAGGCCAAGCGGCGAAAGCTCCGGAAAGCCAAATTTTAAGCGTCTAGCCGGGAGATCGACGACGATCGAAAAAGTTGGATTCTCGCGTGACGTTGCGCCGTGCGATCGACGCGAGCAGAGCATGCAGGTGCCAGCAGAGCGCAAGCTCGTCGATAGGGAGAGAGAAGAAAAAAGAAGCAAACGAAGAGAACAAAAAGAAAAGATCTTTACAAATGGGTTCGGTTTGGCAGGTTTAGAGGCGAGGCCTGTATTTACCCCGAGCAGCTCCTTCTTCTCGGCGTCCTCGTCCACTGTAACAATCAGGTCGAGAGCGAGGATTAGCGGGCTGGGCGAAGGGTACGAGGGGGTCGGAACAGCGATCAATGCAAGCCTCTCGCGCACGCACCTTTGGGATTCCTCTTATCGGCGAGGACGTCGGCCTTGGCCTCCGAGCCGGCCAAGGGCTTGTACTCCTTGGCGCTCGGGGCGATCTTGTGCGTGCCGTTGGGCCGCTTGTCCTCCGGCGCGGCGTCCTTGAAGCCGACGCTCTTGGACGCGGTCAGCGGGACCGCGGCGTCGTAGCCCGGCCACCTCTGCGAGCCCGAGGCGGACGAGCCCGAGCGCGAGCGCTGCTGCTGCTGCTGCTGCTGCTGCTGCTGCTGCTGCTGCTGCTTGCGGCGCCGGCGGTCGCTGCGCGCGCTCCGCCACACCTCGTACGAGCAGCCGATGACCGCTGCCACGAAGACGCACAGCAGCGCCACGAAGATGTAGGTGCCGGCGCCCTTCTCCTCCTGCGCCGCGTCCAGGTAGTTGGACTTGTAGAGCACGCGCTTGGGCGGGTCCTCACCCCAGGCCCGCTCGCGGTTCTGCGGGAACAGGCCGTTTCAGAGTCGCGCGACCCGACGCGGAGACACTGCCGAGCGGCCATTACCACCGTGTCGTTCTTCGGCGGCTCCAGTCCGCGAGGCTGCGTGTGGAAGACCGCGCACTGGGCGCTGCGGACCCCCGCCGGCGCCGTCACCCTCACGGTCTCGCTGCCCTTCTTCGTGAACAGCATGTACTCCTCCAGCGGCTTCATGCCCACGCCTCCGTTGATGGACACCACCACGTCTGCAAAGCGAACGGGGAATCGGCGGTCGGCGGGAGCTCGCGGCGCGGCCGAGCGGACTCACTGCTCAGGCAGCCGGTGTAGCCCTTGTAGGCCCTGAACCGCTTGTCGGTGGTGTTGAGCCCGCCCAGCTGGATCTCCGTGGTGCCGGGGCCGTCGTCGTCCTCGCCGCCCTCCTCGTCCTCGTCGTCGCCGAGGCTCAGCGCCGGGATGGGCATCAGCTGCACCGGCTCCCGGTCGATCAGCAGCGTGGCCGTGTTGTTGTCGCGCACGTAGTAGACGCTGTGCCGCGCGCCGTTCGAGTAGGTGCGGTCGTTGAGGCGCACGCCGTAGGCCGAGCCCTCCCGGTCCTCCTCGACGATCAGCTGGCCCTCGGACGTGAGGGCCACCAGCAGGTAGTAGCTCCGCCTGCAAGCAGAGACGCCTCCTCGTTGCGGCAATTGCCAGCCGCCGCCGCTCGCCGCAGCTCGCCGTCGCACTCACTTGTTCTCGGTTTGCAGCAGCAGCAGCGCGGAGGTGCGCTGCCGGTCGTTGGTCGAGAAGGCCAGCTGCACCTTGATCTGCAGCACCTCGGCGTCCAGGTCGAACTCGCGCTGCAGCACGCTCTCCCCGCTGAAGTCCGCGCCCTTCTCTGCAACACGCCCGCGCGGTGCTCGTGGTCAGCGCGATCGACGCGGTCGGCGCGGTCGGCGCGGTCGGCGCGGTCGGCGCGGTCGGCGCGCAACGGACTCACCGTCGGCGCAGTGCTCGCCAAAGTACGAAGTGAGTTCGCAGTTGCACGAGGCCTCCTGCTTGCCAAAGTCCTCCGCGCAGATGCCCTGGTTCTTGCAGGGCACGGCGTCGCACTTCATGTGGCAGTTGGGCAGCAGGCCCTTGCTCCCTTCGTGGTTGGCTTCGCTCGCCAGGTTCGGCAGGTCCACGAGGTACTCGCCGATCATGAGCCCGCGCAGGCAGCCGACGTAGCCCTGGATCAGCTGGCCCTCTTGGCCCATCCTCAGCAGGTTGTCGGGGTCGAACCCTCCCAGGTTGACCTGCACGCAGAGAAGCGCGTGGTGGTGGGCTCGGGGCCGAGGCATGGCCGACGGCGCCCGGGAGCGCCGGCAATTACTTGGAAGTAGTCGGTGGGCGGCGCGGGCGGGCGCTGAGGCGCGAGCACCTCCTTCTCCGGGTTGAGCCACGGCTTGTTCGAGTACGCGTCCAGCAGCAGCGGCACGGCATCCAGCGTGGCGTTGAGCTCGTTCACGTGCAGCGTGGTCGCGTTGTCCGTGCGGACGATGGCTACCTGCACGGAGATGCCCGTGTTGGCGGCCGGGTACTCCACGCTGATGTTCTTGATCTCGTTGGCGGCGTTGAACAGGTAGACGATGTTGGTGCCGTTCGAGATGTAGAGGTGAGCGAAATTATTCAAGTGGTCGTTCGCGTAGAGGATGAGCGAGTGCGCGTCGTAGGTGCGCAGGTTGATGAGCACGTTCTTGTAGAGCATGCTCTTGAGCAGCGTCTTCTCCTCCTCCTCCTCGCTCGAGCCGAAGTAGTTTTTCTTCAGGAAGGCTCCCGGCGAGGTGAAAGTCAGAGCCTTGCTATTGATGTCTGAGCGCAGAAAAACATTTGGTTTTTCAGAAGAGCATTTGGTTCCGAGGCCTGTACGGGCGCACACGGCTTGCTCGCGGGCGTTACTCACTCGTTTCGCAGTAAGTTCCCAGATGAGCCCACCTGTTTTCACAGACACACGTGAAATTGCTCCAGAGCTCCACGCAGCGAGCATTGTTCTGGCACTTGTTCGGTTGACACGAGGGCTTGCAGTCTTTGATGATCTCCGACAAGTGGACCGACATGTAGCTGTGAATGTCGAGAATCTCGCCGTTGACGACGAGGCCTCGGAAGCAGCCGATCAGCCCTTGCCTCACCGAGGACGTTTTCAGGTGTTCGCTAGGAAGCAAAGTCGCGGCTCGTCGGTATTCGTTGGTTATCTTTCCCGTGATCGTCGTCGATCGAGAGAAAAGGGAAGGAAAGATGCTCACGCTGTTGCGCCACCGATGAACATGGAACCCTCGAAAGGTCCGAACTCTTCCTCGGGAAGCAAATCGACCATTTGGAAATCTGTGTTTATCATGAACCTCACGTGATAATCGTTGTAGTCGATCCAAATCTTTTGCCACTCGCCGTTGTTCAATTTCCGCCGACTCTTCACTTCGAGCTCGCGAATCTTTCCAGTGTTGAGCGTGAAGTTGAACGTGAGTCTGTAGTCGGAGGCGAGCGCCACCATGAACGACGGATAATTCTTCCGTATGGGAGGCTGATACAAAAGAATGGCTCTTTCCCCGGTCGTTCGGAAGCTGAAGGCGATGTCGCCTTTCCGCCAGCCGGGCACCTCGATGTAGGACTGCGAGGTCGTGAAGGTGACGACGTACTTCTGGGTGTCTGTCGCGGAAATCAGAGAAATGAGCAGGCGCGCGGACGAAAGAAACCACTGGTCGCGGAGGTTTCTCAACGATCGTGCGCGCGCGCGCGCGCCTTACTTGTCTCGACGCACTCGAGCGGCCCGAGCGTTATCCTGCCCTGGGCGTCTTCCTCGAGATGGCGCTGCTGGAGGAAGACCATCTCCGTGATTCCCAGCGAATCAGGCGCTTCGTAGTAGCCCTCGTCGGACAGCCATTTACCGGCCGACACGTCGCAGTTGCAGCTCAGATTGGAATTGACGCACGTCCTATTGACTAGTTTCATCGGGACAACGTCTCGCGTGAGACTCTCGTAAAGACGAATCGACGAATCGACGCGCAAAGTCGAACGCGGCCTTACCTCCGCACGGACAGGAGCCGCGATTGACGTTGCCGATGTAGTCGACGGCGGTGCCCTTGGAGCTCAGGAACCACGTGGCGCTGTGCAGCTCCAGCGGCGCCTTGTAGCAGTCGTACTTGACGTACTGGCTGCAGAAGAGCGAGTGCGATATGAGCTCCTGCAGCATCTCGGCGCTGAACTGCACGTACGAGATGTTGAACATGAAGTCGCTCTCTTGAATCGATCGCACGTCCACTTGCGAGGGCAAATTGTGCTCGACGATCGTTTTCGTCGAGTCCTCGATCGACTGAAACTCGCACTTGACGAGCGCCGGTGGGAATCTGCCGTTGCCGTCGATGTCGATCTTGTAGACGTCGTCTTTGGTGTAGCCCAGTAGCGCCAGCTCTTCGCACGTTTTCCGGTACTGAGCTGAACATTGGACGCGCGAGATCAGTCGACGAACTACGAGCGCGAGACGCTGCGCCAGCTAGGCGAAACGATTACCGAAGTGGCAGTTCTTTCCCATGTATCCGGTTTCCGTGCAGTCGCAGGTGATTCTGTCCTCCTTGACCGAGCACTTGCCGCCGTGCTCGCAGGTGTTCGGCCGCGTGCACGGATCGACGAACTGGCAATTGTCGATGGCAACCTCGCCCACGACTTTTTCCGTGTTGACGATGTAGCGCGGCTCGATTCTCTCGTTGTTCACGAAAATTTCTCGCATGCACCCGACCAGCCCTGCCAATGCGGCGTTATTCGCTTCATTTTCATGCGTTCGTTTTATTGGAGCGCGGCTATTGCGATACGCAAGCCGCCAGCTTACCTGCGTTTCCCTGCCCGCTGCCTATGATAACTCGGTTTCCTAGTTCCAAATTCAGATTAAACGACTTCGTTTGCTTGTTTTTATAATCCACCACGATGCTGAGCTCTTCCTTGGTGTTGTAGTTCAGGTCGACCGCGTGCCAAGAGGTATTATACGGGAAGTTGACGGTGGTGGTGAAGGTCGCGTTCTCGTCGAGGGTCGGCACGAGAACGAAGCGAATCTCATTGTTCACTGCCCGCAACTGGAACGCAAGCGAGAACGACGGGGATTCGACGGTCCCGACCGAGCGAGGAATCGAGCTCTCACCTCCCAATATCCCAAGCTGCCATCGGTGATGACGTCGCCCGAGGCAACCACCGCCGTGGGCTTGGAGCTCTTGAAATCGAAGCTCAATTTCAAGGAGTTGGGCTCGTCTATGGGCCACCAAATGTGACTGCCGGCGAACGGGTACGTAATGGGAATGACTTCGACCTCGTCCTCGTAGTACTCCGGCTCGAGTACCCCGATGTAGTGCACCATTGGGTTGGAGCGTTTCAGCTCGTAAATGATGGATTTGTCGTTGAAGAATACGTATTTGAGGGAGCCTGCAAGGCAAGCGGGTCAGAGGACGGTGCGAGGCTGGAAACAATAACGCACAATAACGAAACAATAACGCACCCGCAAAAGTATTGTTGGACACGAGGCCCTCCTTCTTGTGGAGCTCGGGCCCGCCGCCGATGTAGATCTCGGGATCGATGATGATGGTGTAGCTGTCGCCGGGCACTTCGTGCGCCTTGATCTCGTCGTTGAGGCTGATGTAGACGAGCGAGACGTTGTGGAAGATGGTCAGGTTGTTCCAGTAGTTGGAGGTGACGTCCTGACCCAGGACCGAGTTGATCTTGGAGTCGTGGCCGAAGTCGATCTCGACGACGACGCTGCCGTTGAGGATCGAGGCCGCGATGTAGTGGACCGTGCCGTCGATCTCGCCCGAGGCGTAAAACAGCGCGGAGTCGTCCCACTTGGTCTGCAAAGGCACGTTCGGCGGGTAATCGGAACGCGCGCGAGCCCGACACGGCGAGAGATAGGCCGGCGATTCCGGGAAAGGAGTGCTTGCGCGGCACCGCGGCCTATCGACGATCGTCTCACCTTGAACATCAGGCTGATCCGGTTGACCGCGGAGTGCACGCGATCCTTCCAGTCGTAGACGCGGAACGAGACGTAGGAGGAGCCGCGCAGCGTCAGTATGGTGGCGGCTGCAACAAATCACGTCCGTTACGCGAGTTACGCGAGTTACGCAAGCGATCGCCGCAGCGGTGCGGCCTCGTTCGCCACGATTGACACCTACTGTAAACGTCGCACCTCTCTCCCTCGTACTTGGTGCCGAAGCAGTCGCACGTCAAGCTGTTGTAATGGTTGACGCACTGACTGCCGCGGAAGCACAGGTTCTCCCGCGTCTTGCACCTGTTTTTCGGTTTTCAGCGCCGGAAACGGACGCCGCCGGTGAGAATGTCGCCAATGAGAACGTATCGCGTCAGCGTAACCGGAGGAGAGGACCCCCCCCTCCCCATCACTTACTTGTCGATGCAGCCTTCCTTCACGTTCTCGTGTTTGGTGGCGATAAGCGGCCGTATGGGGAGCAGATCGCTCGCAGACTTCCCGGAACTCAGCACCATGTCCCTGATGCAGCCGACGAACGACTCGATGATGTACTTGACGCCGTGCAGCCGCTCCTCCGAGCTGAGACCTGCAACAGCGAGCGAGCGAGCGAGCGGTCGGTCGGCGGTGCGAGCTGGTCGCCGGGAGGGCGCAGCCCACCTCCGATGAGCACCACCGAGGCGAGCTCCTCGGACACCCCGTAGTTGACGATGTGCTCGAGCACCTCGACCGTCGTCTCCGTCTGCTTGTCGTTCACCCTGGCGATCAGCTTGGCCCCGTGGACGTCGATGCGCACCAGCACGCTGTGCCACTCGTCCCGATTAAGGCCCTCGCCGACGGTCAGGCTGGTCAGGTTCTTGCCGAACACGTGCACCACCTTCAGCTGGCCCTTCTCCACGATCACGTAGAGCGCGTAGGGCTCGAGCCGCTCGGGCCGGTCCTTCACGCTGTGGTAGACCAGCAGCCCGTGGGGCAGCTTGGTGCGGAACTTGAACGAGATCTCGCGGCATAGCCTGCAAGCGAGTGCGCCAAGGAGATCGGCTGCCGTGCGGCCGGTGGGCGCGCGCCCTCGGCTACGCACCTCAGCTGGAACGTCTTGATGCCGGGCCCGTCCAGCTGGATGAAGGTGTTGCTCTGCGCGAACATGAAGGTCTTCTCGTAGCCGGACTCCATGAAGGTCAGCTCCTTGCCGCGCTTCTGCCTGGGCACGGGCGGCCGCGTCGGCCTCGTGGGCCCGAAGCTCGGCGCGGCCGTGCTGCCGATGCCGATGCCGATGCCGCTCCCGCCGCCGTCGCCGCCGTCGCCGCCGCCGCCGCCGCCGGTCGCGGCGCTCGCGCTCGTCGCGCTGGTGCCCGTCGTCACGAACACGCTGCTCTTGGTCGTCACGTACGGCGGCAGCGTGTCTGTCGGACGGGCACAACAGGTCGCTCAGAGAGGCTCCGCGGGCTCGAGGCCGGCGGCTCCGCTCGCGCGAACTTACGCTCGGGTCCGCCGATGCAGTGGTGTAGGCACTCCTCCTCCGTGTTGAAGCGGTTCTCGTTGCCCAGGCAGCCGCCGTAGACGAAGGTGTGGCAGCTGCCCGCGGTCTTGTTAAAGGCCCACTTGTGCACGTAGTTTTTGCAGGGCCCGTGCTCGGCCTTGACGAAGCAGCGGTCGGGCAGGTCCCGCCTCGCGGTCGCCGTCGTCGGCCGGGGCTGACCGCTGCTCGTGGCCGCATCGTTTCCGTCTTCGGCGGCGGCGGCGGCGGCGGCCTCGTCGTCGTCGTCATCGTCGTCTTCGTCGTCGTCGTCGTCGTCGTTGTCGTCGTCGTCATAGCGAATGTCGTCATCCTCGGCCAGCGACGCCAGGTAGCCGTCAGCCAAGAGGAGCAGCGCCAATGCCAGGATCCCGAAGACCCGCTTGCCCCGACTCGGCATCCTTCCTCCTCATTCGCCTTCGCCGACTGCGAATGACGTCTCGCACTGCGGCGCATAACGCAGACTGTCATGTGTCGGTGTTGCGTAGTTCGCATTCGGACCGCGTCCGCGAGTACGAGCGATAAAAGAGCGCGGCGCGCGCGTGCCGAAAAGCAGCTTGGAATGCCAAGCAGTCGGCGGTGACGGTAGCCCGCCTTTGTCGGCGGACGCGCTGAGCTTCCTTCCGGCCGCGTCTTCTTGCCGACGCGAACGACGTCCAGCCGCGCGTGCCGCGCGACGAGTTTGCGCTTCTGCCGCGAACGAATGCCGATCGCGTGGCCGGCAGGTTTGCTGTCTCGAGGGGCGTCAAATGGTGCAAGACTGATGCTGTCTCGCGCTCGTAGACCACCATCCATTAGCCGACAGTGCGAGTGTAAATCCGCCGCCTTTACTTAATCGTTTGCAACGAGTCATCTTTGAACGGTGCTGATGCGCTCGCTCATTTTCGCGGAGATTAGCTTGCGGAATGACTGGAAGCTCGAGTAAGGTCTCGCTTTCAATTCCGCGGAAAGCCATTATCTCGGTCGAAGCGTTATCGCTCGATTACCTCGAAGGCCCGTGAAACCTGGCCGCCGGCCCAAGCTCCGTCCACGTGAGCGCGCGGTCGCGGCAGCCGGCGCACATTTCCGGCTCGCACGTCTCTTGGAGATGAACCTCGAACCGAGAGAAGGAAGTCGTTAGCACCGCCGTGTATTCCAACTGTTCACTTGCGCGCGCTCCGCTAACGAGCGCTAATCAATTGTCTTGCGATCCTATGAGATCTATTCCAAGATGGGCGAGCCCTTTCTAAACGCGCGCGCGCGCGCGCCGCCGCTGAGAACTAGCGATGATAAAAAGCTGTGGCGCGCGAGCTGTGGTTTCAGCGTCGCGAGAGACGAGTAATTCCTCGAAGCACGTGCTCATTCGCAGGCCCCATTCCATTGAAGCTCGTGCGAGCGAGCAGGGAGACGCGTAGAGAGAGAGAGAGAGAGAGAGAAAAGGTTAGCGTATGGCAGCGTCCTTGCTCGAACAGTTTGGCGGTGACGCGACGCAGCAGCAGCGAGTACTTTCCAAGTCTCTCGCTCGTCGGCGGATGTGCGATGGCGGGCAATTGTCTTCTGTCAAGCTGGCCGAGCGGAGCTTGCACGAGCGCACGCGCCCATTACGGTGCTCCCCCCCTTGCCTCTCGTTCCGTCTCGTTTTTCCAACGACTCCTCTCGCGAGCAGGCTTTTCGGCAGACTGAGCTCGCGTCGCGGACCTGGTCGAAACCGGACGGCGGTCTCGTAAAGCTACGTCGTCGATGGCAAGCGTACGAGGCGTCCTTTGTGAGCGCGAGCGATCACGCAACGCACGCACGAGTTGCCCGCCAGCTAATTTATTAATGGCCGCTCCGGCGAGTCGAGAGTCGAAGAGCGGTACGCGTAGAGTCGATCCGTCTCCTCCTTCGCCACGGTTTATTGACTCGCGTTCGCCCGCGAGTCCACCGGCCCAATTCGTCGTCGCTGTCTCCGCCGATGATCGATTCGCACCTCGTCCGCTCCCTCTTTTTCCGATTCGACTGTTGTTGGGCTCTCGGTCGTTCGCGTGTCAACTACCGTCGGCTCACCGAGAAATCGAGCCGCAGCACTCGAGCTTGCTTGCTTGGACACTTGGACGGCAGAACGGAAAAGTTTCGAACTCGACCAAAATAAAAGACTGGGCATGGCAAGAGCGAGCACCTCGCGAAACCGCGAAAAGTAGGCGAAGAGTAGCCGCCAGTGGGCCAGCGCATAGATCTCTGGCCATCTACAGAAAGCGCGAGGGAACAAGAGCGAGCCGGGCCGGCCGATCGATATATCGAGCAGGCGCTCGCGCACTCCGGTCTGCTCCAGTTTTCCGAACGACCGAGCCGGCCCCAGCCCCAGGGGTTGCGTCTCGAACTTGGTCTCGATGAGTTGCTCGCCCGTCGCAAACTCACAACTGCACTGGGCCGAGAAACCAGCTCACAGCGTCGGGCTGATGACATTGCTGTGCCGCCCGGGCCATCCTCGACTAGCCGTTAATTTTCGGGAGCGCGCTGCCAGCTCGTTCGTAGACAAGCCTAATTGGGCGAAAAGCGCGTGATTCACGACGTTCGGTGAGCGACGCCGAGAAAGCCGCTCCGTGCGCCTGCCTGGTTTCCTGCTTTTCGAACGACCACCGGACTCGATCAACAAAATAACGATCCAATCGAGTCTTATCGACGTCTATTCGCACTCTCGCCTATCTTCGCGACAAAGCCATCGATCGCGCTTTTCCCATTCGAACCGACAATAATTACGAGTGCAGCTGTGAAACAGCGATTAATAAAGTTTATCTGAAAATAAACTCGCAGGCGGCGTGCGAGATTGGGAGCGTAGCAACGATCATGCGACCAAACCCATTGCGACGCGACGGCGTGTCAAAGCTGCTCCCCCATCGTGCGGTGGCGCTCGATGCCGATTCGTTTCTCATCGGGAGCCTCGATCGCGAAGCTCCAAAATCGTTCCCAGCGCGATTCGACGTCGGTGCAAAAGGCGAAAAACACCCGCGAGTTGGCTTACCTAAAACAGGCCGCGTGTGGCGCTAGTCAGTCCCCGCGTTTTGGCAGCGTCTGGCATGAGCGACCTCTCCGTGCCGTATCCAGATAACAAGTTATTACATTGCACTCGAGCGGGTCGTCGCTCGGCCGTTCTCTCGTGCGTTTATCGCGGCGACCGTGACTGAACGCGCATCGCGTCGACACGGAAATCGGCTGGATGCAGCGCGAGAGCGGAGACCGAGAGAGCGAGAGAGCGAGAGGCGCTGGAAAGCTGCGGCGCTAGAGAGTGTTGTGCTTGCGCGCCGGTCTCGCGCTCGCGACTGTCGATGTGCCGCCGTTGTCGCCGCCGCCGCCGCCGCCGCCGCCGCCGCCGGGCTCCGCATTAACGTCCGATGAGCCACCGACGAGCCGCGGCCGGCCGATCAACGTGCGACTGCGAGGGGAAGAGGGGGAGGGCTCGTCCCGCCCTCCTTTCTGCTTTTTAACCCTTTCGGCGATAATCGCATGCTCGAGATTGTTCATTTGGCCACTTTTGCAACGGCCTACCGCATTATATTCGCGTGCCCTGCACTCGGATGTTTAATTCTGCGGTCCTGAAAGACAAAAGCTGATAATAAAATATTTGTTCGTTCAAATGAAAAGTCTGAGAATGTGTTCTGAAAATGCCGATTAACGGAAAATTTGAGAAAACGATTTTTCATGTAACTTATGACGTTAGCTTAGTTATCGGTCTGATCACTTCGCAACTGATTTATCGCAGTGCCAATATTAATCGACGCGACTGCACTAACGATTACAGAAACAATCTCTTTTAACTCGCGTTTGCGTAAGAACAAACGAGTGTACTCGACAAACGAAAGAAAGAAAGCACAGCTATTTGTCACTCGATGCAGTCATAAAACCCACAATGTTGACTCTTCTCATAGTCATAATTGCAGAAAAAAGGTGGGAAGAAAGGAAAACGGACGGCGAGAGACGAATATGGGAATGAAAGAATCCACGCTCGAAAAAGAAGTAAGAGCGCAGTCGCGAACGCGCGCGAGAGAGAGAGAGAGAGAGAGAGAGAGAATTGTAAGTGTAACAAATAAATTGGCAAGGAGATAATAGACAAATTGGCCCTAAGCACATCCGACGCGTTGACCGCGCGCGAATCGGAAGGTCGCTCGCACCGAAGATATTGTCTGGCTCTCTCGAGCGCGTTGTCGCTCCCTTCGTCACGTACTTGCTCGTCAAAGTCCCTTTGAGCGAGATTTCACGCGACCATCGATCGATCGTCCCGAACCGCGAGCGACGCCGAGCGCGTGAAAGAAGAGCGAGCTCAGGAGAGATAAGATTAGTCGTTTGTCGGCCCCCCTACGCTCCTCTCCATAGCTCGATCCGTTGACCCTCGGATTACTTTTTTCTTTTTCCTCGGCTGAACTCGCTGCTCGGGCCGAGTTATACGCTGTTGCGCAGTCGCGGATTCCAATTCTCCGCCGAAATACCTGTGGGCGGCGTTTCGTTATTGATAATAATTTAGAAAGCGCACAACGAATTCCCCTTGGGTAAAGGAGGTGTCGCGAGCGCAGACACGTTACACCAATCCATTCGCCAACACCTGCGCAGGTGGCTCGAGGAAAATATAGCATGGTCCTCATAATCGGCGCAAACGTCGTTAACGGGGGGCCGAGGCGATTAAGAGGTCGCGATGAAAAGAAGCTGCGCGCAAGATCGTTAGCGAGCGCTAAAACGTCTGACCCACATGTTGCGTCAGAGCGCGCACGTGCAATCGCGGCTCTCTCTATAAGCTGCGCGTGGCGGCGAGCCGATTTCGGAGCGCTGGAAACTCGCCGACGACAGGGCAGATGCGCCCGCGGACAAAGGCCCATCGATGCGCGCGTTGCGTTATCGCGGACGAGCAGAGGCGGCTGAGCAAACACTGCCGGATGTGCGTACGTCCGCGTCGCGGGAATTCGTGCGACGCACAGGTCGGTACGCGCGCTTTATCCTACCGCGATAAGTCGCCAACTCCGCGAGTCGACCGACTGGGTAGAAGATGGCGTTAGTGGCATCGTCGCGTACCATCCGATCCAGGGTAGATATCTGCGTTATCAACCACGACGACTCGTCGATATCGATATCGAGGGCCGCGCTCGGTGAAAATCGTTGGCATTGCGATCTCTGCCCGAGGAGGAGTATACGTACGGCGCGCGCCTTCGTCGATGCTTCGGCGTTGGCAACCTCGCGGAAATCGATGGAAAGGTCGCGACGTTTTCTCGAGAGCAATTTTCGAAAATAATATAGACGGTGCATGCGCGCGACAATCGTGTCGGGCAAAGAGAGCGAGAGAGAGGGAGAAATTGGCATGTTCTCTCGCGGGCGTCGTCGTGTTCCAGATAGAAAGTGACCGGTCTGAGAACCGACGTGTCGCGGCCGTTCTCCGTCGCTCTGAAATATCAGCGCGAGTCATTAGCACGAGGAAGCTGGACTATAAACCACCGAGCCGTGACGCTCGTGCCGGCGATATATTCTACGTATCCCCGCGGGGCGCGCGTCTTCCGCGACCGTTCTCCCCTCGTACTTCCGCTCGGGAGTCGCGAGCGACGTCGCAACGGTAAAAAGTCCGCGCGTCCGAAACTCGCGGCGGAGTTGCGTAGCTTTGGCACGCGAGCTCGAGCGCCAAGTCGCCGCGCGAAAACGCGATCCGTTCCGCTCGATTTTCGCTCTCGAGGGAGTTGAAAAAGGCGTTGCGCGCCACGACGGCGACGCGTATAGGTAGGCACGCGAGTGCCGGGCGCCGAGTTTCCTTCTCTTTGCGCCTTTTGTCCGCGCCTCGGATCGGGTGGGTGGACACACGCACGGACGCACCGCCAAGTCTTTCTCCGCCTCGCTCTGCCTCGCCGGTACCGTTACGCGCGCTCGCGGTTCACGAAGCTAACGAGCTCTCTCTCTCTCTCTCTCTCTCTCTCTCTCGCGCGCTGGTGGGCTACGCGGAAACGTGCCTTTTTTCACTTTCCATTGTGCGCTGCTGGCCGCGCGTACGCACCGATGGATATGGGCGGCTGCGAGGTGCGAGCACGCGTGTGATTTCGCGTCCAGCCGCGATGAATTATGCAGCGCCGCGTCGGTTATGGACTCGCCAGAGCCGCCAGCTCGCGGAGATCGCGGAGATCGCGGAGATCGCGGCGGCGCGATAAGAGCGCGCGCGCGGCCGCCAGAGTGATAATGCAGATAAGCGAGAGCTGCGCTCGGGATATATTAGTTACGAGCCGCGGTGAAAACGCGAAAGCGTAACTCGGCAACGGGGGGGGGGGGGGCGTCGGCGTCGTTCCCAACGCGATTTCTCGGACGCTCGGCGGCTCTCGGTCACCGCTGTGCCGCCGAAATCGTTGAGCTGTCGCACGCCTTCGCGCTTCTCTCGACGCTCGTACGCCTACGAGTCGGCGGGTACCGCTCTCGTGCTTTCCTTCCTTGGATCGTTTTCGCGCCAACTGCGCCGCGCGCTCGTTCTCCCGCTCGGCCGGTGGCGGCCACTTTCTCCGTGCGCGATCGTTGATAATGCACTTTGCGCTGGTTTTCGGCGGCCAGCCGACGACCAGGTGACACTGCGCGCGGCCGCGTTCAGGATCACGATCGCAGCTCCTTTTTCCCCGAGCTTTTCATCCGAGGGACCGGTTGATCGGCCAATGGAGCTTTCGGATTTGGTCTCGTCGACTCCGGCGACCGCGATCTCTGCTACACTTTCCTCCCAGAAGCCAAGCCGCTTTTCGAGCACTTTGGAAACTCGCTCAGCAGTGAAAGTGCCCGCGTTGCTGACGGCAACGACGCCGCGCGGGAAGCTCGCTCCTTTGGTCCGAACGACGCCCGAAGCGAAGCGACGCATCCCCCTATATACATATATATCCCCCGGCGGCTTTCTTTCGAATGCACGCGGTTTTCGACGAATCGCCTAGGCCGCAGCCGGGGCAGACGAGAATTCTCGCCGATTGACTGCGAGCTTCCTCTCTCCGGTCGTTTCCCTTTTCCTCGTAGCGACTGCCCTCGCCGGCGGGTCAAGCGCGCGAAGGCTCCGCGCCTCGTTTCCTATATACACTCGCCGCGCTATCTTATCTTCGCAGCCAGCAGGCGGAATGGCGCATTAATACGGCCTCCGTGCGTTGCATCGGTTGCGCGGCCTCGAGGATTCTCCGTGGGTATATATATTATTTTTTCTTTTTCTTCGTTCATTCGTTCCTCTTGCGCGCGAGACGTTCATTTGACTGCGCGAGCGCGCTCAAGGATAACACTGTCGGTCGCGCGCCTGTCGCGAGCTGGACTACGATTGATGACCCGTGCACCTGGACGGGTTGGCTGTCGAGCGCGTGGGGAGCCGCGGTGGTCGTCGTAATTGTTGTCGCCGGGATCTTACGACATCGCGCTCGCGCGACTCTGTCCGCAAGAAATGGCTGCAATAAAAAACGAGCCGCGCGGCTGCTCCTGCCTTTCCACGTACGAAATAAAAATATCCAGATGTTTTTTAATGCTCGCCGCCGCCGCCGCCGCCGCCGCCGCCGCCGCCGCGACGAATAAAAACCAGCTTGGCGCGCGCGCGCGCACTACGCTCGCGTAACGACCGTGTACGAGCATCGCATTCCGGTAAGACTCGTTCTCCTTTTCTCCGGACACATTGTTTTGCAAGCGCGCGCGTTGCGCGAAATTTCGGAGGCGGTTGCGCGTTTGATTTATGCGAGCCGCGAACGCGAGTTTCCGCTGGCTGTGCTGCGCGTGCGCCCGTTCAAGTCGCCCGCGACGCGACCGAATCTCCGCCACGGCTGTCGCGGAGTCCGATGCCCGTAACGAAGGCTCGGCGATGAATCTCCGGATAAGTGCGGACGAGGAGCGAGCCTCGTAAAAGTCCGTCGACCACTCGCGAGCTCGAGAGAGGGATCGCGGGGAGGGGAAGGTACCGAGCCACATCCGCGCAAAGCTCGGCGAATGACAACAATCCTTGGCTCGTAACTCTCTCGGCGCGTAATCGCCTGGATTCGTTCATCTGGCAACTGTCGGGGGACGACGAGGAGGTCGCCGCGTGACGCATCGCTCTCGCCGAGTTTAACGCGCCGCGGCCGCGGACAAAAGACGCGAGCGCGGGCCGCGCTTCCGTGTGCGATCGGGAGCTTTTTCTCTGGCGGCGGGACGTGCCTGCTGGCAGTCGGGCTGGCCGCGCCCGAGGACAATTTGCGAGCAGCGCTCACCGCGGCAAGTGCACCACGGCAAGTGTACCGCGGCAAGCGCACCGCGGCAAGCGCACCGCGGCAAGCGCACCGCGGCCGCTGGTGGGACAATGGCAACGACCGTCCGCGAGGCTGTTATACGATATTCGCAGGTACTCGCGCGAGCCGAGCGTTCGCCCATAGGAAGTAAGATGGTCGGGCGCGTATAATGTCGCCCGTATACAATTCCAATCGGTTCTATTCCGTTATAGCCCCACGGGCGAGTTTGCTGACTGGCAGGCGGAGAGAACGAGAGATAGGGAATAGGTTCTCACGATTTTGCATGCCGCTCGATCCCAATTACCGCGGGCCGCGCGCGAGGCGGAGATTTCAATTGCATACTACATTTATTTTCGTCAAGGTTCAGGGATCGAGCCTCGACGAAAATGTCTCACTGGGCTAGAAACCAGTAACCAGATCTCTCAAACCTATCGCAAATGTATTGGTTTAAAGGACGACTTTATAAGTCATTACTGCCATGAAATATTGGCGCCTTCTGGTGACAGGGAAATAGCCGCCGCCCTCCGTATCATTTCAAAATGGATCTTACCTCCTGGTTTTGCAATATTTCCAATTTCTTGTTTAAGGAAAGTGGAAGATCACGGTAGACTAAACAACAATAGTCCAAGCGGGGTACAGATCGCAATATTATTTTAGAGATATATGAGTATTCCAACTAAGGTTATCATTCATAATAACTTGAAGCTTCTTAATAAAGTGTATTTGGTGAGCACTTAAAGGAATCGAAGGAAGTTGCTTCGTATCAACAAGTTGAAGGTTTTGATTGTAACAAAAGACAATCGCTACCATCTAATCTTATATTTAAAGAGTAACATAAAATGTGTGATTTCTTGACTTACCATTGAACGACTCTATTTGCGTCCTCTTTTAACAACTGAATATCAGTGGGAAGATCATTCTTTTTGCACTGAATATTAATTTGGAAGTCGTGAGCAAATAGAGCACCAGTGTTCTTGCAATGAAACAGACAGTTTACAACGCTGTTTACAAGCATAATAAAAGCAACTGGGGCAGGATTTAAGCCTTGGGCAATTCCGTACAGTGACCACGCAAATCGATAACAGATTGAGATCTTCCAGTTAAGTAAGAACAGAACCAATTAATGAAATCGTTCGAGCGGCTTAGCTCTCTCATCGCTTTGAATAGTACGGCATGAGTTACCGAGTCGAATGCCTTGCGAAAGTCAAGCTTCAAAAGAATGGTGGCCATTTCGTTGTCAATTCCTCGTCTAATGTCATCGGTACTTTTAGGCAGACGCGTTTCAATGCTATGATTCTTATGGAAGTCCGATTGTCATACCGAGAGCAATAATTTACCATCCTCGAGCTAATTATCTAATTTAAAAATAATGAATTTGCCGATGATCTTCGTAAAATAAGCTGGATTGTCGAGGATCAGCTGTTTTTTGCGTGGCGTAAATCTTTTCCATGCTTCGACGACAGAGAGAGACCGCGAGCCTCGCCGCTCTATTTTTTTCGACGGATGGGATCTCCAATGGGATGAACGCATCGTTACGCGCGTACGTCGGATAGTACGACGGCCGAGTTTTCGCTCGCTGGAGTTTCACCGGAAATTTCAGCGGGTCTCGAGAGCGAAATGCAGGGATGCTCGTCGGTGTAAAAGCAGCAGAAAAGAGAGGCTCCGCTCGCTGTCTGCGAGCCGGAGGAGGCGAGCGAGCTGGTCGGTCTCTCTGCCCCTTCTCCGCGGCGCTCGTGACGTCACTGGTTCACATCGCACAGCCGTGCTGCACGCAGCCACGGGCCTCTCACTCGCTCGGCGGCGCCCGACCCAATCCGAGCCGCTGCCGTCCGCACGCCTCTGTGTCGCGTTTTTCTCGTGCGCCCCGACCGACGCCAGAGTGCTGACGAAACTTGGTGTTGTCGCGAGTGCAAGTGAAAGAATCCCGGCCTCGCAGCCAGTGTGCGATATATCTGTGTGAGAGTTGTTGTACTCGCGGCCTCGATTCTCCGGGAGTGCCGGCCAGTTGGTCCTCCTCCCTCTCGTTGTGATTGCCGTGCCCAGAGGATAACCGTACGCCAGAGAGAAAGAGATAGAGGGAGAGGAAGAGAGGGAGAGAGGGATCGCGGATGGATTGACGAGCGAGCCGCCACCGATCCGAGCTTGGTAAGCTTCGAGCCAATTGTCCGTTTGTAGGTTGCCCGCGGACATTTCGAGTCCGATCGTCCGGTGCGCAGAACTGCAGACGCTGCCTCGTTAAGCAAAGAAACGTTAGGCTCGAGACACAGAGAGAGAGAGAGAGAGAGAGAGAGAGAGAGAGAGAGAGAGATAAAGCGTTAACTGTGCATGATCGAGTGCTCGGCGGCGCGCGTGAGAACAACTTTTGAGGCGAGCGCCGGGTCATCTCCCGGGATTTGTAACGAGAGCCTCGTTACGCGAGCGCGCGCCGCGGCTATAACGGTCGGGCTCGAAACCAGCCAGGCTAATTATGCCGGGCGCTCGCTTCGAGACCGCCAAGGGCCACCCGTCCGCCCACGAGCTTGCGCCCGAGCTCTCTCGGCTCGACGCCCCTGCATCGTAAGGTCACGGAGAAGCCAGCTGCTGCGCGAGCGCCGAGGTCCCTTGGCCTCTGCATCCTTTGCGCAAGACGCACGGCTTTATGCAACGCGGCTCTTGCGGAGGTGGCTTTCTCTAGCTTCGTTGCGTCAGCGCCGAGAGATGTGTGGCGCGGGCATCATCGGGTTGCCGCCGCCGCGTTTTAATTCGCCTTGCGCAAATTCGAGATCCACGAGCGACGGCAGCGCGAGCGCGCACGCAGCGGCAATCGAGTGCACGCGACGCGCGCGGCCGTGCGATTTTGGATAACCGAGCGAGCGCCGTCGCCACAGCCGCCACAGCCGCCGCAGCCGCCGCAGCCGCCGAGAAAGGAACACGGAAAGAAGCGAGGCGTCGCGCTCGTTGTAACGGGAGCTCGACGCGCGCTGGCCCAGAATCCACCGGTCGTTTATTGTTCTCTTTTTCCTGGAGATCTGTTAAAGCGGAGCGACGAATGCCGACGCGTCGGGCGCGCGCCGACGACGAGTTGCCCGCTCGGGCTCGGCGGAAAGGCGACCGGGGGCGAGGCGTTTCACTCTTGGTCTGCGTCCGTGCACCGAGCAGCGCGATTATCGAAACGAGACTTTTCGAGCTCCGTTACGAGCGGCCATACGGACGCGTGAGAGCGCCAGTCACGCGAGAGCAGCCAGAATCGTGGCGAAACGGACTTAATAACGATCGCCGAGCGAGGGAACGTCCGTTCCCTTTTTCTCCTTTTCTTCCTTTTTTTCTTTTCGTTTCGGTTTCGCACGCCGTAACTCATGATCGCCTCCCAATGCACAATTTACGCCGAGGCTCGCTCAAAAGAGCCGTGCGTTCGCTCGTCGAACTCTACTCTCGTTTTCGCGCCGCGCGCCGCGCGCCGCGCGCGGCTCGGTCGCTCTGGACGCGTTCGAGCGCGGACAGCTGCACGCGAACTGGGCCGCGATTCGATTCGACGGGTGGCTCTCCACTTATTGGAACGGAACGCGCGGATGGATGGCCCGTATCGGGCGTCGATCGTCCGCCCCGGCCCCGTTGAGCGAGCAACGGCAGCTTCCCGAATCCGGAGCGCCGCGGGTGACTGCACGCGTTCACTTTCGATAAAAATATCGACGCCGCCGTTAGGATCGCCTGCCTCGATCGGCCGTGAGCTCGCTGAGAAATCGGCAATTGTCGGATCTAACGAAAGTTGCGACGGATATCCGGTGCACTGTAATGTCGAGAGAGCACGAGTAGTAGCCATTGTCGCGTCGGGCGACAGTGGACGACGCGAGTACAAGTCCCTTGCCGAGCGCGTAGAAAAAGCACCGACGTACGCTCGGTCAGGCTCGGTCGGATCCGGGCTATCGTCGCCGAATCGAAACCAGTCGGAGAGGGAGGGGAAAAAATGAAAACAAACAACGGATAATCGAAAGCGAAAAAACATGCCTCGAAATGTTAGGCGAAAGGCGGTAGGCGCCAGCAACGAGCGAGCATTTATTAAGTGTGTAGCAGCATCGAGAGAAAAAAAAGTCGATCGGCGGGCGATGATCGAACCGGTGAAGGGTCTGTACGACACGTCCTTCCAGAGCGGAACTCGCGCGTCGGACACAAAGAACTCGCGACTGCACGGAGAAAGTGACGTGTCTATTCGACGCTCGTGCTCGCGCAAACAGCCGTAGCAGCGCGGTGTGGTTTATATCGACGATCGATTCGGAATCGAGGTTCCGCGCTCATCCATATTCATGCAAATAGCAGGCACACTTTTGCGGCAGTGTGCAGTGTCGTTCGCCCGCCAGCCGTGAAATATGGAAAAACCCGAGCGAACGGTCATTGGCCAATTAGTATTAGCTGCGTGACTCCTCGCGGCGAGTAGAAACCTTCGCTCGGATAACCTTGCAGTTTACTTTGTGGCACCCTGTTGGTCAGCTCCGCCGTCGGCGAGAGAAAGAGAAGGGCGTGTGGAGCCCATCTGGGCGCGCGCGTGTGTGTGACCCACTTGTGCGCGCCGCCTTGCGTCTGCAAGCCGATCGCTCTCTCTCTCTCTCTCTCTCTCTCTCTCTCTCTCTCTCTCTCTGTTTGCCAACGTTACGGGACATTTGCATGGTCGCTAATGTGCAGGAGGATGACGTCATTAGTTTTCGCAGCCGGTCGCGAGAGACGTCCGCAGAGAAGCGCGATGCGTCTGCAAGTGTCGCGTTACCACTTGTCAATGACGACGAGAGCGCTAGCCACTTGTCGTTGTCACCACGGTGTCGATTGCAAACGCGGCATCGCCTTCGTGCGAGCTTACACCTCGACGGCTCGACGGACGACCGATCGTCGTCGCGCTCCAGCTGCCTTGGACGAGTGGCGCGAAGCAGCGCTAGATAGGCGCAAAACGGAGCGCGTTTAACGATGATCGCGAGGCGCCTAATTGGCGTTCGACGAGCGACTCTCTCTCTCTCTCTCTCTCTCTCGCTCCCTCGCTCGATGACGCGTGGCTGTGCGTGCGGTCGCATAATGGAACGGGAGGCGTATCGTCGAAAGCAAGCGTTCGTGGCGTACCGTGCCGAGCGGAGAGGGACGTTCACGCGAGACAGCGCAGCCGATTTACGGGCGAGAGGCTGCAGCAGCACTTTCGTGAGCGGCGGCCGAGGAAAGCCGTTTACCTACATCGTAGGCGGCTGGCCGCGTTACCTCGCTCCCTCGTTCCGCCTCTCGAGTGCCGGCGTGCCGTGATGCGCGAGGGATGAACCTGCGCTCGCTTGCGCACACGACGCGTCCCAATCGCGCGCGCGTGCTTCCGTCCCGATCGAGGTTATCGAGCTGCGATTGTTAGCGGGATCTTCGCGGCGAGCCGAGCGCAAGATGTCCGGCCGATTTCGAAAACGGCTCGTTCAAACCGATTTTCGTAACCGGATGTACGCGCGCAAAGCAAGCGTGCATTCGATTTGCATTCTTTCGATCCGTTCTCGCTACGCAACGCGAGGATGCGCGCCGCGAGTCGATGCGATCGACGGGAAGCCGGACTCTCTCAAAGTAAAGAAACCGGCAGTCCGCGCCTCGGCCGGCATCGCCGATCGGCGCGATATCGGCGCCAGATCGGCGCCGCTGACGGCAAACGAAGTCGTTCGTTCGACCAGACACCCGTGGCCTCTCCGTTTCTCAACGACGCATCAACGCTGCACTCGCACGCGTGGGCGTCCATAGGTCGAGCGTCGGATAGGGGCTCGCGTAAGCCAAATTGACGCGTTTTCCGCGCTGCGTTGACGACGTCGACGACGAATGCAGCCTAAGGAAGGAGCACGTGGCGCTCGGCACAGGCGAGGGAGGAAACGCCCAGCGGAAGCGAGGCGCGCTGTCGCCGGAGTTCATTAACGCGCGCCCGTGACACGAAAGCCATCGCGAAAACTATTACACGGCGCATTCCTGGCGACCGGCGGTAACGGTTACGCGGCGCGCGAGCGAGTACCAAGCGCGGACACACCGGAGGCGCGAACGAGAAAAAACCAAGCGCCGAGGAAAAGTCCGGTCGCAGCTGTCGTTTCCAGGTCAGCGGCTTTTCCCCGCGCTCGACTGCAGTGCACGCGGCTTGTACTCGGCACGGCGAACCGAACACCTGCCCGAAGCGGCGGCGTCGGCGCTGCAGCAGTCGAGCGAGAGAAAGTCGCCGAGAGCGCCGGCTTTGCTCGCGAGCGGACCTTTACGTAAGGGGTCCGCGGCCACGCCGAGACTGGAGGTCGATGGAAGACGCGCCGTCGCCGCGGCGGAATCGATCCATCGCGAGCGCGAGTCGCTGCCGCTCTCGTCTCTCTCTCTCTCTCTCTCTCTCTCTCTCTCTCTCTCTCTCTCTCTCTCTCTCTCTGTCGCACGTGTACGTTCGCGTAAGAGTGAGCCGCTGGAGAGCCGGCCGAAAGTGTGTCAATAGGAGAGCAAACGCACGAATTCCAGTCGCGGCCGTTCGATTAACCCACTCCGACCGGCCACGCGAGGTCGTCGAATCCAAGCTGCCGGCGATCGCTCGACAGAGGTGCATCCTATTCCCACTCGACCGCGAACGTCCAGTACCAAATGGATCAACGCTCGCGTGGTCGTTCGTCTTTCCGAATCGTAATCGATAGGCCAATTAACGTGGCGGCTACGCGAACCTGGAGTGTCCCTCGCGACTAATTAATCAACTGCGCAACTACCTCGCAGCCGCAACGCGGCGTTTCGACTCATTTTCCCCTGCAACTTTCCTCGCTCGCTCTAACGAGGCTCCAGCTCGGCATGTGTAAACTTGTCTCGACTGCCACTTCACGTTTTATATTAAGAGTCGTGTTCGTAAAATATCGATTTGAACGTGCAGGAGCAGCATCGCCGCAACGCGAAGAGCGCCAATAATTAACATCTAGCCCGGGAAAGCGGACCCTCGTAGCGCGCGAGAGGCTCTTCGCACGAACGCGTTAGGCGCGCGGCGCTTTTCGAAAGAGACGCGTGAAAAGCGCGACCACTTTTATCTCTAGCGTTTCGAATGCACGAGTGACTGGATGCAAGTCGTCTCCGGTCATTAACGAACGAAGCTCCGAAAGAAACGTTCAGCGGGAGAGCAGCGTTGTCGCGTCAGTCGATTGCTTCGCAGGGAACCGAGATGGGATATTGTTCGACTGCCGTATAGTTTCATCTCGGTTGAAGCTGTGCTCGATCGGTGCGAGGCAATATAAGAACGAAAGACCTTTGCAACTTTGGACCTTTCGTTAACGACATCAAACGGAATGAAAATGAACGAGCCCGAAAGCGCTGTGGTGAGAAGAAATGCACACAGTCGACTGGTCCTACCATGTCCATTCGGTATCATATGCCCCGTGCCCGACTTTGTAAGATGTTTCGTTGATTTGTGTCGATGCGTTCATTCTGCCTCTTACGCAATGAGACTTTCTAAAGAGGTTAACGACTCTGTCAACGAAACGCGAAAAGTCGTTTTGTTCATCCGTATTACCTCGGCACCGACGGCACCGACGGCACCGACGGAGCGCAGCTTCCATTCGAAGAGCGCTGTACGACGAACCAAGTGAAATAACCGAGGCTCGAACGCACAGCTAATCAATCGGTAGTTGAGCCGATTAGAAGCACTCTAAACAATCGGTCTGCTCGCGATAAAGTACCGAATCACGACTCCGAGTATGGATGGTTACCTCACCGTGGCGGATAGTCGAATAGCCTCGGCTGGAGCCGATGCTCGATGGAGCTCGATGCTCGGCCGATATCACCCGAAACGAGCGTGTCGTTGGCTTCCGTTCGATGTCGTCGATCGCGTCCCCGCGCGCGCACGTAACGTGGGAAATCGGACGCGAGCGACACCCAGCGGCGCAGCCATTCGCGGCTCGCCGATACGTCCGATACGTCCGACACGTCCGACACGTCCGACACGTCCGCCGCGCACCACAGCGCACCACAGCGAGACGGCGAAACGCAATACGTCCCTTCCCGGGCCGGGCGCGTCGCGGACGATCTTCTCCTTTCTCTTTCTATTCCTCGGCGAGCTCCGTGCGATCGGCGCGGCGGGCGCCTTTCGCTCCATTGTTCGGTTGCATTACTTTGGGCTCGCGCGAAGGGGGCGGTTATCCTCGCGAGCTGCTTTATCATTGTTCTCTCTCGCTCACCGGCGCTCTCGCAGCCTCGATTAATGGCTGAATCGAAGCCGAGGCCCCGCTGGATGTACACTCGTTTCTAAGATGCGAAAAGCGTCATTGTTCGCTCTCGCTTGTCTCCCGCGGGCTGCGCAACGCCGACGAGCTTCGCGCGTGACGGATATGGATATTCGATCATCGTAGAGAGCGTCGATTTTCCACGGGGCAACCGGCGCGTTGTGCAATTAGCTCGGCGGCGGCGACTTATTGCCGGCGTAATTGCTACAATTTCCCAACTTCACTTTCGACACGGAAGCGGCGGCGGCGGCGGCGGCGGCGGCGGCGGCGGCGGCGGCGGCGGCAAGTCGATGAGCCATCGCGAATGTTGCATTATGGATTCATAGGCTTTTACGATTACGGGGCTTTTCGCGTTGCGATGACGAGGGAGAGCGGCTAATGGCCACTTCGGGAGGCCGTAACGAAACTTTTCAATCAGCCTTGATTAATGCTTCGGGCGCGAGCTGCAATGCTCCCTGCTGTCGGCGTCCTCCTCCTCCTCCGTGGCTGCGCACCGATTATGACTCACGCGGCCCGGCCCACGGACTCGTTTCGCCGTGCCGTCGGATCGCTCATCGCCGCCCGCCGCCCGCGAAACGCCGCAGCGATACTCGCCGCGTTAGAAACTCGCGCTCGCAGCGGATCCGTGCGCCTCCGAAGTTTCACCTACCGCGGAATAACTGACACGGATTCCCGACAGGTAGGCCTGTAATGACACGAGTCCCGTAAAGGCACGAGAAGCCCGCGCGGCTCATCTGATTTTCACGGCGCATCCTTCTCGCGGGCGCGCGGAGGAGGAGGGGGCCGCCTTGTCGCGCGCGCGCGGATCCCTTTCTTTTTGTCCGTTAACGGCGCCGATTGTCATGTCGGTCACACGCGCTTCGCTCGCGCTGACGTGCCGTGGATTCGTCGCCGCGATCCCCGGCGTTGCGCAACTCCGCGGGCATCTCCGCGTGCGCCGCGTGCGCCGCGTGCGCCGCGGTGAGCCGCAGCCGGACGAATCGGTTGTCGCGGTGGTGGAGCGCCGAGCGACTTTCGACGAGGGAAGAGAGTCGCGCGCACCGATTAAAAGCGAAAGAAATTCTCCCACCCGCGCGCTTTACTTTCTACGAGCCGTGCACGCCTCGGCGGCACCGCGGCACAACCCGGCGCCGCAGACAATCGAAGGGAGCAAGTGTATCCGCGCCATATACTTTCACGATTGTCTCTTCGGCTATAAGACCGCACGGCCGCGTTCTCATATTATTCAGATTTTGCCGCGCCGCACGCGACGACGCGCTTTCGATTGTAAATACGCGAATCGCTGCTTCTCATGGGATCGCCACGACAGCCGCACGCCAAGGGGAAAGCCGGCGACACGGCGTTTTGATTAGTACCGATGCTCCCCCCTGTCCCCCCCTGTCCCCGTTGCCGCTCGTCTTGCGCGCGCAAATCACAGCGAACGAATGGCACAGCCGTGGCCCGTAAGAGCCGACGCCCGCGCAACTGCGATTTAGACGCGCCGCGCTCGCGAGGAAGCGCGCGGAGTCGCTCTTGCCACGCCTGCGCCGCCGGGTTCTCGCGCGACAATAAATTACCGCGCTCGCCGACGGCAAGACGGGCTCGAGACCGCGTCTCGTCCATCGTGCTCCGCGGCGCTCGCCGACCCAAAGCGAACGCGCGTTCGCAGCGACGGATCGGCGGAGCTGCGCGAAAAATCGCGTCGAAAGAAAGTCTTTCGCAAGACAGGCGTAATCTCAAGATTCAAAGTCCCGCGGCTCTCTCGTTGCGCAATCGAGCGAGCGTGTCTCGAGTCGTCGACATTACGGCGCGTCGTTTATGAATGTTTAACGCGCCGTGATATCGCCGAGCCGCGCCACGGGAGACGACGAAGAAAGGGAGAATGGCAAGACCAGTGGAGCTAATTGGTTGTGCGAAAATGCAGCGCCAACGAGCAGAAGTGGAGGCGCGCGCCGCGGGGTTATCGGATGAGAAGCGCACTTGGCGCTCGCGGGGAAAGGTGCGCGAAAGCAGGCAGTCGCGTCGGCGCGACCTCGTTTTGACCGCGCGCGGCGCTCCTCACCCCGATTCCGCAGCGCTGGGAATTTCTCGGCTTGCACTTTCCGAGAGAACAGCCGCGGCATGCAATGCCCGCGGCTCCCCGCTTCGCTCGCGACCGTCCGACTTTTCGGTCGCACGCCGAATCCACTCGCCGTATCGTCGCGTCCCTCCTCTCTTCGCGTAATAAAAGTGTTAGTTCGTAGGGAGGCACAAAGGAAGCGGCGCGAGAGAAGACCGCAGAAGCACGCTTCTTCGAGCTATCGGCGACTCCTCGCCCTCGGCGGCTTCGTTTCCTCTTCTCTTTCGAGAGCAAGTTCAGCAGCCTGCGCGCTCTCTCTCTCTCTCTCTCTTCAGCGCAGCTTTAGTACTCGCCCGCGCGTATGACGACTCGTCGGTGCACTCACGGGTGCGGGTCCGCCCGCACCGGTGAGTCAAAAATTACCAGAACTTGCGATGCAATTACGCGGAATGCGACGCGGTTGCAACTGGGCAGTGCTGCCATTCGGACGTCGATCCCAAAAGCAAATGCAAGAGACACGAGAGCAGCTGCTCTCTTCGTGACGCGACAGCTGGGCAAGTCACTGAGTTGCAGCGCTTACCCCGTTGTCGTGGAACTTTCCGTACACTTCCCAAAAGAACAGATGAAGAAAAAAGACGGTCGTGCGTAAAAATAACGTTTTCTCATTTTGTCATCGATGCGCATAAAAAGCTGTGGCGCGCAAGGTCGCCCCCTCCCCCTAAAAAAGGCAAAAAAATCGTCGGATGCAGAATGTTCGGCAAATAGAGAGTTTTCGCGTCCACGCGGAGAGTCGCCGTTCAACGCAGGACGCATAGTAATCAAAGGACGGAGAGGAGACGAGAGAGAGAGAGGGAGACAAAGCGGTCTGGTTGGGTCTACGAAGCAAGCGTCGACAGAAGAAAAAGCGAGCGAGGACAAGTAGTCGATCGTGTAATCCAGCCGATGAACCGTTGGCGAAAACCGTTATCGGGTCAGAGCGTCGGGCCACCGCCGCCATCGATCTCGAAAGCACGCACACAATTACGGCTACGTGGATCGCGGGAGGCAGAGAGAGAGAGAGAGAGAGAGAGAGAGAGAGAGAGAGAGAGAAACTGGCTTGGAGCGAGATCTGGCGAGAAACGATGATCGGACAATCCAGCGGAAGCGAGCGAGCTCTGCAGCTGGCGAGCGAAGGTCCGTTTACCGTTTCTCCATTCTGCCGAACGGCTGGGCGCGTATCGGTGCAGCGCGCGCCCGCCGCGCGATCAATTAACGACGCCGGCAAGATCGAGGATCGCTGGCAGCGTCGCGCGCCGAGCGTTGCGTCACCGGCGCCGCCGTCCGCGACGCGAGGGCCGGTCGAGCGCGCGGCGGCGCTGGCGCCGATCGCTGCGATTGCGCCAAGCCGCTGCAGCCGCTACAGCCGCGCCGACGAGAGAGGCCAAATCCGTGATTCGCAGCCGAGCGCGGCGCGGACGCCCACGAGGCTGTGCAATCTGCCGCTCGGAGCGGGAGTAGGTGCACCTTCTCGGCACCCGCCGCTCCACCGAGACGGAGCTGTCCGCAGAGTTACGCCGCGCGACGACTGCTCCGAGCACCAACCGACCGGCTTCTTGGGCTGTTGCAGAAAACGAGGAGCGAGGATGTCCGGCGTTGGGACGAGCGTTGGTAGGAGAGCGAACCTGTCAGCGCTGAGGCTCGGCCGCTCGGAGGAGGAGGAGGAGGCTCGCGAGGAGAGCTGCCAAGAGGGTGGACATGACAATGACGAGCGTGGTGGCCTTAGGGCCGCCGGGTAGCCTAGCAGCTAACATGCTTGGGCCCAAGCGCTATCATCTGCAGCAGGGCCTCGACTCGTCCGCGCCCTCCAAGGTCAGTCCAATCCTGTCTCGGAGCGCCGCCGCGTCGGCACCGTCGCGAGAGCCCGGCGCGGGGAAGGAAGCCGTCCGCGGGCGCGCGAGGCCGAGCTCGGTCTGTAATTGCGTGGCGTAATTCGAATGGCCGCGGCACTTGCCAGCTGGATCACTCGGTGCCGCACCGCCGAGCTTTCCCCGTGCAGCTTATGGCGTTGCAAGGGCGGCATGCCTGTTCGCGTATCGACGCGCAAGCGCATGGCGTTCCCAGCGCTCGACGCGAGAACGCCGGGTCGCGGCCAATTGATATCGGCTCGAGAGCTGGCTGCGCAGCCGAGTATACCGTTTCCGCGGAATCGACAATGTATGTCCCAGGCACGCCGAAGAATCAGCTGCGCGATTGCGGCGCGCTCGCGCGTTATGATCTTGAGAGTCGTCATTGTTCGCGCGCTCGCGGGGGTCCGCGGCGTGCCGTGGCGGTACAGCTAAAGGTCGCGTTACTCGTTGCAGCGCGGAAGTGACGCGGCGCACCGGCGCGGTCCCACGCTGGACGCACCTTTATCCGCCGAAAGCTGTCGCTTCGCGTGTTCGTTTAGTCGGTATGCGCAAGCCTTAGACTTACCGGCCCCGCGGGCGCGCACCTCGGCAGAGTGCAGCTGCTGCGGATCTCGAGCAGAGAACGGCAGGGAGACGCGCGAGTCTTACCGACGATTCGCCTGAACTTTTCGTTTATTGTTTTACCGAGACGATCGGCGCAATTACACATTTACGTATACAGCTAAAACCGCTGCTAAGTAAACGTTGCCAGATGGAAAAAAAACTCGACGTCGAGTCTCATTGTTTCCGGCACGGGCGCTCATCGCCACGCAGACCGGAAGTATTCCATTTCGTGGATGGAGCTCCGTCCGCTTGCTCGTCCTTATTTTCCCTTGAAAAATATATCGCCAACTGAATACTACTTTCAACTGTTTTCAACTGACTCTCTACATGACGTCAATTGCCATTATTATCGAGCTCCCAATCGCGACGATAGCTCGCGTTCTTCGTCGACTTTCGGGAAGAATCATACCTCGTAAGCAAAAAAGATTAATGTCGAGCACTTGTTTGGTATATGTGAAAAATAAAGACACTAGGGTAATTAGACGTTCGTAGGTGGGCAAACATCGGAGAAGCTGTCGACGGCGGAAGCAAGGGGGGTCGAATTATACGCGTATCTAGCGCGGAAGTGGCCGGAGGCGTCGGCGCTATCCCTATTTTTCCGGCAGGTTCCGGCTTTTCGTTCTCTCTCTCTCTATGGCTGTGGGTCGGGAAAGCTTTTGTTACGTATGGGATAGTTGGATTTCGCCGGGCTGCCACGCCCCTTGAGCACCTGCCTCGCGGCGCGAGCACGGCCGCGATACATCGATCTACCGCGAGATTAGATTAGAAAGGAGGATCTCGCGGCAAAACAAAAATCGGGAACTGCGCTCGCCTCCTCGCTACAGCCCTCCAGTCGGCCTGCCGCGAGGCGAGCCCGCGTCTGGAAAATCGCGACGCGACGCAATTAGCGTTACGTTACGGAGAGCCGGGGAGCTGCGCGCGCATGACGCTTTCCTCTCGTTCGGCCAGCCGCGACGACGCGACGGCCGAGCGAACGGATGGACGCGCGAGCGCGCGAAAGTGCAGCTGCGCGACCCATTTCGCGCGGCCGCTGCGCGATGCCCGAGCTTCTGCCTTGCGCACCTGCATCCGCCTCATCCGGATGCCGCGCGCATCTTTCGCGCTCGCTAGTCGGCAACCGATAGGTCGTGTCCGCCTCCGTCTGCGCGTAACCCGCGCGCGGACGTTTTCGGCCACCTCTGGCGTGTTCGTCCACGTAGGCGCGTCGGGTTCGGCTGTGCTCGCGAGTGTGTCGCGCGTTGCCCCGCCGCTCGCTCCGTCGATCTCGAAACTGTGAAAATTCCATCACGAGCGTTCGACGGCGCGGCAACTAGATCGACACCGTTTTTCGCGTCTCATCCGAAAGCTGATCGTCGACGAGGTGGCCTACCAGCTGATCGTCGATCTACCGAGCACAGCAACATTGTTGACAAGTTGTCTTGCATTTTAATCTCGCTAACGGCTCGACCACGAATAAAGGTGCCACTCGGTTCCCTCCTTTCGAATGCGTGTCAGCTATGCCGATGCCGATGTATTCCGAGCGCTACGTAGGCAGCGCACTCGGCGCGGACGAGCGAATTTGCCAATTTCGGTAAAATCGCGCGCAAACTACCGTCGCTTTCTATGTATATATATACGCGCGTCCAGATCGCGCCGAGTTGCGAGGAGAAACCGCAGCTCCTCTCGAGGGAATCGGAGTTTGAAATGTGGGCTGACCGAATGCAAATGCAGAGGAGCGATGCATTAACGTCGATCGGCTCTCGCGCCAATTAAGTCGAAAAATGATAAACGCGGCGCTGCGCAAGATCTTTCCTCCGCCGCGAAAAGGGCAGAACAAAGGCGAGCCGGAGCGCGCGTGGGTCGCCGCGCTCGCCATTAATCGGAGCGAATTTCCGCTTTTTTCGCGTCGCATACGACCGCGTGCGCGGACGAGCATCGCGGGCTTGGAGGGCGGCGCAACTACCGAAACTCGCGAGTCGAGGGCTCGGTCGTCGGTTCGCCTTTCGAACGCCGGCAAAAAAAGCGTCGGGAGAGAGAAATCGTCGGGGGATTTTTCGCGGGAGGCCATTCGTATCGTCGAGTGTTAACGAGCCGAGCGCGCGGACCATACGCGGCCGCGGCGACCACGGCGACCACGGCGACCACGGCGACCACGGCGACGAGGGAACGTGGCCAGAGAATGTCGATTAATCACGCGAGCCGGCGCGAAATTGCCGCGCGGCGGCCCGCGAGTGGCTCGAAGCACCACTCTCCGACGATTTGGCGCTCGCGTTTATCGCGTTCGCCCGAGCCCCACCATTGATTCGCCGGAGCACCGCGTCGATCTACGCGTTTTCTCGCGCGCTGCCAATTTCAGAGAGAGAAAGAGAGAGCTTCCATCCGTTCAACGAGGCTGCTCGCACACTAGAGAGCTTTTCCGAGAGCGAGAGGGAACGTGCCGCCTCGTCGGGTCATCGTCGTTACTTCTGCATGACGCGCAGCGATCGCGACGGTCTCAACCGGCAGCGAGTGCAGCGAGTGCAGCGAGTGCAGCGAGTGCAGCGATCGCGCGAGCCGACAAGGCTAACGAGGTCGACTTCTGCTGCGCCCGCAGGGCTACGAGACGCTGAGCAAGGCCAAGAAGTCGTGGAGCGTGCGCCTGGGGCTGTCGCGCGGCTCGTCCCGCCAGCACGATGTGGGCCCGCCCGCGCAGAGCCGCCAGCCGCAGCGCCAGCAGCACCAGCTGGGCTGGGGCACGGTCAGCGGCGGCAGCGTGCTCGCCCAGCAGATGGTCTACGGCGAGCCCTGGCTGTACGGCACGGTGCGCGGCTCCTCAACGCGGCCCGCCATGGCCGCGGCCGCCGCCGCCGCCGCCGCCGCCGTCCCCTCCGTGCTGCTGGTCTGCTCCTGCCCCGAGTTCCTGCACGGCAGCGCGCGAGACCTGGGCAGCGACTGCCGCAAGTGCGGCGGCTACCGGCTCGCCGGCCTGGCCGTGGGCGGCGGCACCTGCCGGGTGCCCACCTGCAACGTCAGACCGCGGCCCAGCTTGGCAGGTGGGTGCCCCCCGCGATCGCGCGGCCGTCCGCGCGGACCCGCTCCACTCTCACGCTGTGCTCGCGCCAGGCATGCTGCGGCCGAGCGGCGCCGACGACCCCTACGACCTGATGCGCCGCAGCCGCCTCGCGGAGCCGCGCTCGCGCGCTCGCAGCACCTCGCCCCTCCGGCAGAGCGGCCAGCGGGACGCGCGCAGCCAGAGCGCGGCCAGCAGGCGCAGCCCCGCCAGGAAGGTGGCCGCCGTCGAGCCCGTGTCCCGGACCGAGTGGTTCGCCGAGCGCGCGCCGCCCGGCGCGGCGCCGGACGGCCCGGGCGGCCCGGGCGGCCGGCCCCTCGACGACTGCGGCGAGCAGGCGGTGAGTGCCCGGCCGCGGCGCGCCGCCCCAGCCGACCGACTGACGCGAGCGGGCGGCCTGTCGCAGGCGGAGCCGCAGCAGGCGCGCGGCTGGCCGGCCGGGGAGGAGCCGGGCGGCGCCGGCGACTCGCGCAAGAGCATCCTCGAGTGCGACGTCAACCCGTACCTGCTGCTGAAGGACCGCCAGCCGGCGCGCAGCGAGGACGAGCTGAGCGACGAGCTGTCGGACAACGCGCTGGAGCGCGAGCTGCTGCAGTCGTTCGACCCGTCCAAGGTCAAGTCGATCGACCGCTCCGCGGCCCACTGCCGCAGCTCGGTGGCCGCGATCGGCGGCCAGCGCGTGCGCGTGTGCCACGAGCCGCGCGAGGTCAGCGACGAGGAGGACGGGCAGCCGGCCGGGCCGCAGCCGCCGTGCGCCCTGACCAGGATACCCATCCCGAAGATCTCGCCCAAGAGGCCGCCCAGGCGGCCCAAGGAGCCCAGGGCCGCGCCGAGGAGCATCCTCAAGCGAGCAGACCGGGCGGCTGCGTTCGCCGAGGCGGCCAAGCGGAAGAGCGTGCTCTTCAACGTGGACAACGTGATCCTGGCGCCCGAGAAGCCGGCCGACCTGTGCCTCAGGTACGCCCTCTCCGTCCGCCGCGCCGTCGAGCGAACGCCGCACGGGCGCGCTCTACTCACGCCCGGTTCGTCGGCCCGCAGCCCGCCGAGAAAGACGTGCAAGTCCACCGAGAGCGACTCGCCGTCGGTCGTGGGCGAGGCGCCGATCGTGCCCGAGGAGGCGCCCCAGCAGCAGCAGCAGCTCCGGTTCATCACGATCCCCAACATCAGGAGTCCGAGGCAGCAGCCTCCCCCGCCGCCGCCGGCGCCGACGCAGCGACCCCCCGAGGCTAAGATCGTGCCGAGGGTCAAGAGCGTGCCGCCGATCGACAAGATCAAGATCGACAAGTTCGTGCCGTCCAAGAAGCAACAGCTGCACCACCAGCATCAGGCTCACAACCGACAACAGCATCAGCAGCAGCGGCAATGCGAGGACGAGGAGCGAACTGCGGCGGCCGAGGCGAGCGTCGACGACGAGCGCGCAGGTAAGAATGGAGCTACGCCAACTCGCGAGCGCCCGCACCGTTATCAAGGTCTTTCAACTTTGGCGAGCCGCTCCAAGGTAAACCACTGCGCGCACCCTTTATTTAACGGTGCAGCCGGCAGCAACGGCAGCGGCTTCGTGACTCAGCGCGCGAGGGCGATCTGGAAATTGATTTTCGCTACCAAAGATAGAAACGGCGCCGGGCACTCGTCGCGGGCGAGCGACCTTGGCTCGCGATTACGGACGAGTTTAGCCGCGAGCGCGCGCCTGCGTTGCGCAACGCGCTTCGCCCAGCCTCCGATTAGCGGCGCGCGGCTGGACTGCGCTCTCGCAGCCGGTCTCTCGAGGCTCCTGCACAACCGACTGGCGTCTTAGCGCGTTCGAAAGCTGAAAAATTGGAAAGTTAAAGAGACGAGGCATCGGCGCCGTTCACTCGCGGCGCTGTCAGGAGCTTTTATAGCGGAGAGAGGCAAAAGAGACGCGTCGCATTAAGCTAATATCAATCGGGGATCGACTGCCAACTTTCCCGCGGCTGCGATAAACAATCGGAGCTCGGCGGAAGTCGGTGCGCTCGCGCGGCGCGCACGTAGTTGCGGGTTGCAGGGGGTCAGGGTCAACGAGCTTGAGAAGAAGCCAACGAGATCCGCTCGGCCCGATACGCCGTCGACTCTCGCTGGCTCGCGAAAAACAAGCAGCGCGAGCTGCCTCTTACCCCGGCTCGCACGGCAAGGCGCGCGCGCGGCCGCGTCTGCTCCGGGCATAAATCTCGCTCTCCTCCTCGCGCTCTTGCGCGGCGCGTCGAGTTAATAGTGCTAGGCGAAGGTGCGTGGGTGCAGCGAGCGTCGCGTCGCGCCGATCGCGCGATCCAGTTGTCCCGCGTGGCGATTCAGCGCAAAGTTCAACTTGGCTCGCGCAGCGTTGCAGCAGGACAGACGTCCGACCGTACGGTTAGCTCGCGCTTTATTTGCATCGGCTGCCGCGGTCGTAAATCACTCGCCACGGCGCTCCGAAAGCGGCCTGCTGCTATTGCCAGTCGCGACGACGGCCATCGATTCGAGCGGCGCGTGGAAACCTCGCGCGAGCCTTGCGGAGACGCTCGGAGAACAGCGCTTTCCGTGGCTGCTCCCGAGACACCGCGATTTGGCTCGGCGTGCTCCGTCGTCGACAGGGCGATGCCTGCACCGGCGCGATTTCCCTATCCTCCGCGCCCATTGTTGCCGCGCGTGGCGGCGAAGAGAAAAAAAGGAAAGAAAAAAGCTCGCACGGCGAACACATTACACACGCTCGCTTTTTTCTCGCGAGCTGTTTTTCTCTCTTCTTATAATGCGGGGTAGGCAGTAGCACTAGTAGTAGTGCGCGCGAGAGCGATTTGAAAGTCCGGTGCTCGGGAATTTCTGGAATGCACGTAAATGACTTACGGTGAGCCGCGATTGCGCAAAGTTGCGCAGCCGCGCTGACGCTTTGTCTCTCTCTCTCTCTCTCTCTCTCTCTTCCTCTCGTCCTACGCTCGCGCTCGCTTTTTTCCTCTTGTTCTTCCCGGCCTTTCGCCGACGCCGATTCCCATATGAAAATGTATGACGCCATGGGAGTTCGGTCTCTCGCAAACGATACAGTTAGCGATTATGGGCCGGCGTTATTGTTTGCGATTCTTATCGCTCGCGCGGTTTTTCACTGCTCTTCGATGTTGCGCCAAGTCACTCGCGCTCGCGCCGCTCGGAGTTTAACTGTTATTCGCCGGAGTGCTCCTCGAGAAAGTTGCGCCGCTGCGGCGCCCAGATTATGCAGTATTTGGGCCAGAGCTCGAGAGACCGCAGCAAGGTCAAGACTGCGTCGTATCAGGTGCTAGTCGCTGCTCCAGTCCCCGCTGAATTTCCAATGCGCTCGTCGTCTTTCTTCCGCGTGTTCATTGCTTTCCGATCGCTGCACCATTGCACTCTTACGTTTCCCACGCGAGACCAGTTGCCCTTCCCCGCTTCGAGATCCGTTCTGGATATCTCCAAGGACGAGACATTTTCATGTAAATTGAAGCATCTAGCACCCATCCAAGCCAATTGGATATATCTTCCGAGAGAGTGCTAATTCAGATTTTTTCACCGAGCGCATGCCTTATGCAATTTCAGTGGAGGATTTACAGTATGGGAAACCGGTTCGCAAAAATCTATGCATAAATCAATTTATCGCCGGGCTTTCGTAACTCAAATCAATCCGAGATATCTGTATACAGCAGCCATTAGTGGGAGAATCGACGTTTAAAAGTGAAACCTTTGCCTTTTCACGTGGATCGCGGGGAGAAAAAGAAAAGAAACGTAAAAGTGCGATGATTTACATGGCGCATCGCCGCGGAGAGAGGATGCAAGGATGGGTGGGGGCATCATTGGTAGAAAGTACACGCGATCGCAGAAAGATGCTTGCCGCGCGATACGACCCCTTCGAAGACGCTGCGAATAACACGGTCGAGCGTGTCGAGCTTAGGACGCTGCATCGCTGCGCCGAGTATATCGCGTACACGTAGACACGGCCGCCAGAAAATCCGAGACGCGCTCGCCGGAAGGGAAACCGCAGCGGCAGAGCCGCGAAGCATTGACCGATTTACCATCCGAGGAAACCGGAGTGCGGCCGCTCTCGCTGTACGTGCGCGCGACTTCTTCCTTTTGGCTGCCTCGCTCTCGCGTGCGCATCGTCTCTTCCACGAGATGCACGCCGGTTTTCCACGACTGAAATTTCGCTACGGCGTTTCTGCGTTTACGCGTCGAATTAGCCTTTGTTCCTTTTTTCCAAAAATCACGATACCATTCGGAGCCGGCGCTGCTCTTCTTTCGAGTCCGTCGAAAGGTTCACGTTGCAGTGTTAAAGTAGCACCCTGGCGTTTGGTGGATCCGCAGAAAAATCAAGCGCGATTGACGCTCGCGAAAATCCGCGGAAGCGCTGCGCCGCGAGCGATTTTCACGCGAGGCGGCGAGATACGCTTCTGCATCGGTGCCTCGAAAACGAAGGCAACGAGCGCGCACAGCAATGACCCAGAAACTTTGGAGAGCCGCGGTCCGCGATCCGTGGCGATACGCGTATATAAGCGCGATTACAGACCTTGGCCATTCGTCACATATTTTTGCGTTTCTCATCTCGCTCGCGCGCTGACTAGGTGCGCTCGGGGCGATGGCCTCGTAACCCGCATGGCGTAGCCGAGCTGCCGTTCGGCAATTTTTCTCCCGCCCGATCGCCGCGTTCATTAGCGTCGGCGTTTACGTTCGATACGGCTCTATTTGCATGCGCGACTCGCCGGCAAAAGAAGAAAAGGAGAGAATCGAGCGTCGAGCGACGCGAGCGCTGCCAAATGTAAATCAACGGCTCGCGTCAAGATCTAATCGACGCCTTCATTTTCTCTGTCGTTTCGTATTCCGCGTCTGCAAAAATCGGTCTGGGGGGAGATTTGCATTCGCAGCCCGTGAAACTTGACCGATACAACCGTGCGAGTCGCAGGAAATCGGGCAACGATAAATGAAAACGTCCGAGAGAGAGAGAGCGAGCAAAAAGTCGAGATAAGTTGAGTCCACCCTATTCCCGCGGCTAATTTCACGCTGCGCGCTTCATGGGAAGCGACGCGATCTTCTCGCTCGTCGATTCGAGCCGCGAGTCAGTGTCATCGAAGAAAAACGGTATCGCCGACCGCTGCAACGAGTCTTCTCTCTCTCTCTCTCTCTCTCTCTCTCTCTCTCTCTCTCTGGCCAAATTCCAATTAAACCGTTTCTAATCTCTGCTCCGGTTTTTTTTTTCTCCATTCCCCGGGATGAGACCGAAGGTTTTCTTGTCGGAGACCCACGCCTGAGACACTTGGAAAATTGAATTGTTTTGCCGCGGCTCGAGGGAAGGTAATCTTCCGCAGAGTGCTCGCTCACCGTTATAAATCATTAACGATCGCCAACTTGAGACGTTCCTTCGAGTAGATTCAGCGCAGACATTGTCGTCGATCGCGCACGCGCATCTCACCTGCACAGGTTCGATTGGCCGAGGCGGTTATTTCATCGCAATGTGTCGCGCACCGCTCGTTGTACGGGATCGCCGGAGAAAGCCTTCCGCGTCTCCCCCTCCCCCTCCCCCTCCCGCCCTCTCTCGCTCGATTTCACTCGATTAAAACTGGCCGTCGAAATTAAGGTCGTTCAAAGCGCGCAGCTTCCAAGTCTCGATTCGGATTGTTTTAACGACGAACCGTCTCGGGCCGGCAATCGCAACGCTCCCATTCGCGCTCCCAACCGAAATCCGCGCCAAGTCCGTCGGCACGTCGTTCGCCGCGAAGGCAGGCGCAATCCTGACCGTTCGCCTCGGCGAGCGAGGCCTTTGCGAACTGCAGTGAAAGTCGCGAATCAATCGAGAAAAAAGGCGATATCACTGCGCCTATTCCGAAATTCGCGGGTTGGCGCGTGGGAGCTTTCACCCGGCTGCCCGAGGAAAACAATTAGGCGGGCACGTCCGCGCGAGTCGACGGCAAGGGGCGCAGCCGCCGCGCGCGGGCGGCGCTCCGCTTCCTGAATTATTTATCGACGCGCGATCGACGGCGCGATCGACGGCGCGATCGACGGCGGGACATTAGTTGTCGAGCGGCGGGCGCGCTATGCACGTATGCATGCCGATCCCTTTCACTCGGCGCATACTCGGTCGGCCCGATGACTTTCTTCTCGGCGAGCGCCGTCGGCAGGTCGGTAATCGAGCCTCGGGCGCTTTTCGCAGCTCCAGCGGCGGCGGTTGGCGGCGGCAAGCCCAGCGCGAGCCTGAGCCGAAGCCAGAGCGAGAGGTCGAACGCCCGGCCGGAGATCTCGGCCACGGACGTCAGCTTCGTGGACACCATGAGGCTGAGCCTCTGCCGCAGAGCCAGGGACGAGGACGCCGCCAAGACGACGGCCGACGGCAGGCCCGAGGAGGCCAGGAGGCGACTGGCCGTGGAGGTGGTGAGCTCGGCGTCGCCGACCAGCAAGTCGGCCAAGTCGGGCCGGAGCGCGACTGACGAGGAACGTGTTTCAGCGCGAGTCCAGCATCGAAGAGCCGAGCGCGCCGGAGCCGGAAGCTGGCGAAACCGGGGGTGCAGACGCGGCGCAGGAGGCGAAGCCGGCACCGGCCGAGTCCGAGGGGGCGCCAGCGCTCGCTCGAGCTGCCCGACCGAGCAGCTGGTCGCCGAGCGGCGCCTCGAACGTCTGCAAAATCACCGTGAGCCCGCGATCGGCGCCGGCCTCCCTCATGGTGCACCGCCTGCAGGTGGGCTCGACGCCGAGCGCGACCAGCGGCTCGTCGCGGGCCACTTCGATCACCATCAACGGCGAGCAGGACTCGGGCAACAAGGTGACGATCAGCGTCGGTGGCCAGGACAGCCCGTGCAATCCGACGGTCATCTCCGTGACGGGCAGCGCAGCCGAGAGCCCAGCGAGCGCGCGGACCTCCAGCGAGCAGAAGAGGACGCTCGTGATCCTCGACAACTACAAGTCGAACATAGTCATTAGCGGCGACCGGCCGGAGCAGGCGAGGCGTTGCGGCGCCGCAGCAGCGCGTCCGATTGGCGACTCTGTGTTCGGTTCGCAGCGTCGCGTGCAGGTGGCGAGCGCGAGCAAGCCCATCGAGATAAAGCCGAGGCTCAAGTTCAAGGAGGCCGAGGAGTCGCCGGACAACTCGCCCCGCTGGAAGCAAATACTCGACGCGCGAGCCTCCTCGCAGGCCTCCAAGGAGGAGATCATATCGAAGCTCCTGGAAGACTCGCTGCGCAAGGCGCGGGAGAACGGCGAAGTTCTGGACGAGAGCAGCGGCGAGGCCATTCTGAAAATCCTGAAGCAGAGCTTGTTGAAGAGCTCGGCCTCGCGCCTGGAGCCCGAGTGCGGCTACTTCAGGCCGCCGTCCTCCGGCATGTTCCTCGAAGAGAATGCCTACGAGGTGATCAAGGAGCCGATCTACGAGGAGATACCCGACGAGCCGCCGCCTCTGCCGCTGAGTCCGCCGCCCTCGGACGACTTTCTCAAGAACAGGGTCTTCTTCGGCGACGAGTACAAGGACAGCTTCGGAGGTACGTCGACGGCGGAGCCGAGCATCGACGAGGAGGCTATGTGAAACTGTTCGCGCTTGCCTTTCTCCCATTGCAGATCTCGGCTGCGGCGCGTATTACAAGCCACTGGGCGCCAGCTCCGGCCAGTACCTGGACTGCTCCTACCTGTCCAAGAGCCCCGACGACTCGTTCAACAAGACCTCGAGCTCGGCCATGTCGGAGAAACTGCTCAACTTCATCATGGACTCGGAGAAACGCACGCGCGTCGGCAACGTGTCGCTCGACCACGAGGAGGACGTGGACGAGGAACAGGAGGAAGAGGAGGAGGAGGAGGAGGACGACGACGACGACGAGGAGGAGGAGGACGAGGAGGAAGAGGAAGATCCCGAGCGAGACCTGGAGGCGCTTTACGAGCAGAAGGAAACGAGCTTGGGAGATTTGAGCTCCAAGAGCTCGCAGATCTCCAACGTGTCGGACAGCAGCGAGGAGTGCAACATCATCCTGACCAACTCGCCGGAAGCGCTCAAGGTCGTTAGCCCCACTGTTTCCGTCTCGCGGCCGACGTGGTGTCCCACTTTCCCGATCGCCGTCGGCTCGTTCGCGACCCTTGCTCTCGAATAATAAGTCGACGTCGATCGATTGGCAGACGCGTGCAGTGGACATCGAGCGCACGGATAGCGGAGTCGGCTCGGAGAGCAGCCAGGCGAGCAGCGGCCGCGGTGGCGGCGTAGCTCGACGTTGGCGCAACTCTAGCCACTGCAACGGCAACTTCGGCAGCGGCAGCGGCAAAGGCGGCGCCGTCGTGGCGCCGCCCGCAGCTACGGTGGTGGCGGCAACGACGGCGGTGACGGCGGCGGCGGCGGCAGCGGCGGCGGTGGCGGCGGCGGCAGCCGCGCAAATCAGCAAGCCCGACGTCAAGCACTGCGAGGACTGCGAGCAGCGCCTCGAGCCGCTCGTCATCGACAGGTGATTCATTGACTCGGCGCCGATCCGCTTCTTCCAGCGCGCCTTCGAAAGTCCACTTAGCCGAGTTATCGCCGCGCGGCCCGCTGCATCGACGGTCACAGGGTCTTGCCGAGCGCCGTGGCTCTCGCGCCTAGCTTTTCAGTCCGCGAACTAGTTTCTATCTCGAGCGTAAACGTAATGATCGCGTGGCGATCGGATCGATAAAAAAGTGAATCGCGAGGCAGGAGCACGAGGCCCGCGGCGAGAGAGTCGGAGTGAAATTGCCGCGCTACGAGCCATCAAACTTTAATGCGCCTCGGTTTACGAGACGCCACGACTCTTCCACGCTGCTCCCCCACTCGGAGAACTCGTTTGCGAGCGTGTGAGATCGCCGAACCGCCGCGCGGGCGTCGGCTCGTTCTCTCTGCCGCGCTGAAGGCTCTAATCGGGAAAATTGCCATCGCCCGACGAAATCGGCGGCGACACTCGCGGGCTCATCGCGCCACGCGCCACGCGCCTCGTCCCAGTGCGCTCGATCCGATTCGAGATCGGCCGCGATGCAGCCGACGAGTGCCCGCGCCGGCAACTTTCACCCGCTATCAAACGCGCGCTCGCGCGTTACGTACCCACGTACACGTATGCACGTAGAGCGCGAGCGAAAGCTGTTATCGGCCTCGCGAGTCGGCCAATTCGGATTTTTGCCGCCGTCGGTCCGGAAGCCCCCCCCCCCCCCCCACCCGCGGGCCTCGGTCGCGCGGCGGCGCTTTCGCGGCGCGGTAACCAAGAGCCCGGCGGTGCGGTTGCAGCCTGCAGCGCTCGCCCGCGGTGTGCCGCAAGTGCGGCAAGAAGCGAGCGGAGCGCAAGGAGATCGTCACGGAAATCGTGGAGACGGAGCAGAAGTACGGCAGAGACCTGCAGATCATCCTCGAGGAGTTCCACCGGCCCATGCTGCGCGCCGGGCTGCTGACCCCCGAGCAGCTGTCGGCGATCTTCCTGAACGTGGAGGAGCTGCTCGAGCACAACCAGATCCTCGCCGACAAGCTGAAGGAGGCCGTGAACGAGGCTCAGGTGGGTGCCCGCTTTCCGTGTATCGGCGTGACTCACCACCAGCAGCGATGCTCTCGCGCGCGCAGGCCGAGGGCGACGAGGACCTGGTCAGCGTGGATCTCGGCAAGATCTTCCTCGAGTCCGAGAGGATGCTGCACGCCTTCGAGAGCTACTGCACGAGGCAGGGCGGCGCCAGCCTGCTGCTGCAGAACCTCGAGAAGGAGAAGGAGCTGCTGCGGATCTTCCTGAAGGTCTCGCAGATGGAGAACACCGTGCTGCGCCGCATGAACCTCAACTCCTTCCTCATGGTAATGGCGCGCTCGCGGCCCCCGGCCTAAACGGGCCTCCCGACGATCTACCCGTCGTGTCTCGCTCGACTTGCTCGCAGGTGCCGGTGCAGCGGGTCACCAAGTACCCGCTCCTCCTGGCGCGTCTCCAGAAGGCCACGCCCTCGGGCAAGCCGGACATGCAGGAGCTCAAGAAGCGACTGAAGCAGGCCCAGAGCAACATCGAGCTGCACCTGGAGCACATGAACGCCGTGCGTGCGCATAAAATCGCAATTGCCGCCGGCCGGCGCTACCCCCTTTCGCTGTCCCGCTAAACTCTCCTCTGTGCTTTCGCAGGAGGCCAAAGATATAACGTCGACGAAGCTCTGGCGGCGCATCTCGATCATCCAGAACGGCAGGCGGTCGGCCGGCGAGCAGGACATGGTCAACATCAAACTGCGAAAGGTGCGCCCCTGCCCGCTCGCTGCCTCGAGGCGCGCCCCCGGGCGGCGATTAATCGCGCGACAACGTGCTGCTTGCAGATGGCTGTGGAGGTGCTGGAATGGCCGCACGAGGACTCCAGGTTCGTGCTGGAGGGTCGACTGCTGGTGGCCCAGCCGACGGACAACAATTGGCGACGTGGCAGGACCGTGAAGCTCGCTCCCGTCACGGCGATGCTGGTCACCAACGGCAAGGTACTCGGACGACGTTGCGTCTCCCGACCGACCCTCCTCGATTCACTATAACTCATTCCCGACACCTTTCTCGCCCGAGCAGCCGAACGGCCTGCAGCAGCCGAGCAGCGAGCTCCTCCAGTTCTCGGACGACTCTCTGTTCCCGAGGCAAATTGCCGTCAAGGACGCCACTCTTCTGCTTGTCAAGGAGAAATTGGGACGCTACTCGCTATTAAGAGTGAGTCGACTCCTTTCGATCGGCGCCGAGCGTCCTCCGTAAAACCTCCATTTAAACGCGCACCCGTTGTCTTACGTTTGCGCAGGAACCACTTTACCTTGACAAGTGTATCGTTTGCTGTGAGACGGACCTCGAGGACTACTTCGAAATACAGGAGTTATCTTCGAAGGAGACTTTTATTTTCAAGGTAAGTAAAACGCGAAATGAAAACGAGGAGAAAAGACAGCCGAGTCGACGCGAGCTCAACGTGCTTTCGATCGATTTCGGGCAGGCTGAGGATGGCGCCAGGACGAAGAGGTGGTGTCGTACCCTGCAGGCCCACGCGCAGTCTCTCGGCGCCTGGCGACGGCGCCGCGGCGCCCTGCCCAACATCATGATCTGCGGCGTGGCGCGGAGCTGAATTGTCGCTGTCGGCCTTATTCTTATAGTGCGTCGCAGAAACAGCGAGTTTCCTACGTAACTGTATATCGACGTCGGAAGAGGACGAGAAGGAGCTTGCCCGTCGCAAGCTCGCGAGTGATTCCTATAAGCGTTTAGCGCACACATGCTATTGAAATACTCGGCAAAGCCTTTACACGGTGTACTTTTAGGCAATCAGTCGTAGTGCACTACGAACCTAGACATTTTATTCTATTCTACGTATAACTCTCTTCCTCTCGCTATCTCTTCCACGCCTTCTCTTTCTCCTACCCGTTCTTATACAAGCTAATATACCCCGACTCTTTCAGACGGACAAATTATTTAATTGTGACTTTCGTCTACCATGTACTTGTATAAATTTTCTATTTTCTCGAGACACGATCAGTAGCTGTGATATCAACCCGGTATATTGGGATTTACAAGTGTGTAACGACTGTTCTCCTCATATCCCTCTTTCTTACTTAACTACTTTTTTTTTCCTCTCTCTCTCTCTCTCATTTCCCAAGACTTGCCTTCAAGTGTAAGCGTAGGGTGTTCATTGACGATTCACGGACAATTATGTACATTGTACCATAGTCCTAGCCATTTGTATATATTATATCGGCGAGAGTGTATAATAAAATAAAAACCACCCTACTGAGACTTTATATTTTGTATGGCTTGAGTATATTGTGTATGTTATGTATGACTGTAGTCGAATAACTGCGGTACTTGCGTCTGCTTTTGTCAATTGAATAGTCGAAATTAAAGAATTTTTCTTCAGATTATGCGACATGTATTCATATAACGGATATCAATGGCTTTATTTTTATTGCCTCAAATCCAATTTGTAATTATTTTATACTATATAAGAACTGAAATGCAAGCTTCTTGGCTCGATTTAATATATAAAAAAGCGAAACTTAACTTTGCACTTTAATGTGCACAAACCAATGTTATTTAATAATAATAATAATAATAATGATAATAATAATAATAATAATAATAATACGTATAATAATAATAAAAAGAAACAATGAAAATCTTACATTATTTCCATATTTATTTCCCCGATCCATGAGATTTTAGATCGTATACTAATAGTAAAATCTTGCTGCTTCGATCTTAAACTAACTTCACTGACATGAGATACTGCTAGTTCTCGGCTATCTCGCAGGTTTAGGTGAACTGTAAATAGATAAACTACTGTAATTCCTATGACAAATATTTTCAAGTTTAACTGTATGTTTATAAAAGAAATTCTTTCCTACGTATCCATTCGATCTAATTTTTTACTTCTTTTGGATTCACCGATTGAGAAAAGGTTTTATCGATACTCTGTGTGCTTCGCTCGGACGTAAACGCTACGCGAGACAAGAATCTATTTTCCCGCACTTGTATCGTAATGTACTATAAATAATAAAGAAACACCGAATTAATCTTAAAAACAACTTTAATATTATTTGGATCGAGTGTGTGCAGCACGCACATATAATATCATGCGAGGACGAGCTAGCACGTGAGCACGATCGCAGTCGACGTGTCGAGACGAGGAGCCGGCAATGCTCATTCGTCGAATTGTTGCAACAATCTGGCAGTTGTCCTGCGCGTTGATCGCTACCCGCACATCTGCAAGTTCGAACTCTCACCAAAAATCCCGGAATGCCCGGCAGCAAAAATGCGTTTGGGTGAAGATGTGTATGCGCAAACCCCACACTCCATTGTTCGTCTTTCAGAATTAACTAAAAATAATTCCTATTGTGTATTTAATTTCACTGTTAACTATATCATTTCAATTATCACTGCATTACAAGTTTGAAATTTGAAACCGGGCTTCTAATTATTGAGATATTCAATGAATTCAGAAGTTTATATACTTGATTTGTATACTCACGTAGTTGACAATTTGACAGTAATAATATATTATAGTGATCTTCATGTAACAGCTGTTTTTGTTATATGTTTTCCAACAAGTAAACCCTGAATAAACAAAATATTTGTAAGTTATAGACTTAAAGTTAACGATTTACTTTTATTCAAAATTATCAAGGTGCATTTGCAGGAGAAAAATTAAAAATTAAAAATTGTTACATTATCGTCATCTATAGAAGACATCACATATGTATGTAATGCACCTTATTTCAAGTCAGTGTAACAAAGACCAATAGCTCACTTCAGTTCAGTCAGTTGAGAGTTACCATTCTTTCATTCTTTTGCGTCTGGCTTTGTCGCGTCCACGCGTGTTCCGTACAAGTAACACTGTCAAAATGGCGCTTAACCTATTAGTCAAAGTTCACCCTGTTGTTTTATTTCAAATTGTTGATGCATATGAACGTCGAGGCGCCGAGGCTTACCGAGTCATCGGTACTCTTTTGGGTAAGGATTCATTTGAATATTAATACTTGCATTTATCAAATGGTTTGTCAAAAATGCAACCCTCTAAAGTTGAACTGTTAAGCTGCTTCTCTTGTTTCAAGATGATTTGCAATTGTTGTGACAATTCATGAAATTAATCGAATTATTCAACAGGTACTGTAGAGAAAGGTGTTGTTGAAGTGACAAACTGCTTTTGTGTACCTCACAAGGAATATGAAGACCAAGTTGATGCTGAACTCAACTACGCCATGGATTTATATGAGCTGAATCGTAGAGTCAACGCACAAGAAAATATTGTTGGCTGGTGGGCCACTGGAAATGAGGTATGAATCTACAGATCATATGTATCTATATTTTCATTCACAAGGCTTCATAAAGTGAATTTTATATTTTTCTCTTTCATTAGGTTACCAATCATTCCTTTGTTATTCATGAGTATTATGCTCGTGAATGCAACAATCCTATTCATTTGACAGTAGATACAACTTTGGAAGGAACAACTAGAATGGGTATTAGGGCTTATGTTTGTGTAAAGCTGGGAGTTCCAAATGGTAAAACTGGTTGCATGTTTACACCAGCCAAAGTGCAAGTATGCTATAAATTAAAATAAGATTTGTTTTTGTAAATGATTTCAAGGAAAAAATAGCAATGTTTAAATTTATTGTTCTAGATTCAGTGTTATGATCCAGAAGTTGTTGGTTTACAACTTTGTGCAAAATCTATCAGGCAAACACAAGGAAACAAGCCAGGTGGTATTGTGGAACCAATGATGGATCTTGCTCAAATTGCTGAAGCTAGTACAAAACTTTCTTTAATGTTGGATAGTGTTCTGCAGTATGTTGATGATGTTTTAGATAAAATAGTCTCTTCAGATAAAGAGATTATTCCTGATAATCAGGTACATCTTTTACCATAAACCATTATTATCACAAGTCAATGAAATTCACAATTATTACCTTACATTTTTACTTGATTGTCTAGGTTGGACGTGCTCTTCTTGATATGGTGAATTCAGTACCCAAAATGACTAGTGATCAATTTGATGAAATGTTCAATAGCAATGTGAAAGATCTTCTCATGGTTGTTGCACTATCACAACTTATCAAAGTGCAGTTACAACTCAACGAGAAATTAACTCTGTTGACAACGTTATGAACATAAAGAAGTTTTTAATTTTACTGTTATAATTTACTTCCAAAACACTTGAAAACGTAAAAACAAGATATAAATAAAGCAAAATTTTAATATATCATTAGTATTTATTACTTTTATATAATACTCACTTGGAAAGCCATTTAAAATGTGACAAATAAATAATATAAAATTGATTGCAAATATAAAATTATACAATGATTTTAATGCTGTAATCTTCATTACTAGCAAATAAATATCTAATATACATATACATTGCAAAAGTATCTAACAAAAAATGTTACATTGAATTTTCTTCTTTTTTGTTATCTATCAGATTAACCCAGTCGGGCACTCTGTTAGATTGAAGATACTGTTCTTTAGAAATACACCTTGATGGCAAATCTGCTATTCCAAAAATTGCACCTCCCAACCATGCAGTGTAATTAGGTTTACTTGGAGCAGTATGAAATTTGAATGCTCTCATTTTTAATTTTTCTGCATAGATATTACTGTTAACCAGATGTAAAAGTTCAGTCTTTAATCTGCTCGCAAATCCTTTAGCCATTACAGTTCCACCAATCAGTAAAATATTTTCAGCTAGGGGCTTTCTTGTATCTATAGGACACTATCACATATAATTGGAAATTAATTTGGTGTTTCAAAATTAAACTAAACATTGATTCATTACCTTCATCAAGGCATCTAAAATCATTGTAGGTATACTGAGATTATCAAGGTCCCTTTCCCATAATGTTTCAAAAGCCTTTTCTCTGACAGTGCCAGGTATTTCAAATGACATTGTAGTGTAATACTTTACAAATGGTGGAGGAGTTGGTGGATCATTTGTGTCTAATTTAGCAGATCTCTCCATTGTTGTTACAAAACATGTTTGAACTTTTATGTCTTCAATTAGCTTTTCAGTTAGCTCTTTTTCAGGTAAAATGCCTTCCATAGCTTTTGCAATATTTCTGTAAATTCATAAAAATAGTTTTTTAGTGACTGATTTTTCAGATATTGACTAAACTTACTTATGAACAACCTGTGCTGCAAGTGGTAGAGCTTGCCAAGCTTTTAAAATTGGTACCCCTTCAAATACTGGAATTACAGTAGCTTCTTTGTAACCTACATCTAAAACCAGGGCAGTTTCATTTCCTAACACACTAATTGCCATTAAATGAGTGGGGAGCATCATTAAAGATCCCACTTCAAAATGTTGGAACATAACTTTTGCCAAGGTATTTCGAAACACTGTGGGAATTAAAGGAGATTGAACAATAACAATTCTGATATCTTTTGGGCTTATCACAACTCTCCTATAAAAGAAACACTTTGAATTATAATCTGTTCATCAAAGCCACAAATAAATTGTAAAAAAATGACTGACTTGAAAAATATGTAATGTAGAAATTCAACAAGTAGCTGATACAGATCATCCTTATCTGTATAGCTGAAAATTTGTCTAACTTCTTTACTTTCAGGACATTTAATTTCTGTCCTAATAATACCACGAGGTGCTGCCTCGCCGACGTAACCATACCTGAAATAAACCAAGTTCTTGAGTGCACCTAAAAACAGTGATCATTAATCATTAAACATTTAAATTTTTTACTTTGTGTAGGCACTTCCAATATCTAAAACTACAATCAAATTATCGGATATATAACGCATTCCTTCATATCCTCGCAACATTTTGCTTTATCCTGTATTTAATGGTCATTTAAAAAACTTGAACTTCTTACAAATTAATTTAAGAAAATAGCAGATAGTGTTTGCATTTCCACTTGTTACTATAGGTTAATTGCAAATATGGCGGATTATTATTACAGAGTGCCTGTGCCGCACTATACACATGTCTTTAGCCAAAGTACCGAGTAGCACAAGTTTCAGTATCTTTAAAAATTTATTGTAATTGTTAAGTTAACAATTTTTGACAGAATTTTTGAGTGATGAGTTTTTATATTCGGATAGCTTCCAAAGCATTCCTAGAGTTTAGGATGGCGTAGTATAGCGTTAAATTCAGGTTAAAACTGAACGCCTGGACGTATTTTTTACGTATCAATCAAAATGTTGAATACAAATTTTTGTCGCTATAAAGCATTACTGAAACTATCACAGAGTGCGTTAAATTCAGATCTTGGCAACAAAATCGGTTTGCGATTTTATGCAGGTAAGGTTATTTATTCATCAGAGTCACCTCAGAATCTCTGGTATAAATCTGAGAATCCTAATGAACAAGAACGCACACTTGGAAACCAGAGGTTTACTCAAAAAAATTCAAGATATGAAAAAGAATGTGAACCTAGAAATTCTTATGGACAAGGGCAAAATAATTTTAAGCAAGAAGCATTATACAAAAAAAATTATGGTCATAGAAATAATTCTTACCAAATGAAAAATAAACACAGGAATACTAGTGAAAAAAACACATATTTTGACCAAGGAATTAATGCACCAACAGAGATATTTGATGCAAAATATGCATTTCTAGACAATACTAATAAAGTTGTAATTAAGCCTAGAAATCCTCACAAAAAAGATGATTATGATTCAACAGAAAATCAACAATGCAAGAGAAATTATAAAATTACAGATAATCCTTTATATTCTAAAGTACTACCGTGTGAAGACGACAGAATAGATGATGGTATTGAGTTAAAAAGTGATCATGTTGATCATGATAGACCGGTTAAAAAGCTAAAAAAAAAATATAGTTTTGATAGTAATTTGGTATTTGAAGAATCAGACATTGATAATGCCTCTCCACTAAAAATAGATATTATCAATGTATCTAATGAAAACAATACTCCTGAATGCATTGTTGATACAACTAGTACTGATTCTATTACCAATACCAGTTTAATTAAAACTAATTTGAAACCGAGATTGAAAACTATTGATACTCCTGAAGGACTAGTAACTTTAAATTTAACAGATGATGAATTTGATTTGGATGATTTTATAAAAGAATTCAATGAGGAAATTCCAGGACCATTAGATGAGTGTAATGAAGATATATCTTATTTTGGCCCAGACTTTTCGCCAACATTTAATTTTGCTGCTTACGCTGATAAGTCAAAACTAATCCAACAATATGTTAAACTAGGAGTTAAATTATACAAAGTAGAGAAAAATATGGATCATATGAGAGCTCTTTTATCAGTAGATTTAGAAAAGGAGTTACCAATATATATTCAATTCCTTCATGACTGTGGCATACCAGCAAACTGCTTAGGTGATGCCATAACAGAGAGTCCAATGCTACTAAAAGAAGATCTCGACGACATGAAAACAAGGATAAGATATTTAAGAGCCCATAACTTTACACCAGGCAGTATATCAAGAATTATTACAAAGAATCCTTCATGGCTTCTTTGGGCAACAAAATTTATTGATGAAAGACTTGGCCATTTTCAGAATGAGTTCAAGCTAGGAGGTTCTGACATGCGATTTCTAGCAACTAAAGCACCAAAATTGATTACTTATCCAATGAGGCATGTCAATGAAAATACTTTTGCTATAAGAGAACAAATGGGCTTCAATAAACTTGAAACTAAACTTTTGTTGTTATATAAACCTCGTCTTTGGATGAATTGTAAGTAGCATAAATTTTGTCACATTAATACAATACATTTTTTACATGTTATTTACGCGATTATTAATTTTTTTTGCAGCAAGGCGAAAAATTGTTGACAGCTTTGATTATCTTCATAATACTATGCAATTGTCACACGTGATGATAGCTTCTCAAGCTGATGTTCTGACAACTCGAAAAAGTCGTATTAAGAGTCGGCATGAATTTTTAGTAGAATTGAAGAAGGCTCAATATGATCCTAAGAAACCTGGATACATTGCACCAAGGACGATTGTTATTGGTTCTGATGCCGATTTTTGTACAAAAGTCGCAAAAACTGCTGTAGATACCTATAATTTATTTTTAAGAACTAGATAAAACTACCCTGATTTTATGGAAATAAATTTTATTGTACAGTTGAATAAATTTATACATCTTGTCATTATGTAAAACAAGAGATTCAAGACTTTTAGTTTTTTTTAGTTTAATTTTCCTAGTTCGATCTTTTTTTGTATTGCACGGACTGAGTGATATAAGAAGCTATCAAAAATACTCGCAGTTGTGAACGTGCCACCAATAATAGCACAAGTATTCGTTAAAAAATGTCCAATTGATTTTTGAGTTTGAGTATATTTCACCATTAAAGGACTGAGTTCATAGTTAAAAACGATTCCAGGCATTGATTTTCTAAAACTCCTTGTCACTGAGAATTGATTCGTTTGAAGGATTGACCCATCTAATCTTACAAACGTAGTAGGAACCACCTTTACGTAGTATTGAAACATGTTCGTATCTGTAATCAACAGTTTAATTTATCTCAATAGTGCTCGATTCGAAATAGTCTTAATAATAAATTTATAATAGACTGTGGTCAATAAAGTACAAATTATCATTATAATTTGAATGCATTTAGTTTTGACGGTGCGCAGTAAATCTGCGCACCTTAAAGAACTTCTAGAGTTTTTTGTAGTACGCGGTGTATTGAATTCAATATGGCGGTTCCTAGATTCCAGGCCGAAATTGCCAAAATACAGTAAAAACAGTAAAGCTTATCTTCGAGATTTTCAGTCTTGTGTTCGCAAAATTGATTAGTTCAAAAATAAAAATATCATACGTAAGTAAATTGTGAAATGCTCATCTTCTAAATGCGTATATCTAGTTTACTGTCTTTTGAGATAGGCAACAATGCCTGTCGTTCCCGGCGGTGCTTATCAGCAAGGACCAACGTGTTTTGAGAGAATGAAATTAGGTTTCACTATTGGTTTTTGCGTGGGAATGGCTTCGGGTGCATTATTTGGTGGATTCTCAGCATTAAGGTATCGATTTTATTTTTTTCAAATATTATAAATTCAGTATTTCGCCTTTTAAAAATAAATTTATGCGAGGCATGAAATGTAAATTTTGTTGAAATCTTTGATGTTTAAAAAATGAAATAATATATATTAGGCATGGATTGCGCGGGCGAGAATTAGTAAACAACGTTGGCAAAGTTATGATTCAAGGAGGAGGAACATTTGGAACATTTATGGCCATTGGAACTGGTATTCGATGCTAGTATACAGAAGATATTGTATATAATTATATTATAGATTACCTGGCATTGTAAAATCGAAGCTTGCACTGTTATTTTTTAAATAAAGTAATTTTAAGAAAAATGTGTACTGACCTCCTAATGCTGTAATTGTAGAGTTGTCAATAGGGTTTGTTTTTCCAGGAATGTTTGTACCAAAACTTAAGTGTCTTATTTTATGACTCATATTGAATTTAGAGATAGAATGTTCTGCAACATTATGCACTACAATATTTAAAAAATAATTGAATGAAATTGTTTATAATGATTGTACAGGTAAATTGTTCTTACAATGAAGGTTATCTATCGATAAGCTGTCTCCAGGCATAACATGGAAACTCCCTGCAACTTTATTCACCTCAATATAACCATAAATTTGACATCCTTCGCTAAATACATCTGTTGAACTTAAAGAAGATCCATCACTTTTACATTGGACAAATTTAGAAGGATCAGGAATAGCCCATTTCCTCATTGCATATGCTTTTTTAACAGCTTCACAAGAGTTACAACATCTAAAATGATTATATATTTTTGTTTACTTCACTCTGATATTCAATCAATTTTTACTTACTTTATACCCAATTCTTTACTCTGTGCTCCGTAGCAGTCACCACACTCTGTCGCTGTTGTTGTATTTTCAGTTGACTATTTTTAAATAAGTATTTTATTAAGCTTATGTACTGAAAAAAAAGTTATCACAGAATTCAGACAGCATAGAAATTACCTTGATAGTTGTCTTTTTAATTTCAGTAATGTCTGTAAAAAAAAGAAAAGAAATTGTATAAGATGTAACAATTTTGGTTTGACAGTGACTGTGATTGATTAATTATACTTAAGATAATTAGTACCTGTTTTCTTTGGTTCTTCAATAGGTTTACCATCTAAATCTAATCTTCTTTTATATACATTATGATCTATCCATAAATGCTGTTCTCCAGTTGCATCTGCAGCATCCAAACACAATACTAAAAAAAATGTTCAATTTAGTCTAAAGATACTAAATACTTTGGATAAAATTGAAATACCTACTGCTACAAGATACCGATGGAATGATAAAGTCGAAATTAATTTTTAATTTAGAACCCCTTGATGTATCAACAAATAATTCTTCCTTCAAAGTTGGAGTAACAAAATCATAAAGTTCAGATAAAAAAAGTAAGACCATGATGATTGAACTGCAGATCGACACTGAAAGACAAAGCCAGAGACATTTTCACAATAACATCATTCCATATTGATTATTCGCGTTTGTTTACAAAGCAAACATAAGTGAAATTCATTCGAAGTTCTTGTTGAATTTACAAAAAAGAAAAGCTGAATGAAAATAGTAGCTTGGAATTTTAATTGCTAAGATGACTTACGATCGATCGATGTTTAGTATCGAAATGCAGTGACCGATCGAATCGTCGCAAAATTAGAGCGGCAGGTGTTCGAACACCGCCAAAACAAATTTGAGTATCAGCGCGCTGAAAAAGAAGAGGTTAAAAGGGGAGTCGAACGATAAATTTACCGATGGCACCGCCGTACGTCTTGATCCGGAAGTCCTCGAGAGTTTTAGGGTAAGCGTCAAATTGACGTAGCCTCTCGGGGAAATTCATGTTCGTGAAACTCACAAAAAGTCGATCATCTGGTCGATGTTGTGCGTCAAGAATCAAACTGACTGCAGCGTTGGCTCGTGCGGTCCGCCGTGGCAGCGCAAGCGCGTAGACTTAGACTTCCCTATACTTAGGTATGTATATAGGTGTGTGTGTGTGTGTGTGTGTGTGTGTGTGTGTGTGTGTGTGTGTGCGTGCGAGAGTGAGTATCTTATGCAGCAGCATGGCCACGGATGTTGGGCCCCTATTATTCTCATTCTATTCGACCTGATCAACCGTAATTACCTTCGTTTATTTGACATTCCATGGCATATAATTTCAACAAATATGCGACTGCCTCGACTTTCAGCGAACTTTCGCGTATACTCTTAATTATAATAACAGGAAGGGCGCCAATCAAATGAAACATCGATTGCGTATAACAAAGTTTTATAAATTTTATTCAATTCATTCATCACACTTTTGGTTTCGGTTTTTTCGTCAAATCCATACACAATATGTTATCGACTACATTTAGTGCCTTTCTATATCCATCATTCCTTTAGAAATTCCACGGTAATGGCTCTTTATCTATGGTAAAAAATATATATATATTTATTTGTTTTTAATTTATTTTCGTACCCTTACATAATGCACGTACTCATCATACTGCGATGATATTTTGTTTTCGTTACTGTGTCTCTAATGGCGTGGGCTTTTTCATTTATTATTTACGTGATTGTAACGTATCGCAGGTGATATTTCAAGTACAAACGAGTACTGATATTTCGAAATCTCTCTCCGTTAGTACGTTTATCGGGACTCTAATTCGTTCGGCGTATACCTAATCGAGTATATATTGCACTACGCATTACCGTTTTGTAAAAGGATTAAAAAAAAGCTTTTCACCGTTATTGGAATTTCTCTGAAAACATACGATAAAGTACATAGAAAAAAAATAACAACGAGAAAACAATAAATTGGAAGCAAGGGAGTTCCGAAGTATCAGTAGCACGAGCAATTGGTTTGTTTTTTTAAGGCAGCGCGTGCCGCTATCTAATTGGTGCATCATAATTGGGCTAGTACGATCGAGAGATGTACAAACAAGTAAGAAGATAGACATCCGATAGGAGGAAAGAGAAAAAAGAAACAATATCGATAAAAGATTCACTCGACTCGCGTGAAATCTTCGGCGAAACTTATAATTAATAAATGGACGGCGCTCTGATGAAAAGAAAACTAGTAATTAATAATAATCCTCGCAGTCGCGAGCTTCATCTACACGTAACGATCGCGCGATCGAATGAGAAGTAAAAGGGCGACGATGACAAAACCGCTCGTCAAAATGTAAACTTGAATTTGCCAAAGAAAGAGGAAAGAGCGGAAAGGGGGACAGAGGCGTGTTGGTATTAAGAAAAAAGAATATATATCGACGAAAGCGGAATGCCTGCCTCTGCCCGTTATATACAGGAATCGGTATAAAATAAGCTGAATTAGTAGATCCAGTTGACAGGGACCCATTGGTCCTCGCTCGCCAAGGCGTCGAGAGCAGCTACAACCTGGCGGAAAGTTTGGTCAAAGTCCTCGTTTACGATCACCAAGTCGATGTACTTCTCGTAAGCTCGCTGCAGGGCTGCCGATTCTTCCAAGGTTGATTTCAAGTCGTCCTCCTGAGCGAACGATTATCATTAGATTAAACGTCGAGAAATAAATTTCACGTAAACAAAGAAATATCTAATGTTTTTCGAATATTTCACGTCGTATGATGCAACATCGAGTGGACGTTGGAAAATAATAGAGCAACGTGCAAAATACAAACCTCGTACAAGGACGCCAAGGACTCCAGGGTTCTAGCGCGTCTCGAGCTGTACCTGATGGAACTCTGGCGATCAAACTAGCAAGGCCAACAACAAATGACATTACATGACAAAGGAAAACCAAAGGTGAGAAATAAAATATAAAAATGATGGTCGTAGACTCGTGTGGGTATGCTCGTAAAATAAGTTCTGAAAGTAACAACGAAATATCAAGTTAACGAGCGACACGCTGAGCATTAAAATTCTAATGAGTCAGCCTTCGAGTATGAAATGTCGCAACGTCTCACGGGCTACGAACACAAAATATTCTACTCGTTAGGAAGGTGAAATTACTCGTAGGTCCATACACGATACACAAATGCAGAAGGGGGCAGAAGGGGGCAGAAGGGGGCAGAAGGGGACTCTACTCGGCGAAAGCCTAGCAGCCAAGGCAGCAAGGACGGCGGAGGCTGCAGGGCCGAACGTACCGTGAGATTTCGGCTGCTGGCCCCGGTGGACCTGCCCAAGTCGTAGAGCGACTTGAGCTGCTCCATGCCCGGGGCGGCGATGAAGATGACGTAGGGCATGAACTCGGTGCTGTTGTGGAGGATCTTGAGCGCGGCGGGACTGCAGTCGAGCACGCACATCTTGCCGGCTCGGATGAGCTCGCGCACCGAGTCGAGCTTGGTGCCGTACAGGTTGCCCCCGTGCTCGCCGTACTCGAGGTAGCGGTGCTCGCGAATGTCGCGCTCCATGGCCTCGCGGTCCGTGAACCAGTAGCTCTTGCCGTTCTCCTCCAGCACCCGGGGCGGCCGCGACGTGACTGCGGTGGGACAAGGAGTCTTTCGTTACTGGCCGAGCCGCCGTCGCCGCCGTCGCCGCCGTCGCCGCGTCAACTCACAAGGCACGATCGTGCCGAACTTGTCGGGATCGCTGTTGATCAGCCGGTTCTTGAGGGTGCGCCTGCCGACGCCCCTGGGCCCGACGAGCGCGAGGGTCTTGCGCCTGAACGGCGGCATCCTGGCCACCTCCTCGTAGAGCAGCAGCTCGGCGTTGTCGAACTCGCCGTTCGACTTGGACTGGTACATCCTGCGCTTCTTCTTCTTGGAGATGCGCGTGCCGCAGATGCTGATCTTGTGCACGAAGTCCGCCTCCGGCGGGACGAAGGCCTTCCGGCGCTCCTCCAGCTCGAGCGACGGGACGAGGCCCAGGGCGCCCAGGCTGTTGCCCTCCACGCGGCGGGCCTGCCACCAGTTGGGGTCCGCCTGGTCGACGATCTGCAGGATGTCGCCCTTCCGGAAGGCCAGGCCGATCTCGCGGCAGGGCAGCAGGCTGTCGTCGGCCGGCTCGTAGTCGAAGAGCGCGCGCATGTAGCTCTGTCGGACAGACAGACGGGCTCGAGTCTCGGCCGGCGCGCCCGCGGACGCGCGCGCCACTCACCGTGGGCTTGACGCTGCCGGGGTCGTCGGACGCGAGGCCGGGCGCGAGCTTCAGCGTGAGGTTCTCCTTGGCCTCCTGGATCGCCTGCTGCAGCTCGTCCGGGCTGTGCACGCTCTTGCCGTTCACCTCGAGGATCACCTCGCCGGGCCGCATCAGGCCCTGCTTGGCCGCCGTGCTGCCGCCGAGGATCCGGGCGATGATGAGGTTGCGGTTCTCGTCCACCTGTATCGTCAGGCCCTGCGAGCCGAGGTGGCGAGCGTCAGAGACCGAGCGCCGGGCCGAGCGCCGGGCCGAGCGCCGGGCCGAGCGCCGGGCCGAGCGCGGACCGCGGACCACTTACCAGCGGCTCGTCGGGCTGCCTCAGCAGGCCGACGATCCTCACGGCCTCGGTGAGCGCCTCCTCGCTGCTCGGCATGCTCCCGAAGAGGGGCGGCCGCCCGCGGGCTCGGCCCTGGGCGCGCGCGAGCTCGGCGTCGGCGACTCTGGCGGCGACCACCGCGTCGTGCGTCTCGAGCAGGCTCCTCAGCTGGCGGCCACGCAGCAGCAGCAGCAGCTCGCGCGACTCGGGGCTGCGCGAGGGCTCGAGGGCCCGCGTCACCTGCTGCAGCGTCTCCCGGACGGACGCGCACGCGGGGCTCGCGTGCTTCGGCGGCTGCTCCGGGCGCTCCTGCACCTGCGGACACGCTCGGGTTACGCGGCGCTCGCTGGCGGAGCGCGGCGGAGGCGCGGCGCGCTGGCGCTTCGTAACCGGAGAGGAATGTCGCGGCGCGGCAATTAGCGGCGGCGAGCGAGCGACAGGCCCGGCCGAGGACGGTCCTCGGCGCGCAGGCGCGCGCGCGCGCGCGCGAGCGGCCAGCGACCGTTAACCTCGCAGCGCAGGCCGCGCCCGTGCGCCTGGGCTGCGTGGCGCGGGTCGCGGCGGCGCGGGGACGCTCAGCCGGACTCACCTGCGGCACTGCGGAGGCACGAGTGGCTGCTAGCGCGCACCAGCTGGAGTATCGATCGCGTCTCGGAGCGGCGGCGGTGGCGGCGGTGGCGGCGGCGGCGGCGGCGTCCTCGTGTGGCTCGCGCGACGCTTCACGACTGCACGACTGCACGACTGGGCGACTGCGCGACTGCGCGACTGCGCGACTGCGGGCCAGCGCTTCGCCTGCGCTTGGGCCGCGCCTACGTTCGGAGGGGCCTCTCCTGCGCGTAGGCTGCCCGCGACTCACGGCCGGCGCGGGTGGGGGCCCCTCTCCCGCCTCGATTGTCTCCGCGACGGCTCGACTCGCGCGCCGAGCGGCCGACGGGGCCCCAGGGCCGTAGCCGCAGTCGCAGCGCAGCCATCGATCGGACGCTCCGACGCGGCTCGCAGCCGTCGGCCAGCGCGCGCCCGCCGGAGCGCTCGTATCGACGCGAGCCGAAATTGGGCGCGCGCGCGATCGACGTCGGAGCGACAGAGGAGACGCCGCCGGGCGGAAAGTGGAGCGGGCCAAGCGCCTCGTTGGTACCTCGGTGCGCGTGCCCTCGTTCGGCGTCTTGCGGCTGCACCTCGACGCGTGCTGGCCGCGCTCCCGACGCGAATTATCGAGCGCGCTGTCCGCTTTCGCGTGTGCCCGACGGAGTTTCGCGAGGCGCCGCGCGGTGGGATTGGCTTACTCGAGGCCGACACTGGACTCGCTTTTGTCGTGCACTGCGCGAGCCAGCCGAGCCCGCGCGTAACGCGACTCGCGGGAGCGCTCGCTCGACGGGGCCGCCGGCCTCGCTCTCGTGGCTTCGGCCGCACGGCTCCGCGCGGCGGCGCCCACGCCCGATCGCGTCCAACTGGCGAGACGCCTCTCCGAGCTCGGCTGTTCGGCTGGAAGTGCACCGGACGCAGGTTTTTCGGCAAGTGGGACGACGACGACGACGTCGACGACAGCTCCAGCGCAGCCGAACGAATCGCGCGTGCCGACGTTCTCTCAATAACAGAACCGGACGGACGTTAAATATATATCGGCTACCTGGTCCCTGACCAGCCGAACCATTGGGAATAGAATGCGATCCTCGCATTCCGAGCTACGAATGTCGGGAATACGAAAGCCCGCCGTAAGTCAAATTGACAGCGAGGCAGCCGCACGCGCGCTGCTCCACGGCTCTCCTCTGTAATAATAATCCGTCGGGCTGCGTCGCGTCGTTGAGGCGAAGCGAGCGTGGGTTGGGCGGCGTCGACCGCCGCGCCGCAGTCGGCTGCGGATCTGAATTTCGGAAAACGATAGCACGCGCGGCCGACGAATCCGTAAATCCGGAGCGACAGCGTCGACCGCGCTCCCCCCGTGGCGCGGCCCCCAGGTCCCGTTCGGTCCGCGGCCACGCGAGCTTCGAGGCGCGAACGTTCGCGTGGCACGCGGGAGGGCCGGACGGACTCCCCGGCCCCCGGCCGCCCTCTCGCTCGACGCGACTACGAGGAGGACTACGAGGAGCTCGCGAGCCGTGGTTATATTTATGCGAATCGATAGCCGCCGCCGAGCCGGCCTCGTCGTTTTCCGTGCGATCGCGTGGGCCGAAGTGTGCCGCTGCTCCGACACACTGCGCGGCTAATTGGCACCCGCTGCCCTTGTCGCGGCAAGGCCGGCTCGCGCTCGTCGCCTCGCAGTGTCGCGTACGACGACGGAGCGCGCTCGAGAACTCGTGGTCACGCGCGTCAATCTGGAGCGTCGATCGATTGTCGCTGCGCGAATGCTCGCTCGGATCTTCGTTTTGGCTCGTTTGACGCCGGACGAGCGCACGAACCCGCGGCAATTATCCACCGGCGATTTTTCGACGATCCCGATATTTCGGGAAGCGGGGGTCGCTTGTCAAATCTTCCGCTATTATGTCCGCGTCGGCGTTCGCTCGCGAGAAGCGGGCGCCGCGAAGCGCGCTCGCGCTCGGCATCGCATTTCAAAGGTTTTCCGCGCGAAAATAAATGACCGCTTCGCAGAAAACTTCAGAAAAACTTACAGGCGTGCGTTTATTTATATGAGCCGCTCTTCAGCGATATTCAGCGACGTTCATTTGGACTGCGCGAGTGTCGACGAACTCTTGTGCAACGATGGAAATACGCGTGTGGTCGCAGCGGACCGCCGTGACAAACAGTTTATTTATAATTGTCGCTCGCTTCATTCCGAGAATACTGAAGAGAACGCCGACAGGCAAATTCGTCCAAGCGCAATGCTCGCGATCGCCCGTCGAATTGGTCGCGAAGCGAAGGCCCATATCCGGCGAACAGCTCCGCTCGTCGCGTGAACTTGCGAGTGGCGGGCGGAGCGACGCTCGGCCCGTCAGTGTGCGGGCACGCGTTTGGATGCCAAAGCTCGCCACGTTGCTCATAATATTATGGCACCCTCGAGCGTTTACGCGGCAGTAAACAGCTGGCTGCTGTTGTGCGCGTGACGCGAGCGCGCGGCCCCCAGGCAGCCGCAACGTCAGCGGGCGCCGAGCTTGCGAATATTTCCGATGGTTCTATTAATAACGCGAACAATATCCGAGCGCGTGCGCGCGTCTTGTGTCGCAGATCGAGCGAGCTTTCCTTTCGATGATTCGTGACGTCGCCGACGGCTGAGCCCCCCCCCCCCCCATGACGTAATGCGCCGAGAGCTTGCGACGGCGCTCACAGCGTTCACCGGCTCGTTTATCGCGAGTGCCGCGAGCGCAATCGGACTGGCTTTACGTCGATGCCATTCGATTTCCTTACGCACGAAGATATTTCAGCGAAATCGCACGGTCGCGAGAAAAGTGGAAGGAGACGGAGTGGCTTTCGTTGAATTTGATCCGAGCGTGGAATGAATAATTCCGCGCGGACACTTTGGAAATAAAAGAAGCACCCCAGCTCGTTCGCCCTGTGAGACCGTAAAAGTTTACGCTTTGCGGGCCGCGCCGGCAAGCGATAAAAGTTATTCTGCCATCGATTTCCCAGGGCCAACCTCGCTCCAGTGCCCGAGTCGCGATCGACTTCTCACCTGCATGAACGACCTGACTAGAGGGTCCCCGATGAAGGCGTCGAGGAATATCAGATCCGTTTCTTGGGCCGCGGGCAGGACTGCCTTGCGGTCGGCGCGCTGCTCGTCGCGCGCCTCTGCGATCCCATCGCTGCCGTCGCGGGAACGCATAAAAGCGGCTGTAACATGAACAAAGTGGCGGACAGCCGCGTTAGAGTAGCTCGGTGAAAATCTCTGTCCGTCTGTCTGTATCTTTCTCGGGCGTGGCAAACGGCGCCCGAGTACGCGGCCGCGCGATCAATAATCGCAGCTACAGGTGGTGGTCGCGCGTATATCGCGCCACCGGTGCAAGCGCGACCGTCGGGCGACTTGACTCTTGGCGCTCGATTGGCACGGCCTGTCGTCACGTCCGCGCGATCGTCCTCCGTCGACTGGCTCCGCGCGCCGCCGTCCTCCCCCTTGGTCGGCCGCGCTCCGCAAGCTCGTCGCGCTGCTCGCGCTAACCACGTTCGCGCCGACCAGCTAATCGCCGCGCGAACGAGAAACGTTGCGCGAACGCGTCGGGAGCGAGAGCGGGGCGCGACGCGAGTCCCCCCTCGCAGCGATCGCCCGCGGCGTCGGGTCCGTTCGGCAGCGCGCCGGCCGCGGGAGAAAGGGGCCCAGCGGCGGGCAGGTGCCGAGAGCGACGGACGTACCGTTATCGTAGTGGGCGACTTTGTCGAGGTCCCGCTGCACGGCCTCGCTGCTGGCCAGCAGCCGGCGCTCCGGCCGCTTCTTCCCCAGGAACACCATCGTCGCCTGGATCCTCTTTGTTCAGAGGGCGCGGGGCCGCATGGCTGGCACTGCGCGGACGCGAGCCGTGTGTCCTGCGGCCGAGGGGCGGCCCGCTGTCGGCCGCGGTCTGCGCCGCAGCGGAGCGCGCCGCGGCGAGCGGAGCACGCGGGGCCCGGCCCCCACCGCTCGGCGAGCGACGCCACGCGGTCGCGCCCGACAACCTCCGCCGCTTCACGAGCTCGCGCCTCCGGACTCGACCGGCGGCCGATCGGCCTGCATTCTGTCTCCCGCGGATCGCGGCGCTGCACCTCGCTCCACTCTGTCTCGCCTCGTTCGCCACGGTCGCGCTCGCGATCGAAGCCTACTGGCCGCCTCGCGACGGAGGAGAGAGCGCGCGGTCGGCCAGTCGATCGTTGGCGGCTGTCTTGTTATGACTGCCGGCGAAACTGCCGGCGGCGGCAGCTGGCCAGCTGCTTAGGCTTCGCTCGCACGCGCGCAGGAGAGGGAGAAAATGAAAGCTCGACATTGGTATTAAAAGCTCGCGCGCGCGCTCTCTCTCTCTCTCTCTCTCTTTCTCTCTGTCTCTCGTTCGCGCGAGCAAGCAACCGCCGTCTACACGGCGCACGACAAGTCTTTATGGATCCGAGCACGTGCGCATGCAAAAGTGCAACTCCCACCCTGTGGCTTGACGAGCTTCAAGACAATCACCGTACAATAATTACGGCCTACTCTGATGAGCCGCCGCTCTTCAGTGCTCTCGCGATGACGTTTGCTGGGCAAACGCGAGGCCGCGCCAAGTATGATTTATAGCTTCGGATTAAACATCCTGACTAGAAATAGTTTTCCGCTAGAGACTCGCTGCCTATCCCCCTTGCCCCGTCTGTGTTGGCAAGACGTTGTTTAATAACACGTTCGGAAAGAGTATAAACAATCCGCGATCGCTTCTTCGGCGACGACAATTGAGCGATTCGGCAAAGTCGCTCCGGAAGCGAACGTCGAGGGTAGCGGGGAGAAAAGCACTCACCGCCGGCGCAGTCGAGAGATCGGCAAGCCCGCAGCGCAGGAGCGCCGTCGGTGAGTCTATAGTCGCATAGCTTGTTGGACTTGTTGGAGGTCCTGGACGAAGGCGCGCCGGGCCCGGCGACGACGAGCTGGTCCGGCCAACAGACGGTCTTGCGCTCGGCAAGCTCGGAGCTTCGCGAGCGCCTCGCCGTCATCGCTCGCGTTCGCAGGTGAGCATCCTTGTGCTCCCGCGGCGGCGGTCTGCCAACACGCGCAATCGTGGTGGTCGTGGTCGTCGTCGCCGCCGACCCGATCGATACATCTGCGAGCGAGCTGCTCCGGCCGCGGCGGCGAGTTAACGACTAGATTCGCGTTTCCGGACGGCCGGCGCTATCGCGTGCCGAGCTCGCACCGCGCAGCTATACAAGCCGCGCGCTCGCCATGGAAACGCCATGCGCCGCGCGCCCGTTCTAACTGCTGCGGGCACGCGACACTTTGGCCCTGCGCACCCCGCACCGACTGCCGTTGCTATGCATCCTCGCGGCCCTCCGCCGGGAGTCACCTTCGTTTGCATGCTCACGATTTGCACTTCCAGGACGAGCCCTCGCCGATTCCTCCTCATACGCGCTTTTAGAACGTCCTTCTAGAACGTCCCCAATTAACTTATATGTATATATATATATATATATATATATATATATATATATATATATATATATATATATATATATATATATATATATATATATATCTGTCTCGCTAACTCAAAGTCAAAAATAACGTTCTGATTGCCCCGCCAAATGTTTTGGCAAGAATATAGTCCACTTTCTAATGCAAATGTCAAAACACTTTGATATATTCGTTGTTGTCGAATTTCGAAAATCCGTGTCAGCCTGGAAATGTCAGTCAGCGTATGATTTCCAGTGATTTATTGGCTCCTCTAGATCTAAGCCACAGTTATAAGAATTCAAACATAGACTTTTCAGATCACTTTCAAATTCGCCAATTTGTTTGTCCAGCTTCACTGTTTGAAAGGTACTACGAGTGAGACGTAATGCAATCTGTGCTTCGTTCGCGAGCTACATCGATGATTGTCGCAGCCACCCCCCCCCCCCCCAATAAAAAAAAACTTCGTAAAAGTGCGTCGATAAAACGTCGCGTATTTCCAACGCACGATTCCAATTCGTTTGGTTTCCTTGGCGATGGTTTCTGCCGTGGATCACCCGTCGAAACTCGTCACAGAGGGGAGGGAGAGTGGTACGCGTATTTGCATAACCGAAACTGCAGATCTCTGCGAGATTACGCCGGGAATGGGTTAAGAGTGGAGACGGGCGCAGTTTATCAAAAGCTCTCGGCGGAATGACGGCACACGGAGCGCCTCGTTATTTATAGATCTTCGAATCACGTGGAAGCTTGCAGCTCGGCACAATGCCTTCAACGCTGCTGTCTCTTCGGCTATTTTTAATAAAGGTATATCCGTTTCATTCCGCTAGGCCTGGCGTTAAAATTAACCGAAAGACTTTTTCGATCTCATTTTTCCCTCCTGCTCCGTTATTTCATTTTCAGTTTTTTCTTTTTTTTATCTCGGTAAATGTAATATTGCTTTGTCGTTCTGTCGCGCGCGGAACTTGTGACGCACCGAGCACTCGGTACAAGGAAAAGCGGATCGCTGATAAACGGTGTTTATATAGGTATGGGGTCGGCCAGCGGGTCGCGACGACGTTACGAGCAGCGGCGGCAAGGTAGGGAACGTCGCTTATCGCCTCGCCGTCATTGCTTTCTCACCGGGAGAGTAGGTGTCAGCACTGGAATTTAAAAATTTTTTTCCCCATCGGAATTAAATGCATTAATGCAGGCTTCGACGCTGCATTTTCACACGCTTGCCGAGTAGTCGACTTTGCGAACGGATCCAAATCTTTCGAGGATGCATAGCGAAGCGAAGCTTATTATTCTTACCGATGCCTGCAAATTGCCGGCGATAGCTCTGCGAAATGGTGAGAGATAGATAGATAGACAGAGAAAGGAGAGAGAGAGAGAGAGAGAGAGAGAGAGAGAGAGAGAGAGAGAGAGAGAGAGAGAGAGAGAGCGCTTAACAAATCAGACGAGCTTCCGCGCGAGAGAGCTGAGAATAGAGCGACCGCCAATAAATTCATTCGCGAAGCAACGACGTGACAAGCGGTAATGGGCGAAAAACGTGCACGCGGCGCTGACAATAATAGAAGAAGGAGATAGGAGTTTGGCCGCGCCACCCCCTCCGCCATCCAGTGATAGAAACGTGTATGTGCCGTCGCACCGCTCTGTAGCCTGGAAAATAAGAATTGAACGTGTTTTCGTTTAAGCAAGCTGGTTTTTTGAGGATAGATGCCAAACGTAGCTTATAAAAAACTCATTTTTTCCATGCTCATGAAAATGACTGGAACATCGTTTACGGGCTGGTTAATTGTAGAAATTTCACGTTTTTCGCTCATAACTTTTATTTGTTTATTTAGACAAGAAAACGTTGAAACTGACTTTTTTCCTTTTTCGCAAGACCTACAAAACGAACCCCAAGCACAAAATAACATTGACTAAATGAAAAGTTATGAACAAATAAAGATATTATTGCGAGAATAATTTCATATGATTTCTTGCCATTATTTAATATCTTATGAATTACGGCATTATAAAACAAATTAACTTAAACATATTTAATTTTTGATTGTAGATTTCACGATGCTATATTGAAATCTACAATTTTTTTCAAAAAATTTCAAAATTGCAACCTGTAGAATTGTTATTTTATTTTAAGCCTTAGTTGCAAAATTGAATATAGGAATTGAAGATGTCGTAATATTTTGGGATATTTGTAAAGATTATTAAAGAGCTTTAATTTAAGAATAAATCGTTCAAATTCGTTGAAAAACGACAGTTACCGACTGTCTAATTTTACGGCCGATTGTTAAACAATTTATGTTGGTAACGGTACAAAATAATACTATAATCACCAACAGGCCAAGTCGTTTTCTAGATATAATTATTTTGCTTCTGGGAAAAATATTGTCAAAAGTCGGTGAGCCACTTGGTTTTTCGGTGAGTCGCGGCGCGACTAAAAGTCGAGGGAAGCAATCTTGGGAGGCAGCGCGTTTGAAAAACCTTGTTTTCGCTCTTCAAAATCGATGTCGCAACTAGGATGAATCTTTTCTCGGGAACAAATTAAAATAAATTAATCATTCGTTTTTTAATTTGATACCACATAGCGAGAGAAAGAAATTTTAATTGCTTAAAATTACAGAGTCACGAAGAAAGTTTTCGAAGTAACGAAAAATTAAAAGTGAAATTTTTCATTCGAGGAAAAATTGGGAAGTATTTATCTAAAGGAGAAATGATATTTCTTGAATTCTATAAATATTATAATTATCTTTTAAATGCCAAATGAAACTCTGTAAACATCATTTGTAATGTAACACAGCATTATCACATAATATAAATATAATATAATGGTAGGTTTTTAACAATTAATTTACACAACAAACGCACATTCCCATATACATTAATAGTTCCATGCGCTTGATTCTCCTAGAATTTTAGCTCTTTTAACGGGAGGACTATCGATGCTATCATAAAAATGTATCCTACGCCGGATAAAATTCCACATCGTTTCGATTATTTTTAATATCTTGAAAATATATCGTCGATGCTTCGTCGCTTTTCTGAATTGATCCGAACCAGTGTCACTTACTCTTCCATATTACAAAGCAATTTCTAGCATTAAAACTCGCGCTAAAGGCATATATGATATTATTATGTCTTTGACTAAAATTTGAATTACAAATTTACACTGGCGTGACTCCTAGTATTTATATTTTAAAGTAGGCAGATTAAGCAATTCTTCCATATTTTCATAATCTTTGTAAACATCACTCAGGCAAACTGTGATAAAAGATGAAGCTCTGGATCATCCAGATTAATAATCACTATACGTACGAGAAAGAAGCGCATTAACGCAACGTTTAGCATCTCTGTCCTGAAAAAATCAGCTTGTTTCCCGCGTCTATCTGCCATTGCAGCAGATACCCACGCAAAGTGAATGTAATGCGTCATCTCCATTCAGTCATCACGTAACAATTGGCTTGTCGTCGTCCTTTTCTTCCTCTCTCTCTCTCACTCACTCTCGCTGTGGACGTTTCGCACGCCGACAACTTTCTACTAGACGTCAAATTTGAAGCTTGATTCGAGCGTCATCACAGTAAAATAGCGAACGAACAAATGAGATCCTACTGGAATTGAGTGTCTCATAGAATTGTTGTAGACAAACGGTTCGGGAAATCGGAAAAATGCAGACGGAAAGTATCCGTCAAAGCGATGAATATCGACAGGTGAAGCAAGAAAGAAACGTTAGTTTGCCAGAAAGAAGCGTTATAAGGTCTAGAGAGATAAGAAAGGTCAACGGACAAAGCGAGATGAATAATCTGCGCGCTCAGGCAGGTCTCGGAGGTAGCGCAAGCGAACGCAGCGGGAAAGCGATCGATTGTCTTGGAGCGGGAAAGGCGAAGAAGCGGAGGCAGAAGAAGCAGCAGCGAGGAGGCCGTTATTTGTGTACAATTGCGCCCGTAAAAGGCAGTCACGAGTTCATACTGGATAGATAACGCGGCTGAGCACGGAACGGCCGAGTTGGTGTCGCTATAAAAGAGGCACGCGGACCCTGGCAGCGATATAGACGTTCCACGCCGTGATTCCGCGCCGCTTATACGTACCCGCCACGAGCTTGCAAGCATGATCCGAGCAGAGGTGAGTTTACGGCTTTGGCGCTTCATTTTCAATTGTCTCACCTGTTGTACGCGCGCCCCTGTCGTCTCGTAGTCGGCAAGGTTGGCACATGGCTAAGCGCGCATCCGTCAAGTAATAATCGTCCGGGCCGAGCGTCCAAGTAGCTTTATCGTTCGAGATCCGCCGGAACGATAGCGGCGGCAGCGGCGGCAGCGGCGGCAGCGGCGGCAGCGCGCGGGACCTCTGCCAATTTGGCGCTCGCTGTCGCGAACCCTGAGAAATTTCAAGCAAAGCTCGATTTGGCGCCTTCGGCAGGTGTACGGGCTGCTGCTGTGCGCGCAGCTGATGCTGTGGACGTGCGCGCCATCCGCCGCCGAGCCGCTGCCGGCGCCGAACAACGAGGCGTCCGGAGCGAAGAAGCCGATTACACTGGACGACGTGCTGATGAACGCCCTCGGAAGCGACTCGTTCAACGGCAGTTGGATGTCCGACACGGAGATCTTCTACAGGGTCGACCAGTTCCTGGTCAAGTTGGACGTGACCACGCAGAAGACCCAACAAATCGCGAAGAACGCTCTGTTCGTGAGTATAATAGAACGCGCGAATGGACGCCGCTCCGGGACGCGTCACCTTGAAATTGCCCACGGCAGTGGGGCTGTAGCGCTCGCGCGACTCGACTGTTGCAGGAGGAGCTCGGCCTGGAGTTCTTCACCTCGCCCGACAACAACTACGTGCTCGTACGCAACGTCACGCAGAACGTGAGTGACGCCCACGATTATTTTACACAATTATTCAATGACTTATTCAATGACCGCCGCTCAACGCTCCCGCATATTTTGATTTCAGGTCTACAGGCACTCGGCTTTGAGTATATACAGCATTTACAGCATCGAGTCCAAGTAAGCAGAGACGCTCGGCCGACCGATCGGCACTCGGGCTCGGGCGAGCCGACCGGTAAAATGATTCCGCTTGTTCGCAGGACAGTGACTGCCTTGGCCGACGGTCAGCTATTGTCCACGGCGTTCTGGGCGCCGCAGGGCAGCGCCTTGGCGTACGTCTTGAACAACGACGTCTATTACCACCAGGTGAGCGGCAAAGAGCAGGAGACGCGCCGACTGACGTTCGACGGCAAGCCGCAGGTCGTTTACAACGGAATGCCCGACTGGGTGTACGAAGGTACGAGCCCGGTCGCTCGATTTCCCTCCTATTTTCGTTCTCGGCTCTAAGTGCTTAAAACTCGACTTTTGCCCGTGCTTGGCGCAGAGGAAGTTTACGGCACCGACCGAGCGATGTGGTTCTCGACGAATGGCGAGCACCTAGCCTTCGCCACGTTCAATGACAGCCAAGTTCCCGAACTGGTGATTACGAGGTACGGCGAGCCCGGCAGCTTGAAAGATCAATACCCCAAGGAGAAGAGGTTCAAATATCCGAAGGTGAGCGCCCAGCCCACTCGCCGGCGAAACTTTCGCAAGCTCGAATCCATTTCCTTTTTCAGTTTGCCCGAGTTTAAAAATTAGCTTAGCCCCCGTTGATGTATTAGAGAGCCGCGTCGACGGCAATTTCAGCGGCCCATAAAACTCTCGCGTCCGGTCTGCTTCGCTTTCTTCTTCCCTCTTCGTTCTCTTTTGACGCAGTGCTGTCGATCCGAGCCAGCTCGTAAATGCACCCGACTACTCAGCCCTCTGTTTATTTATTGCCATTGCTAGCGCTTTTCACTCTCGTTTAGCCAGCGCATTGATCAGTCGCCGCTGTTGCCCGGCGATTTCGCTCAAATTGCAATGAGCAAAGAAGCTAAAAAAAAAAATTGACGAACGATTTTCTCGCAATAATAATCGAATGGCGCGTGTTGCGCGTGTTGCGCGTGTTGCGCGTGTTGCGCGTGTTTCAGGCAGGGAGGACGAACCCGCAAGTCACGCTCAACGTGATAGATTTAACGGATCATGGCTCGAAGCTGATCTCTTTAAAACCTCCCGTCGACATTGTTGGCTCGTGAGTTTGTCTACTTTTATTACTGCGACACGCTCGCAACTTTACAAGTAACGTGTCGACGCGATTGACCGACTGGACAGGGAGTGCATCCTGTTCGCGGTCACATGGTTCGACGCCAAGACCGTGGCGGCCACCTGGACGAACAGAGTGCAGAACTTGTCGCAGCTCGTCAGTTATTCGCTGACCGGTCAACTGCAGCCTCTCTTGGTTCAAAAATCCCAGGGCGGCTGGTTGCTCAACACAGCCCAGGCGCCCATTCACCACGACAGCTACGTGTTTCTTCACAAGCTGCAGTCCGTCAGTCGGTGCACCTTCTATCTAGTCTGCGACTGCAAGTCCTCCCGAAGCGTCCGATGCAAATTCATCCTTTCCTCCTTTTCACCCGCAGCGAACGCCAGCCTGGGCTTGTTCAACCACGCGACCCGCTTCAGGCTTCTCAACGGCGTCCTCGACCACGAGACCGACCTGACGCCCGGCGAGTTTTGGGTGCACGACATCCATGGCGTCAACGAGGCGAAGCGAGCGCTCTACGTGACGGCCAGTCCCCCGGGCGAGCCTTCTCAGAAGCACTTGTACGAGATCGGTCTGGCGAAGGAGTCGCCGGAGCAGCCCAAGTGTATTACCTGCCAGTTCAAGTCACCCGAAGGTATCGATTATATTATTTGTTATTTTCGATTTATTTCTCCCTGGTTGCCTCCCTGCCGGCGCGGCCTGATCGACCGACGACGAATGCTCGCAGGGAACGCGTGCAGGTACGCCAACTCGATAAGCTTCTCGACGAACCTGTCGCACTATGTGCTGACGTGCGCCGGCCCGGACCCCGCCACGATTCGGGTGTACGACCTCGACGGCAGCCACGAGTTGTACACGTGGTCGAGGAACGATCGACTCAGGGAGGTGTTGGCCACGCGGATAATGCCCAAGCAAATGGACCTGTACATCGAGTCGCACGGGTTCGACGCCAAAGTCAGGATGCTCGTGCCCCCGGACCTCGACAAGTCCAAGAAATACCCTATGCTCATCAACGTGTAAGCGCAACTCCGATTGCGACAGATGGCTTTCGATTCGACATTGGCGAGTTGACCGCAGCTGACCGCGCCGGTTACAGGTACGCCGGTCCCAGCTCTCAGGCGATCATCGACAACTTCGCCCTCGGCTTGGACGCCTACCTGTCGACCAGCAGGAACGTGATATACGCCTGGATAGACGGACGCGGCAGCTCCACCCGGGGCACCAGCATGATGTACGCGGTTTACCGGCAGCTGGGGAGCGCCGAGATGGAAGATCAACTCGAGGTTGCCAAGTGCGTCGATGGATCGATAGCAGCTCTTGTCCCTGGTGCACTGGCTGCGCCGATATTTTCGCTGTTGGATTGATCGTTAAATCTGGCGGTCGCTATTGGCTCTTTGCAGGAAATTGCAGCACAAATTCCCGTGGATCGACAGCAACAAGACCGCTCTTTGGGGCTGGAGTTACGGCGGATATTCCACGGTTAGCGTACTCACTAAGGACGACGACAACGTATTCAGTTGTGGACTGGCCGTGGCGCCAGTCACTAATTGGATTTATTACGGTAAATTGAACCCACGCTTATCATCCGAATATCTCACTTGTTAAAAAAAAACTTGACGTCGAAATCTCGTTCGAATTCGGAACAAAATATGCAATTCGCTATTTGGAACAATAATTTGAGAATAATTTTGATTGCCGAGGCGGTCGGTTAGCTTTTCGGTTAGACTTTTTTTTCAACGAAAGATAAGAAAAGCTCGAGGTTTTTAATATACGACGTTTCGCAATATACCGTCTGTTGACAGACTCGATCTACACCGAGAGGTACATGGCTCTGCCGACAGCCGACGACAATTTAAAGGGCTACGAATCGAGTAGCGTGGTCGTTGCGGATCGCGTGAAAAAGTTGAAAGGCAAGAAATTCCTGCTGATCCATGGCACGGGTGACGACAACGTGCACTACCAACAGTCGATGGCTCTGACCAAAGCCCTTGCCGAAACCGACATATTGTACAATCAAGACTTTTATGCCGATGAGGTGCATTCCCTAAGCCACGTCGGCCTACACCTTGTTCACACGATAGACAAATTCTGGTCCGAATGCTTGGGCTACCACGTGGATGAGGAGCGCAGGAGGAGAAGAAGAAGTGTCTGAGAACTTGCATAAATTGTTACCTTCAAGCATGGAGAGACGAGATAGCAAATAAGTGTGCATTTAAAAGAAATTATACTTGTAAATTTACGTGCGATCTAGATTATTCATGTATATTATGTCCGTGAAAATTTGACGAATCGATCCATGCAAATAAATCAGTCTCGATTTTACTTGGCTTCGCTGTTATTCCTCAGCTTACCACTGAATTCTTTTGATTTACAAGAGCACAAGTTCAAAACAAACTTAAGCTTTCATTTTTAAGATCTGGATTTTTTCGAAATTGGAAGACCAATTTCTGAGAAGTAATCAAATAAGTAGGCAATCAACGTTATATTTTAAAAGGTTAAATCTTAAATCTATATATATGTAAAAGTAATTCGTAGGTATGGAGAGCCGAACAATCAATTATTTATCGATGAATTTTCAGTTGGCTTTGTATTTGCCGACAAACTGACAGATAATACGTGCACTTCTTATTGATAGACGTGGCACCAACTCCAAAGGTATAAAACGACGATGTACGTTGGTTGCCGTCAGCTGGGAGACGCCGAGGTGCAAAACCAAATTACCGCTGAGAGGTCGGTGTTTAAACAACCGTACGGTTGGGAAGAATAAAGCTTGTCGATCTTTTCTTTTATGGTATTTCAGATGATTCCAGAAAGGTACGTGAGATATGTTCGTGGATCGATAGCAATTTGAGGAAAAAGCTGCGGCGGCTAGTCTACAGCAATAATTCGTCCAGAAAACGATAACAATGTCTTCAAATGTAGAATTGCAGTGAGCTCTTGTTGATTATGTTACGGTTACTCCGGTTTTCTTGAACGATCAGTCTCTTACGCTTATTGTATTTACATTTATATGAGAAGCGATATACGTGTAGAACGTTGTATGGATCTATAGGGGCAATATAAGACGATAACTCGAAAGGATAGAAAGCCAAAGAGCCTCGAGCGATAAACGATGCGCGAAAATTTCTAAACGTAATGTTTGTGCTTGTGCACGCCACCGGCGATCATGACGTTCATTTGCGCCAATCGATGGTTACGCGTCAATGCTCCTGTCTATTTCAACAGTTTTTCTATCCGTTGGCTGAGCATCATTTCAGTAACAATGTTTACAAACATCTCTGTCGTACTTTCGACAAGTTCTTCTTTTAGTAGTTCTTCTTTTAGAGGGATAATCAATATTCAAGCCACAATATCCACCCGTTCACTGGATAATGTTCCGATTCATATATATATATATATATATATATATATATATATATATATATGTATGTAATGTGAACTATTTTCTGCGTAAAATAAACTAAATCTGATCTCTGTCCCAGTATTCCGTAAGCGAATACATCGAGATAGCGTACATAGCGTGTTTAATCATACATATCTAATTACCGAATTATTTACTGGTCAAAAGTGATTTTCTAATTTATATTTACTGTGTTCTCACGTCAAATTTTTATCGATGAACTTTGAGGACTATAAATTGTCTCAAGTGAATAGAAAAATGAAGAAAAAATAGCCGGATAAGTCGATTGAATGCTAATTACCTCGACGGGTCTGTACGTGGCCATGGCAATAATTTTCGTGAGAAACATCGAGCGGCGTTCGGTCAGTTGTGCTCGTTGACTCGCTATGCGACATTCAAATCACACATCACTCCCAATCGCAAGATTTCGTTGCGCCTGAATCATACATAACCGGCGCACATTGCAGCATTTCCCGCGCTGCCCGCCAGAGGTCATCGAGGATGGGCTTTGATCGAGAGAGGGGCCCGGTCCGGTCCCGCGAACGTTCACTTCACGAGTTCACATACACGTAGATCAATCGCGGTTCTCGTTCTTTTCTCTGGTCATAGTTTGGTCGTCAGCTGTCACCTGATCTGCATTATACTGTGCGAGTTTATGTGCCAAGTTCGTACGAGATTGTTTACTATACGCCCGTTGCAGAAGAGATACCGTGAGTGCGCAAGGCTAAGTGCCACATCAAGCTTATATTGATATTGTTTGATAGAGAAGATCAATGAAAGATTGATTTTTCTCACGAGAAGGACAAATAGGACTGCTTCTACTGGTCTTTTTTCGATATTACGGTATACGTGGCAAAGGAAAGCCCGTAGTTGCGCTCATACTCGCGCAATCACTTTCAAATAAAAATTAAATTAAGAGCCGTAGATTTATCGAAGAATGAAATAAGATCGAAAATTATTATCGCGAACCGATAAAATAAAAATAACTCGCACCAAACTGCGACAAGCAGCTTGGATTTTCGTTCTCCCCCTATACTTTAATATTCATGCTGTCAAGTTACGGTACGTGACCGGAACGCATACTGCTTTCAACGAAGCTGGCGGTAATTATAAAGTACTTACCTGATGAACTCGACGTTTGACGAGCTTTGCAAAATGCGAGTTGGCTGGTACTTTTTCGTGACAAGATTGTAGTCGATATAGATAAAAAAAATTCAATCGTCGAAAGAAAATCGAATTCATCGAAAATACGGCGTTATCACAGCTACGCTATGTAGCGAACGCTACACGGGGAGAAGAATGAAAGCGATGAGTCTAAAGTATAGCGGTACAATGCAAAAGTGTGACGCGTCGATGCCAGTCGACTTGTTTTCAATTGAATTGCCAGAAATTGTTGGGGTTTTCGCAACTTGTTTCAGCAACCAACGATGGCCACCGAGTCGCGCGTTACTGCCGAGCGGCCCGTCAGCGAGGAGAGAAAGCCCCTGTCCCTCGACGACGTCATATCGTACGCCCGTAAGATCACCTCTTTCAAAGGCGTCTGGATATCGGACACGGAAATATTCCACCAGGACGCCGAATCCGCGTTCGTATTCGACGCGACCACGAGGAGGAGCACGCTGATTGCCAAGGAACCGATTTTCGTGAGTCGAACAAGTCGAAAAAGTTGGAAATGGCAACCGATTGGGCGAGGCGCACGCGACCACACTTTCGCTCATTGTCCTCTCTTGATTTTGCAGAAAGACTGCGAGCTCTTCCTCAGCGCCGATCGAAATTACCTCCTCGTCAAGGGTCCCGAGACGAAGGCAAGTTTGCTCTCCTCCGGACCAAGTCAAACGAAACGACCGAGACGCACATTTGAATAAATCCAGATTCCAGATTATTTCCAAGTGATGGAGTCTCGAGTACTCTTTGAACGAACTGCTCGTGCTGCGAGATGTAATTATTTCGTCAAGTCGGGCACACGAGCCGGCGTCGAGTCCTTTCGTTTCGCTTTTCCGAGGCCCCGTCGAAAATTCCACTGACAGTCGCGCTCCGTGCAGATTCACTCCTACCTGCCCGTCAGCAAGTACAGCGTCTACCACGCGAAGAGCAAGTAAGTTGCGCGCAGCGCGATCTCAGCTTCACCGACGACGACGATTAATCGGCGTTATTGTCGCGCCACGCAGGAGGGTTGCGGACTTGGCCGACGGTCAGCTCCTGGCCGAAGCGGCCTGGGCCCCCCAAGGCAGTGCTCTGGCGTTCGTGCTCGACAACGACGTCTACTATCAGCGGCTCGACGGCGGCTCCAGCGCGACGCGACGGCTCACGAGCAACGGCAAAGCCGAAGAAACGTTCAACGGTATCAGCGACTGGATGTACGGTGGTGAGCAATCTCGGCACAGGGCGTCAGTCGTCCGCCTCCCCCCCCGGCTATAATCAGTCGCGCCTCGCTTTCCAGAGGAGGTCTTCCAGGATCGCAGCAGGGTGCTCTGGTTTTCGCCGAGCGCCGACCACCTCGTCTTCCCGACTTTCGACGACAGCAGCGTCGACGACGTGATTATCTCGCGATACAACAGCCCAGGAAACCTGGCCGACCAGTATCCCGAGATAGTCAGATACAAGTACGCGAAGGTAATGCGCGAGGGCGCCGCGGATCGGCGGGATGATGTTCCGGTCGAGCTCGTCGACGAAAGGCGAGAGGAGAGAGAGAGAGAGAGAGAGAGAGAGAGAGAGAGAGAGAGAAAGCTGGGTCATTAGAACGGGAGCACGGCCAACAGAAATCCATAGAGATTTGACGGCAATTTGGCAGCCAGCTCGCATTCGCGAGTTCGCAGGATAAGCTTCGCGGCTCTGTCCAGACAAGTTTAACGGGCCATAAAAGTCTTGGCGAGCGCGAGCGCAAGCCCTTTTTTCGAGAGAGAGAGAGAGAGAGAGAGAGAGAGAGAGAGAGAGAGAGAGAGAGAGAGAGAGAGAGAGAGACGCTGAGTTTTTAGAGCCGTGGCCGCGTGCGTACAGCCCCCCACCGATGTATTTTAACGGCGAAGCGCGCTGCTCTCGTTTCGCATTTTTCGAGCGGCGCAAAACTATTCGGAGCGGGCTATAAAATTTGGCCGCGACGACGGGCGATAAACGTAAATGGCTTCTCTTTTTCGGCGATTCGCGATGAAATCCGGTTGGGATATGTTCTCACGTAGCTCCGATACGGCCTTTAGTCTGGAACGCCCATACCGAGAGTCACGCTGAATCTCGTGGATCTGAGGAAGGACGAGTCCACGCTGATTGAGCTGAAAGCTCCGAGCACGATAGGATCGTAAGTACGAATGGGGATTCATGTCGAAACATTCGTTCGATTGATGGGCAAACGTTAACTTTGCAGAGAGCCAATTCTCTGGCCTGTCGACTGGTTCGACGATAAGACGATCGTGGCAACCTGGACAAACAGAGTACAAAATCGATCGCAAATTGTCACTTACACGCTGGACGGCCAATCTAAGTTGCTGTTGGGCCAGGAGTCACCGGAGGGCTGGTTACTTTGGGATCTCGTCTATTACACCCCAAAGTTGTGCAACGACTGTCTTGTTCTCGTGGAGCTGCAGCCGTCAGGTAGGCAAGCAATCGGCCGTAAAGCCAACGTTTGACGCTTTCGAAGTGCAACGAAACACTGTGGTCGAGGCAGGCGACGAGAGTCTCGGCTCGTTCAAGCACGTGGTGCGTTACCGAATGTCGAACGGCCGACTGGAGGACAGGACCGATCTGACGCCCGGTGCCACGTGGGTCTGCAGGATCGTGGACGTCGACGGGGCCAAGGGCGTCGTCTACTACGTCGCCAGTCCCGCCGGGCAGCCTTCGCAGAAGCAATTGTATCGGGTGAGCTTTCGCGAGACGAGCGACCAGCCCGAGTGCCTCACCGCCGAGCTGCGGACACCGGAAGGTATGCGCGCCGCGCCAATCGAGTTGCGAGCTCGCTAATCGACGAGTGCGCGCCGCGCGCGCGGGGTATTCGACAGGGAACGCGTGCAAGTACGTGAGCGGCGTGGCCTTCTCCAAGGGTCTGGCGTACTACGCGCTCACGTGCCACGGCCCGGATCCAGCCTTCGTCGGCATCCACGACTCCGAGTCGGGCGCGCAGCTCCACGAGTGGTTCGCCAACGCGGAGCTGCGCCGGACGCTCGTTGGTCGAGCGCTGCCCAAAGCCATGGACGTGGACGTGCCGGTGCCCGGGGGCAGCGCCAAGGTCCGCCTGCTGCTGCCCAGCAGTTTCGAGCCCGGCAACAAGTACCCAATGGTCGTGAAAGTGTCAGTTGGCGCTCGAGTCTGATCAGCGAGCGACGAAGCGCAGCGCGACCGAGACGATGCTTGGCTTGTTTGCAGGTACGGCGGCCCGGAGAGCCAGGCCGTCAGCGACGCGTTTGCAATTAGCTTCGAGCACTACATGGCCTCGAAGCGCCAAGTAATATGTGCGTTCGTCGACGGGCGCGGCACCAGCGGCAAGGGCACCGCGATGTTGTACGCGGTTTATCGCCGCCTGGGGAGTGCCGAGATGGACGACCAGATAAGCGTTACCCGGTTGGTTACCCGGTCGATCGACAGGCTGCCGGCCGGCCGCCGATCGACCCGCCCAAGCTCAATGCCGGCCGAGCCTTTTCAGGAAGCTGCAGCAGACGTACCCCTGGATCGACAGCGAGAGGACGGGGATATGGGGCCGGAGCTACGGGGGCTACGCCACGGCGGCGATTCTCGCCAGGGACCGCGAGGGCGTTTTCAAGTGCGGCATCTCGGTCTGCCCGGTCACCTCCTGGCTCTATTACGGTAAGCCCGACGGTCGACGCCGCGCTCGCGGAGACCAGCGTTAACGCCTCGGACGCCTGTGTGCTCGAAGACGCGATCTACACGGAGCGCTACATGGGCCTGCCGAGCGCCGGCGACAACCTGAGCGGCTACGAGGCGAGCCAACTTACGAAGGACGCGAGCAGCCTGGCGGGCAAGAGGCTGCTGCTGGTGCACGGCAGCGGCGACGACAACGTCCACCTGCAGAATTCGATGGCGCTGAGCAAGGCCCTCGTCGAGGCGGACGTTCTCTTCGAGCAGTTCTACTACACGGACGAGTATCATCCGCTGAAGGGGGTGTACAAACACCTGTACGCCACCTTCGACAAGTACTTCTCCGAGTGGCTGGGTTACGAGCTGCGACAATAAAAAGAATAATGACTCGCGATCTACGTGCTGTACTAATTTGCTTGCTCCTCCCCCGAGCCCAAAGACCCGCGAGCCCGATAAAGCTCGTCGATTGAGAAGCCCATTACTCAGCGTCATCGAGCGCATTTATCAAGCGGCCCGGAGGTCAGCTCCGCCGCGCGGCGCCGCCATCGCGAGTGATCCACTCGGCGAGCCTCGCGCCCGAGAACGAATCGCCGTCGCGTGCGCGCCGACAGGCCCCCGCCGCGATCGTTTGCCGGTCGCGAGGTTCTTGGTTGCGCCGATGCTCCTTTCAGGCCGTGCCCCAGTCCGAAAAGATAGAAGAGCGGCACGAGTGCTACGAGCAGCATTCGATTGGCACTCTGGGCTATGAGGAGAGAGGTCGCGTTTTCTCCTCGAAGCGGGGCGAAGCGGGGCGAAGCGGGGCGAAGCGGGGCGAAGCGGGGCGAAGCGGGGCAGGCGTAAGGGCGCGCAAGGTCGCCGCGACGAGGCACGCAATCGCGAGAGAAGGTCAACGGCTGTTATCATCGCGCGCAGGAATAGTTCAGGGTCGACGAGCGGCAACGTAGCGCGGCCGCGTCGACTGATGCGCCGGAATCACGCGAGCCACTCCTTATCGCGCCACCTTCGCGCCCTGCGGCGCGTTATTGCGGCTATTTTCGTTGGGATTTATTAGGTGTTTGCCGATCCCGATGGCCGTAAAGGCGAAATGAGCGTCGGTTCTCGCAGTCGTCGCGCGTAGAGACCGGACCTTGCCGTGTCGGCGCTTGGTGCTAGAATTTCTGATTCATTGCTGCCGTCTCGTGAAAAGTGGTTACGTGCCGCAACGTCCACTACACGCGCGTGCACTAAGCGACGCGGTATCGATTTTCGAATACTCCATTTGTATGCGTGCACGACCGTCGGCTTCGTATCGTTTTATTGTCCAAAGCCCATACGTAAACTCTGTTAAAGCGCCGTAAGAGCATTATCCACTCGTCGCGGCTACGACACTGCAGTTCCGTGAATCAAGTATATGTATCGGCAATTGAAAAGACATTACCGTAGACAGACCGAACGAGACGCTACTTAGATTTTCACTTTGGAGCGAGAGGCTATTCCGCGGAGATGGAGCGCGTTGCAAAATCAATCTGTGTCTCGCGCATTTTTCGAGCCCAGAGGTGTTCATTCAATTTCGAAAGACGACGTATTTGTCCGAACGCATCCTCGAAAGCGGACTATTTTCCCGGCGATTTTCCGAAATAGAGCGCGCGTTTGGCGCACTCGAACAAAATCGAAAAATCGATAACTCGGGGCTGACGAAAAGAAAGAAACGAAGCAAGACGAGCGAGACTTCGCGCCAAAGGAAAGTACGCAAACCAGTCGGACGTTATTCGCAAGTAACGAGTAGCGTCTGGCGAGTCTTCCAAAATACGACACTGGTCGCACAGAGATTTCATTCGGTGCTTCGTTTAAACGTGTTATGCTTCCTTTTAACCGTCTACAAAAGTCTCTGGATATACTGTAATGTGTCAACGTAATACGTGCTACGTTTCCAAATATTCTAAAGTATTAGCAATTTAAACAAAGCATAGGATCCAACTTGAAACTAGGTATTATCAACGATTACAATTAAAAATAAGATAATACAATTGCACAACATCATTCGAGAGAGAGAGAGAGAGAGATTTCCATTTGATACTGAACTTACTTTTGTTGAGGTTCAAGGATTGAACCGTATAACGCAAAGTTTACGAACGAGTATATCGATAAAGTACGTAAATATAAAAGAATAGGCAAGAAGCAGAGCAGAGAGAGCGGGAGCGCGTACGCGCGAAGCCGTCGCCAACAGGCTGCACCAATACACGCCCGCGATGGCAGACACGCGTAAAACTCGCCAGGTCGCGGATCAACATTTAGTCGCGTAGGTGACGCGCAATAACTTGCACTCGCGGGGCTCACCGGCGCGTTGAGAATACGCGATTAGCCGGAGTACGTGCTCGAGAGCGGGACGAGGTAACGCGCCGCGCCGCGCCGCGAGGGAGGCTCCTTGGGCGTTAAGCGCGTTAGGCGCGCCCGCGAGCACGCGACAAGTATCCCGCGCGAGCGCTCAGCTCTCTCTCTCTCTCTCTCTCTCTCTCTCTCTCTCTCTCACCTTTAGCTTTTATTCTGGCATGCGCCCGGCTAACGAGCGACGCGCCTTTTTCTTTTTTAGGACCGAGAGGCGCCACGCGGGCCACCGCGGAGCTTCGTCGAGCTCGCCGGCGGTCGGAAAAACAAGGCGCACTCGAGCTCGTCAAGGATATTGGAAAAAGCGCCGATGAGAAATTTTGATGGATCGGCTCCAGGGCTTCGTTTCGTCTGTTCTCCCCCCGTTTCTCTCTCATCTGGCCGTAGTCGAAGACCGCGGCTCGAGGATGGGCTTGTCGGCAGAGTCGTTTCCGCCGAGCGTGCGTGCGCCGCGTTCGCCTTGGCCCCGCGCCGGAAACGGAAAGGCGCGCGCAAGGACTCGCGTGCGAGTCTGGCGCGTAGATCGATGATCCTTCTTGCACGCTCGCGGCGCGCAAAGGCCAGAAAGTGGCGCGCGAACGCCGCCAAAGTCGCTCGATCACGACCAGCGCTCGGTGCCTCTCTCTCCGGATCATCGACAGATCAGCTTGCTGGCCGCGCGCAGCCTCCCCTCGGAGTCCTGCTGGCATATACATCGTGCACGGGCGCCCGCGACGTACGTATGTGCCGGAGGCGGGAGAGGAGGATGGGCGGGGGGCAGCCGGCCTGCTAATTGCGCGTAGCAGCCTCCCTGTGCCGCGACTTCCGTGCCGGGCCGTCGCACCGCCCGGCAACCGTTATACGGGGCTTCCATCTCTTGCCGTCGCTGAACTTTCGAAGAGTCTCCCGTGGGGAGACGAGCCGACGGACACAGGTGAGCATGATCGACCTGGCGGAAAAAGAATCCTTTGCGCCGACGATCGCTGATCATCTAGCGCTTCGCCGGCAGGACTGCACAGAGATCAATCGCGAGTAGCAGACTGCAGCTTCGGGCGCTTGCAAGCTCCGAACAGCGTGCAACGATGACAAAGCAAACCTACGGAGCGAGGGAGAGAGAGAGGGCGAAAACAAAGGTAGCCGAGGGCTACTTGGGCCATAGCCGCCGCCAGGAGCTGGTCTCGGTAATAAGGATAGCGGCTGATTGAGAAATAGGCAGAGAGCGGGCGAGTGTATGCGTGCGCGCTCGCTCGAGGGCGGGAAGGGGAGGGTGGCGCGCGCGCGTCGTGCAATGGTGGGGCAGTGTAGCCGGGATTCGCAGCGGCAGCGTCAGCGGCGGGAGGGGAGCAGCACCAGGAGGCCGCCGTCGGGCAGAGCGAGCGACAGAGACGGAGCGACGCAGAGAGCTGCCGCTGCGGCGGACTCAGTCGAGGCGCAGTGGCCGGGCCTGCGTGTCCTGCGCCCAACTCTCTCGCTCTCTCTCTCTTTCTCTTTCATTCTCTCTTTCTCTCTCTCTCTGTCTCTCTGTCTCTCTCTCTCTCTCTCTCTCTCTTTCTCTGGGCCGTCTGCTCTCTCGTCTTCGGTCCTCCAGCCGCAGCTCTGCTGCACTATCGCGCCCATCCACGCACACTCGTCGTCGTCCTTCCCGCTGTCCTCCCCACCGTTCCTCTCTGTTCACGCTCAGTGCGCGCGATACCATGGTCGGCTAAGTTGCGTGTCAGTGCGGCATGTCGCCCGGAACGGCGACCAACTGCTCTCCGGGAGACCCGGCGGCCCTCGCCCGTCCACCGCACGAGGTATGCACTGTTTTCTTCCTCCGTGATCTACTCTGGCTATTTGCGGAACACTGCTGTTCGCGCGCTCGTACTGCCGTAGCTGCGGTTGGCGGATCAGCGGCTCGGTAATCAGCGGGCAACGCGTGCTCGGTCGGTCGGTCGGTCGGTCGGTCGCTCGCTGGCGCCCGAGGCTGTCGCTAATTCTTTGTCTTCCCTCGGCACGTTGGCTGCCGCCACGACAACCCCCGATTGAATTGGAGCGCCGACGAGCGAATCGACAGCCGAGGAAATAATCATCGGAGCTTTTTTCTCGCCGCGCGCGGACAGGTGGCGCAGCTACAAGTCCGTCTATTAGCAGTTATTTGGCGGCAATTTCCGTCGGCGCTCACGGCCTATCGGCCCTCGGAATACACTTGCGAAAGAAGAGGCGGATGCGCCTATCTCTCCCGGACGGCATTCGCGCCGGCGATCGGGCGCGACGAACCCGAGGCGCCAGGCGCGCTGATCGAGCCGGAGCCGTACAGCGCGGCTCGCTGACGCAAACGAGCGTTCGACTATGCCTGCACGCGCGCCACCGGCCACCGAGGCCCGTCCACGGATCACGGGTGTCGTGCGTGCCGCCTGCTTCATTTCCGCCTTTCTTTCTCTCGTCTGTCCCTTGCGGCGCTGCTCGTACATCCGTGTGCTCCATCCGTGCAGAAGTGCAAAAAGCCACCTTCGTAAAAAGTATCAATTCCAAATTTGGCTCCGTACTTGAAAAGAATGACGCTCGAGCAAGATCCCCAGCCCGATAAAACGAAAAAGTAGTTTGGATATTAGATAATGCTCGCCGAGCCTCGCTCGCTCCCTCCCTCCCTCCCTCCCTCCCTCCCTCCCTCCTTCCCCACCGTTACGTCGGCGAAAATTGGCTTCACGAGTGGGGCGCGCGGCGCGCCAGCCGCGAGACGAGGAAACAAGTCGCCAACTTCATCAAAAAGAAACTGCGATTGTGCGCCGCGCGCGATGCATCGTAAATTCGTTTCCCGGCGCGCTTCCGGAATTCGTGATACTCCTCGAGAATCAGTTCTCCGGACGCCCAACGGACGACGCCGAGCCACGATTCGACGGGATCGCAGCTGGCTGTGCCGCGAGAAAAGAGACGCGGCTGCCGCGCGCTCGGGCTTCGACGGACCGATCCCGCGCGAGGCTCGAAAAACCCGTGACAAAGGGCCGCGCAACGAATATCGACGAGCGTATGCGCGCGCTCGGCGTCGTCCTGTGGCAACAAGTTGAACGCCCCCCTCCGCCCGTGTCCCTCGCTCGGCCTGGCGGCTGCAGTAGTAGCGGTCGAGTTTGGTCGGCCGGGTACGACTACCGCCGTCTACTACTCGGCGCTCTCCGACTCACGGAACGTTCGAGGCGCACTCGGAAGCGACCCAAGCTCGTTAGACCAAGTTGCCGGCGCGCGGAAAAACCGGTGCCCGGATCGTGAACGGCCTTCCGATCAGCCTCAGGTCGCGGGCGTCGCGTGCTCGGCTCTCGTCTCCGGCTCGGGACATCACGGGCCCATTGTGTCTCGCGCGAGGCGCTCGCGACTGGCAACAAGTGGTTGATGAGGCTGAACAAGAAAAAGGAAAAGAAAAAACAACGAAGGAAATCGCATTGATATCGGGCGCCGCGGCCCGTCGACAAACTCGGCGATAAGACACGCCCGGCGCGCAAGTTGATATCGCGCGCGGAGGCCTCGAGCGCCAGCGCGTCGGAAGCTAATAATCTGCGTGGCAAGTTGCGCGCGGCCGGCGGTCGCTTATCTGCAGCGGCCCGAGCTTTTGTTTGGAGATGAGGAAAGTCGAGCGATCGATAGACCAGTAGCGCCAGCGCCGCGCGAGACCCGACGAAACCGCGCACGTGCCGCAAAGGCGCGGCTCCCCTTTGCTCTCGCGCTTCCACTCTCGCTCCCATTATCATCTCGCCATTATGATTATTACTCGCCGCTGCCGTCTCTGCGCGCCTCTTTTTTCCCTCTCGCGATAAAGTAATCCTTCGCCGCTTTGTGGATAGGCGCTGCCGCGCGGAATTGATCCTGTTGCGGGTGGCTGCGCGCCGCTGCCACGGCCGAGTTGCATTCGACGGAGGGCTGCTTTGAATTCGGCCGCGAAGGCAGCGAGGAGGAGAGCACGAGGCGCGCGGTCGACCGGAGAAAGCACGTCGACGTAGGCGAAACTTGGCTCGTAACTCTCGCCGCGTTCAATTACGAGCGGCGCCGTGGTTCCTGCCCGCCGCTCCACTGCCACTTTGGTGCCACTGACAAACTTCGGTCGGCGGCTAGCCGATGCAAGACTCGCTGATTTCACGCGCACCACGCGCACCACGCGCACCACGCGAGGCAGGTCCGCGCGCGAGCTACCGAGGACGGACGCAGCAAGGGAAAAGTCAAGAAAAGAGAGAAGCGCGGCGCTTCCGCTCGCGATCGAACGATAGCACGGAGAGAGAGAGAGAGAGAGAGAGAGAGAGAGAGAGAGAGAGAGAGAGAGAGTGTCGGATTCGTATATTAAATGTCCGCCGTTTTTATTATTATTTGGCGTAACTTACGCGAGTGCACTGAGCGGCGGACAACGAAGTAATCGAGGAACGAGGGTCGCCAAGCAATGTTGGTAAAGCCGAGCGAGAGAAAGTGCGAGAGAGTAGAGCGAGCAAACTAATCACGCCGGCGTTTCCGTGTGGTACGGTAGCGCAAAGTTCTCGTCCCGAGAAATCGCCGGCCCTTGGGGCGCAAACAAAGGAAATTTAATGATTCTCCTAATGAGGGAGCAAGACAAAAATCTACCCCTCCGATAATTCGAAATAACGAGGGGGCCCGCCGCCGCCGCCCGTCGTCGTCGTTGTCGTCTCCGTTGTTGCCGCGAGCGGGGTAAATAACAGCGTATTTAGTCCGCGCCCCCCTCTTCCACTTCGGCTGATAGCAAGGACTCGATTGCAAGCTCTGCTCTCTAATTAAACTCGGCGAATATTGCAGCCGTATTTTTGTGCTGATCTCCGAACAAAGAAATGACGTCGGGCCTCGAAGTTTCCGCGGAGGAGGACGCTTAATAAATGAAATCGTCGACGAGTCGGAGCCTTGAATAAAGGATAGCGTCTCGAGAGGGGACGAGGGTTTCGCTTGGTCCCTCGAATTAACTGCAGCTTAGTCGCCTCTTTATACATTCATTAGCGCCGGAGGATCGTTTCGCTTGTCCTCGTCATTCTCGGTCGGCCGGCTGTTCCTCATGGCGATCGTTACGGCGAACGGCGCTATTATGATCGCGCGCCTCGTCGTGCAAACTCGTTCGTCGCGCACGGTAGCCGGCTCGCGAGCGTCTCGTTCCTTCGGACGTACCTTGCCCGCGGCTTTCTCTAACTCCATTTAGGCCCAAGCGGATACCTCGATCGCCACGACAATTCGATTGCGCTTGACATTGTCCGCTTCTCTGCCTGCGTTCTCGTTGCGCTGGCCGGGCAATCGAATATCCCAGGCGGCCTGTGAGGCGAGCTCGGACGGAAAGTTTATCGGGTCGCGGGATTTTCGGGGAAAACCGTACTTTGATCCCGGGCAAAAGTGCAGGGCAGAACGGGCGGCCATCGGTGAGAAAACAGTCGCAGCGTCGCTTGAAAATCGAAGGAGCGACGACGAGAAAGAAGGAGCTTCGCCCGAGAATTCGGCCGAGGGATTGTAATTTGCAGTAGCAACGCTAGCCGAGTGTTTATTCTGTCATCTCCTGCAGGCGATCCACTCTCTTGTTTGATCCTCTCTCTCTCTCTCTCTCTCTCTCTCTCTCTCTCTCTCTCTCTCTCTCTCTCTCTCTCTCTCTCTCTCTCTCTCTCTCTCTCTCTCTCTCTCTCTCTCTCTCTCTCTTCTTTATTTTCTCTTGGCTGGCGCTTGCCGAGTTCAGTGGCCTTAATTTCACCCCCCGGACGGTACTTTGGAGACGGGGCTAAATTTCATTTGTTACTCAACGTCGAAAACTGGAAAATTGTTGCTAATTATCATTAGCCTTCACTTACGCGTGCTATACAGCATAGTAAAACGTAGCCCATCACGATAAATAATACGGTAGATTATACTTCTTCTTAAAAAAAATCTTCTTAAATGTGTTGGAAGAGTATAGTCAAATTGACAATGATATTGCATGAATCGCGAATAGTACGTTTGCTAGTCCCACCCATGCGATATTTTAGCTAGCAAAACAAACTCGTTCCAGTTGGTTCGTTTGTTCACTGTGTTACATCACTGTATCGTGACTGATGCCGTAATTTTTTCTCTCTCGGTGTACAGGCGTACGCGTGTCCAGAGCGACTCGACGCCATGCAATTTGAATTTGCGAGTCAGATTCGAGGCCGCGAGCGCTAATTTTACTTTGAAAGTGGCCGTGCCTGGACAGCCAGCGCTAAGTACGGAGCTACATCGGGGCCGCGAAAATTGTTTCCAAGTTTCGTTTAATTCAAGTGGAATTCGAAAAGAATGGCTGCTAAGAGAGAAAGTTGGCTCGCGGACCTGGCGATAGCGTCTTGTTTACCAACAAACGCCAGCAAAGACAGAGAACAGGGCAAGGACTGGCGAAGCTCAGTGGTGGCTCTCAGTGGCAGCGGAAAGCTCGATGATCGAGGAGGATCGCTCGCTAATCGCGAGCAGTGGACAGTGCAACTTTCCCGTGGGGCGTCGCGGCGATTCCTTCGTCAGGAGCAGTGGTTCGTTAAGAGCTCGCGAGCGAATCGACATTTAATTGACATTCGCGACAGCTAGTTATGCTAATTGGGGATCCAGCCCGCACGGACTCCCTCCCTCTTGCCGCCACGCTCGCTGCCTTTTCCCGCGGAAAATATCGTGCTCTCCGTCGCCGCAGGACAGCTCGTACTTTGGCGTGCGAATGGCTTCTCGGAGAGGCTCCCCGTTTGGCGCGCGACTCGCAAATCATCGGGGCTCGCGCTGCCGTAATAAATATGCACCACGCCGAGGGCGCAAAACAGCGGCTCGCTAACGAAGCCCCGACAGTCGTGGCGCCGATGGCTTTGCCCGTGTAAACGCCGATCCGAGGAGAGGACACGACGCCGAAACGGCTATGCGGCTCTATCGATCTCCCTGCGTACAGTTCCGTGAGTTTTTACGTTTTCCTCCCGCAAGCCAGCCGAGCTTTTTGTGCGCCCGTCGCTCGTTCAACTTTCAAAAATCCCAGACAGCCACGATTCGATATTGCTGGTTCTTCTGGCAAAACTGCGAATCACATTCTAGTTTTATTTTGCCCTGCTGTTTTTCTGTTTCGTACGGCGGCTCAAATTTATTACCGAGTTTCCTCGTGTCCAGCTTTTTGCTGGATTTTCGTTGGGATTCAATTTGATCCCAGGGCTATCGCTGTTCGTAGGCTAAATAGTCTCTTGAATAACATTCTTTTTCTCTTGACTTTCGATCGTTCAAGCTGCTGGAATGGGATAATTCATAAGCTTTTGCAATGAATCCGAGGCGCGTGTTTCATTCGAGTGCAGACTTGTACCAGAGTGATGTTTCTTTCCTCGTCTTCTACGTTATTCCACGACTTTTCCAATGAGCATTTCAGCCGCACTTCAGCTATACAACAGCGGAGTGCGCTTTTGCTCATCCTCGCGTTTCACGGCAATTGTTGCGTTCGCCTACTTGCCGCTGCTTCAAGCGCTACACGATCAGAGCCACAGCGCTGTCGCGTCATTCGCTTTGCTTCGGTGGAAATTGATCGCAGAAAAAGCAAAATTGCCCGATACGCAAAGTATTAACGAGCCGTCAAATGAAAATATAGAATGTGTCACGAACAGAACGAATCCGCGGGGAACGAGCGGGTTAAAGCCTCGCGCGCCTGTCGGAAATAAAAAGTGACGGGAGCGCGGCTGGGCGCGCACGACGCGACGTACCAGTCCGGGAGAGCTCGTGCCCAGGACTGGCTGCGTTGCTTTGCAATTATTATACGCAGGCCAGGGGAGCGTATGCATAGGTATGCGCGCCCGCGCCCACCGTACCAATTTTCCTTTTTTTTCTTCCCTTTTGCGCGCCGGCGATTTGCATGTGTGCTCGCAACGACACGGTTGACGAGCCTTTAACTCGGCGCGCGGTGCGTCGCGCGACGGCGCGAGTAGAAAAATTGCAGGGAGCACGGAGTCGGAGAGATCGATTCGAAAGGAGGATCCCGCTTTGGCTTGCGCGCAGTGGATGCCACTGTAATTCGACTGTGCGGATCGGAAAAAGGAGCGGAACTTTTGCTATCGCGCGCATCGCGCGCATCGCGCGCATCGCGCGCATCGCGCTCGGAGTAAAAGTTGACGCACGCGAGCGCGCAGACAGGAGCCGCGAAGGAGTTTGGCGGTGAAATTACGGGCAAAATCGTTGACTGTCTCGCTGGCTTGGAATAATTATGCAGCGGCGATCCTTTGGGGCGGGGGCTCGGGCCGCTTATGCAGCGCGTGGCCGAGCGGAGTGCAGCTCGCTGAATATGCTAATTAATGCTGGAACGCAGCCGCACTCTCCGTCGTCGCTCCGCGCGTGCGCGCGTACGTTATATTTTACTTTCCCAAATGGGATTTTAAGTCTCGTTCTTGTGCGTCGGCCTGGCGCGCTCCTTGCTCCCTCGTGCGCGCGCGAAGCCCTCGCGGACAATTTGCTCGCTACGCGCTGCGGCTATTCCGGAAACGGCACTCGTCGCTACTCGCCAAGTGCACGAGTGCGCCGTGATTTCCCATTAAAGGCAATCGGGGAGAAACGCCAACTGTTTCGCGCTGGCCGCGTCATTTCCAACTGAGGTATGATTTTCTTGTGTTCCAGGTGAGCCCCCAGTAAGGACGCCGAGTTTACGAAATTTCTCGTAAGTATCACGGCGTCAGTCGTTCTCTTGCTCGGCGCACACCTCGATGGCTCGCCCTTCATTGTTGCCAAGCCATTGTCCTAAATTAATCCTGAAAAGCTTCTTCTCTTCGTGAAATTCAATTTTCATCTCGCTCAATTCCGCAATTTCGCGACGCTCCACGGAGTCGTGCGAGCGCAGGCGGTCGTTAGGCGGACCGAGACTGGCAAAAATTATTAATCCACGCGCGAACCGCGTCCGGCGAGTTAAAGTTGCGGCGTGCCGCTATTGCGGACCAGTGGCCGCTTAATCCCTAAAGAGTGCCGTCCGAATACGCGAGCGTCTGCGAGGACAAGGCGGCCGCCACGGATATACGGATATACGGATATACGATTACACCGAGCGGGAGAGGGCAGCTCGTTCGAGTTGTTTGCCAAAGTCGATGAGACGTCGCGACGTCGAGGGTGCGCCATGCAATGCGAGAGGAAAAGGAAAAAAACAAGAAATTCCGAGAGATCGCGGTCTCGGCAAACGTCAATTCGGTCGTCGTGCAGGCTTCGCCAATAATCCCGAGGCACGCGCGTGCACACCGCGAAATTCGGCAGCCCCCCGCTCTCCCGGCCCTCGTCGCGCCGCGCAAATTTCCATTCTCGCGCCGCTGCGCTAGACACTTGTTGCCGCGTGATGGGCGAAATTTTTTACGAAGGCGCGTCATCGAGCTTAACGAAGGAGAGCGCGCGCCCGATCACAATAGGGTTAGCGATCGCCATCTCTTTGAAAAGCTTGGCCGCCGACACGTCTATCGAGCGCGAGCGCGGAATCAGAGGAGTCACTTTTTTTCCTTCTTTTTTTATTTTTTTTCCATGCTGCCGCGTCGCGTTCACGTGGCACGAAAGTTGGCCATTCATTTATTCAACGGCGCTCTTTTCTGCCGTGGTGGAGACAGATTAAAAGTGAGACGCGAGAACGCCTGACATTTTTTCGCGTTTCGCTTTATCGGAGCGGATACGGGCTCTCCACCGACTGCAGTCCCTGGCGCAATAGCAAAAATCCAGTCCCACGTAGGCCGTCCGTTAATTCCGATGTTTCCGGGCCGCACGTAAACACAGCTCGCGCGCTCGGGCTGGAACTCGATTGGCCGTGCTCGCGGCTCGTAAAGGCGCTCCGCGGGCTATTCGTCCCCGAATTCCAATTAGGACGTTGCTCGCCTCCCGCGCGAATCGACGTCGCAGTCGTCGCGGCGCGATGGAATCTCGCCAAAAGTCGCCGAGTTTATAATCCTGTTTGCCCCGGCCGCCGCGATATACTTACACACATGTGTTGGCAGGCCGTCTGCACGGCGAGTTTGCCGAGAGAGGAGGCTTCCGCGATGTGCGCGCCGCCGGAGAGACGACGCGCGACGAATGGGCAAACTCGCTGCCTTTGCCGTGGTATCGACTTGCCATACGAGCGACGTCGACGACTCGTCGGCGAGAGCGAGACTGCGGAGTTTATTTTTCTTTTTTTTGTCATCGCTGCGAGTGGCGCAAGCACGAGAGAAGGTTGACCGAGATTTCGCTGCGCTTAAAAATGTCTCATTTGCCGGCGACGCGAGATATTCCGCGGCGCAGCTCTTCGCGTCGGGGAACTCGCGAATTGCCGGAAATCCGCCAGCTGTAGCTGTCATTTCCCGATGGCGGACTCGCGCTGCGTTCCGTCGAACCCGAATACTCTCGCACCATTTATTTTCCACGTCCGTTCGCCTCGATTCTCGTGCCGATATGCGCGTGCGACGATAAGCGCTGCTCCCGTGAGCGCATTAACAACCCCGCTCGCGGCCTCCCGGACGAAACAACGACGCACGACTCGCTCCATTTGCGGAGGGACCGTGCGGAGGACCGAATCGCTCGAGTTTTGCATTTCTGGATTGCAACCTTTCGAGGAGCATTGTTCGCGACTCGAGCGTAACGATATCCTGCTCCCGCGGCTCGCGAAGGCCTTCGACGCGCCCTGAACGCGGATCTCGTTCTTGTTTCGCCGCATCGGGGACGCACAGACCGCGGAGACGTCCTCGCTAATCCGATCCGAGCATCGATCGAGTGGTGTCGAGGCGCGAGGAGAGCACTCGCAAGGCTGTAGACGCGCGGCCGAAAAAGCTCTCGGTGCCTCGTGCGGCCAGCTGGAAGGGGCTGGGTGGTGGTGCGTGACTCGAGCTCCGCTATATCGATCCCCGTCCGACGCGGCTGCGACGCCCTCGGTTTTCAAAAAACAACAGAAGGAACCGGCCGGGCCGTATTTTCCAATTAGGCGCGGAGCGTCGTCGCCTCGCGAGGGAAACCTGCCGTACGCGGGGGACGCTCGTGGCAGCGGGTAGCGCGGAGTCTTCTGTGCGCGATGCGCCCCTTTTCGACGCGGCTCTCTCCTGTCCACTTTTACGCCCACCGAACTATTGTCCCGCGAACGGCACGGATACGCGAGAGGCTCGGCTTCGATATTCGCCATTGCTTTTATGGATACGAGTTGCCAACGCGGTTATTAGCCGGATTATCCATTCGGTTGCTCATTAAATTAATGGCCTCGCTCGAGTTTCACCGCTCTCGTATTTTTCAGCGCGTCCGCGATCTTCTCATTTTTTTAATCATCCGATCGCGGCCGGCCAATGCGCGCCTCCCGCCGTTCCCCTATTTGTTTGTACTCCGTTTCGTCAAATTTCAATGATCCGCGCCGCCTGCACGCGGCGAAAGTTGATCAATCGACCGACTGGCCGTCGCGCGCATAAATAAAATTGAATAACGATCGCTCTCTTGTCGGATGCGGGCCGTCGAAGGGCAAATAATTAACGGCCAAGTCGCGCGTGCGCGCGCGTAATTATTGGCAGCGCCGCCGATAAATTTTGCATTTACATCGTGACGGTGAAAAAAAGAACCGCGAGCGCACGACGCGACTCCGGCTTGCAGCGCCGTTCCGCGTTTAGCTAGCGACAACAATTACGGATGCGCAGGCGCGTGCCGCTCGTGTCGGCGGGTTAGTCCCCTTCGTTTTTAATTAACGTCAAAGGCGATTAGGTCTATTCCCTCTTCCTCCTTCTTCGTCTCCACTTGCAATTTTCCGAGTTTCAGCCGACAGTCGTGTGTACTGCTCTTGCTCGCTCTCTCTCCCTGTTTGTCCTTTTTTTCTTGTTTTTATCTCAACGAGAGTGTATTTTTTTTTTTTTTTTTTTTTTTTTTTCGAAAGAGGGAGAGAGACAGACAGAGAAGTCTCGTCGGCAAAAAAATGTTTAAGGATATAAATTGCGATGTTATCGCGTGATCTCGAGCATGCCGTTGAAAAATATCATATTTTTGCGCGGTTGTTTTCGAGCTGAAAGTATTGGAACGTGAGATAGTGCGAGGGTTTAATCTACTTTTGAGTTTCTGATATACATGTAATGCTTTATCTAACGCGAAGCATTGCAATAACTTTTATCGTGTTTTTTTTTTCTTTATCTCTCACTGAAAATAAATCGCTTTCGGCTGGAATTTTTTATCAAATCTTGGGCAATTCAGTCTTAAGGTCAACAAGTCGAGGATTAATTTTGCGGAAAAACGGATTGTGTTATCCCTGAAGATGAAATTAGAAAGGAAGAAAAAACGAAGGTTTGTCTCATGGAAGTTTAGAAATTTTTGCGACGTTGCTTCGAAAGTCTAAAGTATTTCAATGGAAAAGTACACGATATCGCATTACAAGAGAAAAGACGAACTTGATAAAAGCAGGCATGGCAGAAGCGAGAGAGCAGTGAAAAATAAAATTACACGAAGGAATTGCAGAGAGAGCGAGAGAGAGAGGGAGCGCACGGGAAAGTATGAAAGCCGCTCGACAGAATTATCCTCGTCGCGCGTCATATCGGCAGTCGGAGGAAGGATACGGCTCCATCCGCGGGAAATCTGTCCCCCGGTGACGACGGAGAGACATTAGACCAAACGGAGCCTGCGTTGGAAAACAAGAAAAAATGACCACTGCGGCTATCTCTCCTACGCGAGAGGTCAATGTTCAAAAATGAAACGACTGGCAGTCTTGACCGTGACCTAGGAACGTTGCCATGACGACGCACGCCAGCACCATAAGACACACCTCGACCGGGACGTCGATCTTTGACCCGCGCCCGAACGCTCTCTACCTTTTTCCTTTTTTTCTTTCCCTCTTGCGCGTTCGCGTTGCTCGCTCCGCGTCGGAATAAGCACACCGAGGCTTTTCTTGTCGGTTGCGGCCAAAAAATTTTATCCGCGAAAATCCTACTTATGCGCGCCAACCTGTCATGTCCTAGCGGCTCAGCATTCTTCAGGCGCATTTCTCTGGAAGCTCTTTACACTTTCAAAAGTATACGCTCCGCTGGTGCTGCCACAGTCGGCTCGCGTGAAATTCCCGCGCGCGCGCCCCATAAATATTTCGGAGCCGCGGGAGGTGAGGGGGTGGGGGGCTTTCACCACCACCGCCGTGCCAACTGTCGATTATCTTTCCCCTCGTTCCTCGCTCTCGTCAAGTGACAAATTGATTCGTCAAGCTCTCTCTTGCTGCTTGGCCGACTAGTCAGTCCAATCAGAGGGAAATTCATTCCGACCGAGATAAATTTTTACTTCACCTATGAGAGTGCGTTTCTTTCCAATCCACTTTCGCAGAAGCAGCAATTTCGCGTGCGATCCCTTTGGCTTTCAACTTTAAATCATCTTTTATACTTTAATCGGGGTAACGGGAAAATGGCCAGCCATTATATTGCCATATATTTATAGAGGATTTATACTTCTGCCTTTATTATCTTATCTTAATATCGAGTCCGAGCACGAAACTTGAGTGCTACTTTATAGGACTCAATAAACCGAGAGAAAAGCTGTCGCGTCAGTTTTCAGTGCAGTATTTCATCTGTGGTCAGATGCTACAAGGGAAAATAGTGCTTTTTTTTATTAATTTCAAAATACGAATTTCTTAGCGATCTAAACGAGAAGGAAAAAATACTCCCTTGGACATAATTTCTCCATGAGTTTCATCTCGCGAAAGCGGAAAGCATTACAGCGAGGAATCCACGTAAAATGTAAAAGCGAGATGGCTATAAATTTGCGCAGTGGAAAAGTGATTGCACCGGAGCACGTTACGAAAACCGCGGCAAGCGAAAGAGACAGAGAGAGAGAGAGAGAGAGAGAGAGAGAGAGAGAGAGAGAGAGAGAGAGAGAGAGAGAGAGAGAAAATGAAAAGCTCCGTCGAAAGTCGTCCGTCTCGGCTAATGAATCGGCCGCTGCGAAACTACCCGGCGAGCCATTTCGAAAACACCGAATTTTCCGGGGATCGTTGCGAACCGGCCGACGCGCTCCTTGGCCCGTACACCTCGGGGGCCTGCTCGACCTCGACAGCGCCAGCTTGCGTTTCGAGTTTCGCCCCCGTTCGCCCTCTCTTGCGTCGAGGCGCTCGACGGGCCTTATCATCGGATCGCACGCGGTCGCTTCGGCCATCCGCGCGCTCGCACTTTACGCAAAGCCCTCGCGAGACCGGGCCGCTCGAATATTGCGCGCGTGCGGCACGTCGCGATAGCTCGGCTCTGGCTGCCTTCAGATCTGGCTGCGAGGCCGCCAGATTGCCATCCTGATATTCGGCCGTTTGCTTTTGCGCAGGTATCAAGTGGGCCGAGCAAGCAAGCCTTTCCTCGGCAGCCGCGTCATCGCGAAATCGCTCGGAGCCAGCTCACGTAGAATCGGCGGGATCTCCTCGCGGACTCGCCCCGTGCACTCTTATTAAGACTACGTTGGAGCGCTCGAACGAACCGCGGATAAACTCGCGCAGTGCCGCGCGACCCTCGTATCGTGCGTCGTATCCCGTCTCGGCCGTGCATCAGTCGCCTGCCGTTGCCCGCCACCGTGCACCACCCCATCGCCTGCGTCGCGTTTCCCCGCGCGCCCGACAGAGATAACATTTACCTAAGCCGTGGCTCCCCCTCGCTCTGCCGTCGCCGCCGCCGCCGCCGCCGACGCCGGTGACTGCGCTCTATAAGCATAACTCAGCTTTTACGAGCTTGCGCGTTATGAATTTCAATGCGCTCGTTGCAGCCTTGCAAGCAACCCGTTTATTAGCTTGTCCAATTATTTTTACAGGCCGCCGCGGCGATTTTTATTGCGCATCTTGATATAGCGTAGCCGCGCCAGAGCTAACTTTCGCTTGAATCCGCGCTGTCTCTCTCTCTCTCTCTCTCTCTCTCTCTCTCTCTCTCTCTCTCTCTCTCTCTCAGTGTTGCTTGCGACGCGTGGAAAATTAGTCGTCGCGCCGCGCTCGCGAAATGTCCGATGGTTGTTTGTTAACGCGGCTCGCTTCGAGGTTAGCTTCGTTGCTTTCTTTATATTTAGCTTCCTTGGGTGAGTCGCTCATCAGTATGCTCGACGGCTGTTCCGCGAGTCGACTTATTACCTTGGTGCGACGAGTGAGCGGCAAGCCGGGATAATCGCGATTAATCTGATCTCCAAGGCGAGCAAATTTTCGTGTCTCGTAATTCGAGCGATAATGCAAAGAGGAATCGACGCGGCCGTGCTTTTCGCAGGGGCGAAACGAGGAGTGCGCGCGCCGTTAATTTTCAACGCCTCGCAGCTGCTCGCACCTTCCCGGAGCAGAGCGAGGGCATATCGGATCGCGCACGCGAGAGATAACTCGATAATAAATCTTGCGCACGAACGTAGCGATGACAGAAACCCTCGATCTTTGACAGTTATACGCGAACGCGCGAGAGTAAAAGAAAAAAAGAAACACGAAGGGAGCTCCATTCGGATTTGACGGGGTACAGGTGGAACGCGGCGGGGGAAGGGGGGGGGGCGATCCGGATTTATTTGGCCCGTCGACATTCTTGGCATTGGCTTCCGACTATATTTTCACCAAGTTCCGCGGCCTTCCTTTCCTTTCCGCTATTTACGAACTTCGCGCGCAGCGCCAGCGCGAAAGCCACGCGGAATTTTAATTCGCTCCGAAACTTTACGAGCCGCGGCACAGATCCATACTTCTACGGAGCCGAGAAACACAAGAGAGGGGAAGAATTCATCGAAGGCTATATCTGTTTCTGTTGCAGCTGCGCGACGGGCGACAATGAAGCCGGGGACTCGGCTGGCCTCTTCCGAAACGACTGTAAGTAATCTTATAGGCTGATTGCGATTCGCGCGGCGCGCGCAGCGAACTCGGCGACGGCGAGCGACAGTTCGCCGGTGGACCCGCGCGACTGCAACTGAATTAGCCCCGCGAATCTCGGGCAATTTCGCAGAATGGAGCGAGTTGTCGGCCGATTGGAAATGAACGGCGTCGGAAATGAAAAATCAGCGAGCTCTCTCGTTGTTTGTCTCTCGATCAGCCGACCCGTCCTGTGATCGTTCGGCCTCGACGCGACGTTACGGACGCGCACTGTCGCGCGGAAAAAAGTCGTCGACGCGTGAAGCGGAAATGCAATGTTCCAGCGCGAATCGTCCCTCGCACATCTCGAGCTCGGCCGGGAACCCGCGTCGCCGCGTCGCCGCGTCGCCACGTCTCGCGGCTTATCTCTCCTGTGCGATCGCGGCTTGCCCTTCGCGCGGCGGCCTCTCGTCGAGTGAGAGGGCTAGGCGGCAAAACCGCCGCACTGGGTAAGCCGCAGTGTCGGAGCGTATGATTTATAAGGACGCCCTGTCGAGTGCGCGCCGCGAAAATCGCGAAAATCGAGCCCTTAGGACGCGAAGATCGCGCGAGGGCTACCGACTGGTTGGCTCGCCGAGGGCTGATTGGCGGATTCGTTAAAAACGACCGTGGACGCAGCGTCGGTGTACGTCGAGTGTCGTATATGGTACATCGCTGGCCCAAGGCTATACCTTGTCGTGCGGCCGTTACATTCCATTTCATATCCGAATCAATCGAAAGACTGTTTGCGATGCTCTTTGCCCGCGCACTCCTCGTACCCGTGCGCGGCTTTCGGCTTTGTCGGCCGCCGCGCGATAAGGACCGCGCGCTTCCACGGCTATTTTCGCTTTACCGTGGGTTGATCTCGATAACCCCGTCTCTTCGTGTCCTCCGCTCTATCAAGCGCTTTCAATTTGCTATAACAGTTAGAATGCCGTCGTCTGGATTACATCGCGCGTCGCCGTGCAAAACTATTTGACACCTCGATTGAGCCTCCATTGAATTTTCCCCTCCGCAGTTACTTTTCTTTCGTCTATTTACAAAGCAAACATCGCACAACTATATCTGCCTCGGACAAATATTTGCCCGCGATAGCGAAGGCGTCGACGCGTTTACGTCCACGGACTTTTGATTGGAGCTGCGGGAATAGTAAATTAATTTCGGCGCTGCTCTCTTCCGCGTGAATTCATTGACGGTAGGTGAAAAACGAAAGGCTAGATTTCCGGGTGAATCGAGGTGCAGACGTCGAATTCTCCTCCTGTTTGTATTTGGCGAATTTGTTCTCGCTCTTTGGGTCGTTCGCGTGCAGAAATCCGACGCAGCGGCTCTAATGTCTCCTTCGTTTTTATCGAGCGTAAGACGCGATAAAACGACGTGGCAGCGGGAGAAGAGAACGATTGGCAGGATGGCGCTTGCCTCGTCGGATTCGAGGAAAAGCACCTCGGCAGCTCGCGGCAGTTTCGTGTTGTAACCGCCAACGCGCTGCAGTGGACGTATGCGCGCCCGCATAGCCGGCGTCGAGGCTGTCGCGTGCGTAATCCACAAAGCGATTTCGCCGCCGACGACGAATTACATGCGACGAGATTACAGAGCCGAGCGAGCCATTCGTTTTATGGCAGATCGAACGGCAGTTGGAACAGAGCCATTACCTGTTCGAGTAGCATTCGAGATCGATTGAAAAATTCTTCGCTTGTTCTCTCTTGATCGAGTGATCTTTCATCGGGATCGGCGAGCTTTGGCTCGTAAAACAGGACGCGCAGCTTGCCCGATGAGCGCGCCTAGCGCCGTTACTGCGCTGTGTATCCGTATGCGTCACACCTCGTTGTCTTGCACAGTGGCGCGCGGTAAGCATAAAGAGCGGAATGCAAAGTAGCTTTTCCGGCGGGGGCTCGGCGCGCCACCTTTGCATAAGACGGGCGGACGCGCGCGGCGGTCCCCCGCGGCCGCGAGCAGCGCGACCAAGTCGAAGAGAGGCCGGCGATGCCGTCCAGCCGGTCCGCGTGGATCGCGCGTGCACACGGAGCCAGCAGTTGGCAAGCTGCCGAGCCCTCCTCGCCGAGTGCGCTCTCGCGGCCGAGTTTCGCCTTCTCGGCGAAGCTGCGCTCTTTTAGCGAGCTTGTATCGAGCGCCGCGTCCGAATTTTCTTCCGAATTTTCTTCCGAATTTTCTTCCGAATTTTCTTCCGAATTTTCTTCCGAATTTTCTACCGAATTTTCTTCCGTTTTTTCCCCTGGCCACGAGATTGATGGCCTCGCGAGCATTTGGACTAACGCGCGTCAGAGCCGCGGAGCGACAGCCGTCGTAAAGTCGCGCGCCAGACGGCAAGCGAAAGCGAGGAGCGGAGCTCGCGCGGGCCCTTTGGTGCGCCGCGACGGCGTGACTCGCTGCGCCCTCGAAAGAGAGCGAGCCTTCGATCTTGGCCGCGCTGCAGCGCGATCGATCCTCCGCCGCGTGCGCGCCTCTTGCCAACTAGCTCGCTATGGATTCGGCCCGCGCCCTTCTTGCGTGCGCACGCAAGAACGAGCCCCGAAATCGCGGTCCCGCCCGACCGCGCGCTTACTTCCCGTCTCCGAAGGCGCGACCAAGTGACGTCAGCCGCCCTGCCGTCTCCGCTTTTGACAGCAATTAAACAGCCTCCGTTCCGCTGGCTTTTCAATTGTGAGTAACCCCGTTTCGCGAGCAAGACGACGTGGCTCGCTCGCGAAGACAGGGGCAGGGGGACAGCGTCGAAAATGGAAAAAAACAGACGGGGGAAATTCGGCGCGGAGCAACATCAGCGCGAAACAATCTCGATACTTGGCCGAGATCCAAAAAAATAGTACCGCCGAGAGGTCGTTTTCGGCGGGCGATCGATCGTCATCAACAATAGGCGCGCTCGCGGAGCCAAAAGCTCGAGCTGTGCACGAAAGGCTTGACGACTGCGACGGCGAAACATCTCTCGTCCGCTATTCAACAGCCGCCCATTTACGAGTGCCTCTTTGTCCGTCGTTCGTCGGTGGATCCTCATTGTCCGAGTCAATGGGGCGTCAATGAGCCCGAAGGCAAGGAATTAAGGGCAGCCCTCCTGTCACCGCGCCGCGACTTTTCTCGCGACTTTTCTCGCGACTTTTCTCGCGACTTTTCTCGCGACTCTGCTCGTCACTCTGCCCGCGAGTATCCGGCTGATTGCCGGAATTCCGACGACGCTCTTATAATCGGGAAACAAGTGCGTAACCGCGCGATATTAATAAAATGTGGAACGAGCCGATAAAATCCTCGAAAATTTTTTGTCTGCCAACGCGGCAAGTCGTTGCCGATAACCGCTCGGGGAGCAATTTTAATAACCGCGCGTAATTCCCGATGGAACGAACGAACGGCGGCTCAAAATAAAATAGAGGGAGAGAGCGGCATTAAAAGTTGGCCGAGCTGTTATACGCATGCCTTCGGGAATTTTTCAGCGAGTCGCGCGCTGGCGACGTGGCAGGTGTTCGGCAATATTGGAGGTACATTGCGCGCGAATCTACCTCTATACGAGTATATATAGCCACACACATACACGGATAAACGTCGGAAGAAACGAGAGCGTACGGCAGTTGTCTTTTTACGATCGCGTTCTCTATCCATTCTCGAAAAAGTCCTTCGTAAACAGCGCCTCGCTCGCTGCAGCGCCCAAAGTCTGCCAGTTTTAACAAGAAACGAGAACCAAACTTTATTATTCGAGAGAAAAGAGCCCGGCACGAATCGCGGCCACTTTGCGCCCGGCCTCGCCGGTAGCCGATAAATTGTTTCTTCCCCGCCGGCGGAAACTCGCCACGGCGATAGCTGGACTCGACAGCGCAGCGATCGCTCCTGTGAAATTCGTTAATGAGCGTCGTCGTTGGGCCGCGAGGCGCCCGACCCCTAACGTAACCCCTAACGCGTAACGCCCGAGGCGTCACTGCCGCCGCTGCCAGAACCGCGCCCGGCCAATCAATGATAATGAGCGCGGACCGAGTGACTTGTTGAACGGTTGTTGCCCGCGAGGTGCGCGTCTTCGGCCCGATTGGCCGCGCGTTCGACTCGATATTTATGGGCAAGTCACGCCATAATAAACGACGGTCGTTGGCGTTTGGCGGCCCCGTGCCACGTGTTTCGCCGAAGCCTGCTCTCGGGCCGCCTCTCTCCCCGCCTTTTCGATTGGCCGGAAAACCGTTTCAGCGAAGTCTTTCGCGCCCGCCATTTACATTTTATCTGTTTTATTGTGTGTGTGACGTACGCGAGCTACGAATTTCTCGTCGTTGTTTTTTCCACGTTCGAACGAATCGTCTCGGTATGCTTGAGTTTCAACGTATTTCAATCGATAACGGCTCTTTCGTACGACTTTCCCGCGGTCGCGGAGCGGATCGAACATTTTGGCACAGACCAAAAGTTACGCAATTGTTTTCCGATCGATGGAGCATCGGCCGAAACTATATACGAAGATCGTCAAACGTTGGCGTGGGCTGTGCAGAGTCGAAGCCTATTAATCGTCGCGCGGGAATTCGATCTGGCACTCGACGCTAACTCCCGCGGGTCTGATCAGACGCGCGCCGGGTGTAAATATAAATTTACATAAAGCTATCGCGGCCGCGCGGAGCTGACTGCCAATCGAATTGGAGGGTGGAGTGCGACGAATTGAGCGTTTCGCTCGCACGCCGAACATGGAAAAAAAACGATAACGCTTTTCACCCGTGACACGCTTAATCGACTTTTACGCGCTCTGCACCGATTTTCGATGACAAGGATCTTTTTTTTACTTTAGTCATCTCATACATTCTCTCTCTCTCTCTCTCTCTCTCTCTCTCTCTCTCTCTCTCTCTCTCTCTCTCTCTCTCTCTCTCTCTCTCTCTCTCTCTCTCTCTCTCTCTCTCTCTCTCTCTCTCTCTCTCTCTCTCTCTCTCTCTCTCTCTCTCTCTCTCTCTCTGTTATTCGGTGTCTTTCGACATTGGGGGATTTCAGGGCACAGTGCGCACTCGCTCTCTTGTTCACTTGTATTCTTACGACTTAATTTTTGACCGCGTTCTCATCCAGGCTGCAATCGATCTTCTCACGTCCCCCGGATTTCGTATTGCGACCGAGATAAGTTTTGTCTCTAGACTAGCTGTGATAGGTCCCTGATCGTTAGGACAAACGTATTGCCTTGACTAAAATTATTAAGCAACGTTTGTTGCTCGACAATGTGCAAACGGCTCCGTACTCAAGTTAGCTATAGTTTTGCTCATACGAATGTGACGTAGTGTGTACAACTCGATTAGACATCGTTATTTTTGCACGGGCTAAAGTAAAGCTCGTTCTCTCGGTTTTCGATGAATCCACGATAAAATTGCACGTGCGCGAGCGTTTCGCTGGCCGCTGTCGCGCAATTATTTGCGCCTCCCTGTTTGCGCCGTCATAATTACATTCATCCGGCGTAAATTGTTGATGCCGCGCTGGCCGTTCCGCTGATTAAAATCTATTAATCTCACGAATCCCATCGGGAGGCGATATTTTTGTTTGCTCGCCGTCGGGCGAGGCCGAAAATTTACGGATGCAGCTGTTGCGCCAGTCCGATAACGGATGAAAATTGGAGCGCACGACCGATTGGTCACGCCTTGTAAAACGCGAGACATCGGCGCCCGAGCTCTTTGCTCGCTTGCTTCGTTCGTCTCTCGCGCTCGCGTCGACGCGGCCGACCTCTGAATGGGATCGCGTCGAATCGAGACGAATCGGCGGCGGCGCTCGTCGTGGCCGATCGTACGACGAGACGCCCGATAAATATCCTCGCTGGACACGGGCAATCACGCCGGCTCGCGTGTTGCAGGTGTGGAAGCGCGGCTGCAGGCTCAAGTAGTCCTGGCGGCTCTGGCGCGGTGCTGTTGAGGTGGCGGCGGAGGACCAGCAGCCGCGGCCGCTATGAACGCCAGCGTCAACATCGAGAGGAACTCGTGGCGGCTACCCCCCGACGAGACCGTTCAAGTCGGCGACTCCCGCTCAAAATCCACCCAGGTAAAAGAGGTAAAATGTCCGCTGACGCCGCTGCAGCTTCTATTATTTCTCGTGTGCGTGCGTCCAGTCTCGATCGCACCATTCCCTCCTCCGAGTAACATGGATGCTGCGCAGTACGTAAGCTTTTTCTCCGCAGCCACACGCAACACCACGCAGCTTACACCTCGGTACACTCTGCAGCCCCGTGCGTCACGCGCGTCGTAGAGTCGCTTCGCCCTCTTGCCCACCCGCCAACGAGGGAGCGGAATACGGAATGCACGTGATCCGGCCCGCGCGTACGTAGCTCGACCGCGCAGTTCGGCGCAGTAGCCGGGGGTACGCGCGGTATGCCTCCGAGTCCGCGGCCGTCGCGATCCACGCGAGCAGCGTGGAAACTCCGCACCGTATGTTCCTCTATTTTTGTTCTCGACCTCCGCTGCGTTAGCCATTGCGTTCGTTTCTTTCTTTTTTTTTTTTTTTTTTACGTGAAATTGATCAAAATTCAGAATCCTTTAATCAACGATCCGTTTACTTTGCGCGAATTGCCACGTGACAATGCGGGCTCGCATTGTCACGTATTTCATTAATAGGACTTGTCGCCACTTTCCTTTGTAATTTTATCGTTGCTCGCTCAATAAGGGTAAGCGCGATGTAGCTACGAGATCTGCGGGTGCTAGTCTAACGTTCGACTGTCGTGCCGCGTCGATGAACGGTACGCGCCAGCCGATCGGCGCGATTCTTGGCCGCTGAAGCAGCTCTAGGCAACTCTGGCGGGCGGACGATGCCGCGTCGGAGGAGCGCGGCACTGCGAAACACACGAGTATAGCGCGCGCGACGGTGTATCGAAGGCGAAGCGGGCAAAGCCAATTAACGCTCGGCGCTGAGCCGCCGGCGGCACTTAATCTAATGAGCTGGAAGCGCTACAAAACCGCGCGGCTCACGGTCGAAAATGCGACCCCCGGCCACCCCCCTCCCCCTCGTCGCGGCGCTCGTCGATCGCGCGCCCGTTCGCGGAGCGTCACAATCCGCGGGCGACCGTCGCGCCTGCCTGAACGTCGCTGTCGGCCGGTCGCGCGCCGCGTCGCTGGTTCTCGCTCGTCTCGGGCGAAGCGCCGCCAACCTCGCCCCCGCAACTGCAACCGGCCAGATGATTCAGACGGGCTTCGAGCACACCGCGTACGAGGACGAGGTAAGCGCCGCGCGTCTCCGGGGCCTGCCGGCGGAGAAGGAGCGGCTCTCTCGCGATTGCCCACGTACGGACCTTGGCCGAGTTGCTTAGTGCCAGCGCCGCGTGCCTTATCGCCGCCTGCATTCTTTGTTCGAGCGAAACACCCCACTTGCGACATTGTCCGCGAGGAGGGCCATCGATCTCGCCGCGCTGACGCTCTCGGCTGCTTGCAGGACCTCTCCTATCCAGGCGAGGGGCACAACTGGCGCAGCATCATCTTCTCGCTGCTGGTCATCAGCACCGTCATCGCCGGCATCGTCACCGCCATTTACCTGCTCGGGTCAGTACTCTCGTCGCCGGGGGCGAGAAAAGAGCGGCTCGATTAACGTGGCGGCGGCGGCGGTGCCGCTGGTCTGTCGGTAGGTACGTGGACGAACTTCTGTACTGGAGCGGTCGCCGACTGACGCTGGAGGAGTGCCTGCACGGCGACTTGACTCCCCGCAGGCTGCCGCCCTCTTGGATATCGCACGACAAATTCGTCTACCAGGCGGACGACGGTTCGCTCGGCCTTCTCGACACCTCCAACAACTCCATCTCGCTTCTGGTGTCCAACCACACTCTCGTACGTATGCCGCCGGGGCCCTCGCGACGCATTATCGCCGTGCCGGTAGCGTCCGTGCACCGCGGCCACGGGGGGAGGTCTCTCGAGCGAAACCGCGGGATGGACCGCGACGGCTCGGCCGATTTCGCGCGACCTGCCGGAGATTTAATCAAAACGCAGCTGTCTTGGTCGCCGGCGGATTAAGCCGCGACGGCCAAATGCAATTAAGGGACCTGCCCGGCACTGTGCCAACGAGCGCGCGCTCGCGCGACCGGGACGAATGGTAATGCAGTGATTTGCATAAACTGGCGACCCGCCCCGAAGAAAACCCGCGGAAAAGGTAACGAGGCAAGTAGTGGGCAGTCGCCGCGTCCGCTCGACGGTGTTCCAAAACTTCCAAAGACAAGCCAGCCGCGTGATTTTCCGGTCGACGGTTGGATTTATTATTTTGTCTCGGCAGATCAGGAGCCAGCAACAGCTTTTCTACGGCCGCCACCTGCCACCTGCCACCTGCCACCTGTTCACTCGCCCCCCGATATCGCTTCGACCCGCTGATTTATGCGAGCACGCACACGCGTACGCGAAAGCATCCTCGGGCGGGTGCGCGCGGCGAAGAGCGAGAGGGTGCGCGCGGCGCATTGATCCATCCGCGCGCCCGGCAACCACCTCTCGTCTCTTTTCCTCTTTCCTCGTCCCCGAGACCCGAGAGGGAGCCCTTTTATGCTTTTGTCCCTCTCTCGGCCTTTTTTTTCAATGCGTCCCGCGCCAGCTCAGATTCGAGTACATTTATGGAATTGCGGGTGTATTTCAATGCGACACTTGTTTTACGATAAAACGCCGCGACACACGGCCAATGCGACGCCGCTTGCAAGTTACGTTCTCAAAATTCTTTGCCTTGCTCCTCTGCTACGTGCTTTCACGAATACTGATTCAAGTTTCTGAATTTCGAATTAGTCATTAATTCATATCAACGCGATCTTTCGTACAACGGATCTCATTGTTTTCGTGGCGAAAATACTTTTATTTATAGCTTGGCGTAAAAATTTAATACGTATATTACGAAATATTTGCTTAATGATCCTCTATCTTTTATAACGTGTAGTTACGTAGACAATCGTTACATTTTTTTTCGCGCAATGTTTTTTCTTTGGACAAAGGATCTACGTGCATCGCAATTGAATAGTAACAAGTTTGAACATACGGGAACTAGAGTTGTGAGCTATGAAATATATCAAGATCGTGTTGCCACGTATTTTTATATGCAAGACATTTGTAGCCGACGCAGTAATGTATCTCTCGGGGAAAATCACTGGAAATTCATTATAGTTAGTAGCAAGTACTACTAACAATTCATGCCGACCCTCGAAGATTAACTATCTAGTGACCTGTGGCAAACTAAATATAGTATCCTAGACTTGTTCCGTCTTCCGACCCTCTCTCTCTCTCTCTCTCTCTCTCTCTCTCTCTCTCTCTGCCAGCGACTATTTGAAGAAGTAGAACAAAGAGAAAGTCCTGGCTCTCCGCCCACTTGTTTCTGACCTTTTCTCTCCCTTTTCGAGGCAAACTCGCGCGGCACACGGACATTCGCGGTCCGTTAATTTTTCAGCGCGCTCTCTGTCTTCCTCTATCGCTGTTTGTCTGCACGTCCCTTTTTCCTGCGGTCCGAAGGGTCGCGCCCTGTAACTGGTTCGCTCGGAACGAATTGCCATTCCTTCTTTTTCGTTCGTTCTCTCTGTATCTCTCTCTTCCACGGCTTGCCAGCGAGGTGCCGCACCGATTTTTCTCTCCCACCAGAGAGCACATTACGGCTTCTTGCTGACCTGTGCGCGCGATTTCCCCACTGGCCCTCCACACGCTCCGCTCGTTCTGCTTTTATTTCGCCCGCCTCGAATCGACGCCCCCCCCCCTCAGACCTTATTTTTTTCTTTTTTTTTTGGTTTTTTCGGTGCCCGAACGAGCGTCAAGAGAGAATGTTTTATACGCGACTCGAGGTAATGGAAGCGTAAAGTACCCAACTGTCGATGTGAAAGAAAAAAAAGCGCAGCGACGCTGTCGTTGCGCGTCTGCATCTCCGTCGCGCGGAATTCAGAGCTTGGTCGCGCTACGTGTATCCATTTCTCGAGATCAATTATTCCCTTTTCCGTGCCTGCATAAACGTGACGGTGCATTTTTTTTCCTTTTTTTGCGCTCTCGGTTATTTCCGATCTGTGCAACGTCGACACAGGCATCCCACGCACGATCAATAAAAAGCAGTCTTTCGCGACCTACCCCTCGCGAAAGCGCAAACACGTAGCGCGTACGCGAAAAAAAAATGTAGAGCGGAACGGTGGACCGATAATTAGAAAGTCTCGAGGCTTTTGTTAGCGGTAGCGCGAAAGGATGCGACCGCAAATCGGCCTTGGTGCATAAAAGAGTAATTAAAATCGCGAGCAACGGGAAGCCGCCGCGAGGTAATATCGTGCAGCCGCTGGAATAAAAAAAATAGAGTACGCGACCGAATGGAAAGAGAAAGTGGCGCTGGTTCCGATAAAATTTTTTCGTCGTGCAATCGCGCAATCGACTGCTCGTCAGCTCTACGAGATCGCGACGAAAGGGAGGTGGTAATCGCGTAAAGCAGTTGTTTTTTCGCGCCTGCAGAGGCAGCTGAACGTGCAAGGCTACCAGTGCAGCGCGGACCTACGCTACGTGCTGTTCAAGCACAACGTGAAGCCGGTAAGCAAAGAGCTCTGGCCGGTGACCGGCAGGGCGTACACCAGCACGCAGACGAGTCGCGCACACGTATCCTCTCTGGTGTTTGCGCCTCACCCCCTGTTGCAGGTGTTCCGGCACACGTCTACTGCTCATTACACCGTGTACGATGTCACCAACGAGTAAGTAACTCGCGTCTTGCCTGCGCTCGACTCGTTTCCTCTCGGGCCTGTCGCGCGCATCGTCGCGCTCGTCCGAATCGCTCGCGGGAAGCTACGGCGTCAGAGCCACGCCTCGCTCGCTTCGATTAGGCATTACAAAGTTGACGATCACCTCTTAGCGCGCCGTGGTCGCGAGGCAGAGCGGCTCGCCGGTCGATCAGCGCAGGCGAGACGACCGAAAACATGTCGCGGGCGCGACACGCGACACGCGACACGCGACACGCGACACGCGACAAGCGACAAGCGACAAGCGAGCTAACCGCAGCGGTGTGCGATGTTGCGCAGCCACCACATGCCCCTTCGGCTGCAGGCCTCGTCGCGGGTCCAGCAGACGCCCTTCCAGCACGCCGCCTGGCTTGGCAACAGCACCGCGCTGTTGATGGTCTCGGACAACGACATCTACGTGCGCAGCTCGCCCACCTCCAACGAGGACACCAGGCTCACCGACACCGGCGTGCCCGGGATCATTTACAATGGGGTGCCCGACTGGCTCTACCAAGAGGAGGTCCTGCCCCGGCCCGACTGCACCTGGCCCAGCTCCGACGGCTCTCACCTCATGTTCGCCAGCTTCAACGACTCCAAGGTTCTTACGTAGCTCTCGATCGCAGCGAATAAAGCGAATGACCGTGCTGCCTTAATCCCTTGAGCCAGCCATGCGATTCGCTCTCCTGAGATCCTGTCGCTTATCCACCTAAATTGTCCATCTGCCGACCGATTCGTCTCATCCCTGTTCGCAAAGACAATTACGAGAGAATATTGCACTCGTGATTGCTAATAATCCGGTAAAACGGAGATTCTGAAAAAGCCCTTGCAAATCGTATGGTTGAATGAAGCGAGCGAATCGACACAGTGGCAAGCGATTCGCTTTGTTCGAAGCTCAATGCGCTTAATCCAGACGACCGTAATCTGTTCTGACGTAAAGCTTTTTTGAATAGTACAATTATTTAAACGGTAAAACGAGACTTGTGACTTTGGCAAGCTCCCATCTCATAAGACCCGTGATTGCAGTTCTGGCAATCGATGCCTGCATCAAAATGAACGGTTAGCGCGTCGAAAGGATCGTTTGTAAATTTCCCAAGCAAATACTCAGAGCCAAGGGAGACCGACGAGGATTCAGCGGTAACAAGCTTAACAGCACTGATGAACCGACAGGTTACTGCTTTGGAATTCCCGTGGTTCGGAGCGACGATGGGCAGTGATGTGCAGCGCAAAGGTGTATTCCCGCCTGCCAGATCGGTGAGATACCCCACGCCGGGCTCTCCCAACCCCGAGGTGGACGTTTGGATTGTGGACTTTGCCAACGTGACAACGGCCTACAACAATACTACTAACACAACCAGCTCCACTCCTAATAAAGTGAAACTCAAGCCGCCACCTGTGTTTGACGGCCAGTAAGTCTCTTGTTCTCTCTCGGCTCTTCCCCTGTTTCTCCCCTGCTTCTCCCCTGCTTCCCCCTGCTTCTCCCCTGCTTCTCCCCTGCTTCTTGGTGCTGTTCTGCTAATTAGGACTTAACTAGGCCGGCAAGACTTAGCAGACGGCTATTAGCCGCTGATAGGTTTGCTGATTAAAATTGTCAAAAGACGAGGCATGTCATTCTTTTATTGAAATGAGAACCCGGCTAAAGAATTCTTTACAATCGCTTGGAAAATCATTCTTCATAACTAGAATTGTTAACTGGAATCATCATTTCTGGAACAAACGAAACAAAAATCTATCAATCTAAAAGTGTCTTTTCTTCAAATAAGTAAAGAAACGCGACTATTTTTTCACAAAATGATTAGTTGTTATGGTGTACGTTAACAGATCATAGCAGAATGATAACAGCTCTTACATTTGCCGTGTAGTTGAGAGACCAACTAACGTTAAATGGTGAAAATAAGTGCCTTGTTTTTTCGTTTTATTCTAAAACTACCTTTTTCGTAAGGCATTCAGGATAAGCTACAATTTTCGTGATCGTCAATTTCAAAGTCTCAAGTATACACCGCGAAAAATCATCGTTCACATAAAATTGTGTTTTGTAAAAGAATTTATCGCTGATTACGATCTTAAGCATCAGGGTGAACGAAAATCTTTCTTGCGAGGTTCGTGTTTGTTCGTTAGCGTCCCGGACATTCAGACGAGTGATTTTCGAATAAAATCATTTTTTGCTCAATCAATATTTTTTCAATAAAAATTCGACATGAAATTACTTGTTCATTGAATGTCCAGATGCTAACGAATAATATAAGCTCCTAAAAACTCTTTCGTTCACTCTAACGCCCGGAATAATGCCCAGCCCTTGAATCCCTGATATAAATAAAATGTTGTATTAATGACTTTTGTGTGTGTGTGTGTGTGTGTGTGTGTGTGTGTGTGTGTGTGTGTGTGTGTGTGTGTGTGTGTGTGTGTGTGTGTGTGTGTGTGTGTGTGTGTGTGTGTGTGTGCGCGCGCGCGCGGGAAGGGCCGGGCATACTCGAGATTTTTGAAATTTGAGAGGAAGAGGGAAAGTTTCACGAGCATATAACTGCTTCGTTAGAACGGTTTTGACACGCCAAGAAAGACAAAGTGGAACCTTTCCTGCTTAGCATCGCTTCGTCCCCTCAAAAGCAGGAATGTTCTTTTTTAGTGTATACGCTCCTATAGCCGTGTATAGCCATCCCGTTAGACTCGAGAGCCAGCAACTCGTACGAGCGAGAATGATCGCGACAGCGAAGGCAACGATGATTGCAGGGAGTATTACCTGATATCGGCGGGCTGGATCGGCGAGGACTCGTCGCAGGTAGCGGTGGTGTGGATGACGCGCTCGCAGAACCTGTCGGTGGTGTCGGTGTGCCGCGCGCCCAGCTGGGAGTGCGAGGAGACGCACTCGGAGCGCGCGCCCGAGGGACAGTGGCTGGACGCCCAGCCTCACCCGGTGTTCGCGCCTGACGGCGACAGCTTCCTGCTGCTCGCGGCCGTGCAAGAAGGCGACCAGGAGCACTTCACGCACATCAAGCACGTCACTCTCACCCAGCAGAGAATCGCCGTGCTGTCGCACGGCCGGTACGAGGCGAGTAACCAGGCGTTGTCGTTCTGCGTGCCGAGTCCTCGCGAGCTCGATACAAATGTTGAAATCGCAAATAGCATACCAGTCGTTATTCGTACATTTGATGGTAATTGCTGGCCCGAATTTCGAAAAACGAAACAAGGCCTAATTGCGCTAATAAGTACTAGGTTCAAATCACTTTTGCAGTTGTAGCGTATTGGACAGGGATGTCGACAGTTCCTCGTCCCTCTTGGCATTCTTCACTAGAGCAAACAGTTCGGTGAGCTGCTTCTTCACGGTGGCAATGGCTTTGTCCACCTTGGCCACGGACCTCGAATCGACGCGCTTAGCAGGCTCCAAAGTAACTTCCATAAGCGTCCAGTTGGCTCTTAATTTTTCCAGCACCTCTTCTTTGTGCGACCAATCGTGGTTCTTGCACCACTCCTCGAACTCACTGATGTAGAAATTTAAGTCATTGAGGGCTTGCTGGAGGAGGAACAGGTTGGAGCTTTGCTTGAGACTCCTTCGGGTTTCGCTGTCCATTCGCTTACGGCGGTTGCGATTCTGCGCCGGTGATCTTCGGGACTCGTTCACATACTGTGCAAACCTGCTGTGGCTCGGCATCGTCGTGACGTGCTGGGACCGTGCGATCCTTTGCGTAGCATTTCACTGAACGGCGTTGGCAGGTCAAGCCGAACGCCGGACAACCTGCGATCGCTAGCTCGCTCGGTGTCCGTTACTCCCACCCTCGCGCCACTGATATTTTCTCCAATCGTCAAGCAGTTCTAAACGCTCGCATTCTGCATCGTGACGCCCACTTCGACATGTGATACCGCATCTGTCGGTTGTTTCGGAGCCTACTTCCTCTCCGCTCTCGTAAACGTCGTTTTTCCACGTATCGCCTCAATTCACTTTCGAAATATTGAAAAATTTTCCAGACCGATATTTGCTGCGCACGTCAAACAAATTTTTTTATCTACAGTTCAAATTATTGGCTTTACTTTTATTTTCGATCGAATGATGCCGCAATCACGTCATTGCTAATGCAATACGTTGCTGGATTATTTTGCAAGGGCGTAGCAAATCATTCGTCGATATTCCGTAATTTATTATATCTGGTTCTGTAAAATGAAAAGAAAAAAAACGATCAACTTAGGAAAAGAATATGAAATGGTTGAGCGATAACTACAGCTTACGCGCAGCCCCACCAGCCACGATTGTCGCGTCAAGAAATTTTCCGTCCAAGCAGCCTCCCAAAATACATGTCCTTTGTCCCATTCACTCGGTCTACCAAAGTAGCTCGATCTATGGTATCTGAGCAAAGAAAAATAGCTCGCCACGTACCTACAGCGACGATTAGCAGCATTGGACGCGTCCCATCGATGGTTCCTTTCTCTAGAGTATTTATTTAGGCCGCGAGCACAACTGTTCATCTTGTTGCGGCAAATAAATACTTGGATTTCCTACCTTTCCGACAGCGAATAGCTGGAAATGGAGTTTGATACTCGCGTGTGAAAACCGTCGTCTTTCTTTCCCTCGCTAATTGCCGGCCCTGGTTACGAGAGCTCGTGTTGTTGACGCCATAGGTCAGCGAAATTCTGGCCTGGGACACCAAGTCCCACCTGGTCTACTACTTGGCGAGCAAGGAAAACAGCCCCGGCCAGAAGCACTTGTTCTCGGTGAAAGACCCGATAGCCGACGATCCTCGCCGAGTGGAGCCCTACTGCGTGACCTGCGAAATAGGCGACTTGCAGTGGAACAGCCGGCTCTACTACACCAACTGCTCGTACTTCGGGGCGTCGGTGAACCCTCCGCTCGGCGACGAGGCCGCGCAGCCGCGGGACGACGAGGAGTTTGGCTACTACGTGCTGTACTGCAACGGTCCGGGACTGCCGCTGGCCGCGGTGCACTCGATGCGAAGCAACCGGATGGTCAGGGTGCTGTACGACACAAGGATACAGAGGGCCGAGCTGATGTCGCAGCTGGCGCTGCCCAAGCGGCAGAGCTTCGAGGTAGGCCCCCTGGGGAGGGGGGGGGGGGGGGGTGACTTCGAGCTAAGCGCCGAGCGCTTCTAACTCGACGGGGCTGTCGCTGTGGTTGGTGGGGCCAGGTGCCGCTGCCGCAGGGCTGGCGCGCGCAGGTGCAGCTGCTGCTACCGCCGTCGTGGCGCGAGGAGCTGCGCGACGCGGCCTTCCCGGTGCTGGTGGAGGTGAACGGCCGGCCGGGCAGCGCCGCGGTCACCGACCAGTTCGGCATCGACTGGGGCACCTACATGTCCAGCCACAACGACGTGGTGTACGTGCGCCTGGACGTGCGCGGCTCGCGCGGCCAGGGCAAGCGCGCGCTCTACCGGCGCATCGGCGGCGTCGAGGTGCAGGACCAGGTGACGGTGCTGCGCCACCTGCTCGACACCCTCAAGTACCTCGACGAGTCGCGCGTCGGCGTCTGGGGCTGGGGCTACGGAGGATACGTCACCGCCATGGTCCTCGGCAGCCAGCAGGGCGTCTTCAAGTGCGGCGTCGCCGTCAATCCCATCGCCGACTGGCTCCTCTACAGTCAGTCATCCGTGCCCGCTTGGCCTGCCCCGGGCTACTTCGTGCGCCACCTCCTTCCCCGCGCGACCCTCGAACTTGCTGCGCTTTCGCATCGCGCAGACACGAAACTTATCGACCGTTCGACCGGTTCTTCGCTTTCCTTTTCAAACCTTGTCTCAGCAACGAAAAATTCGATCGGGATCGACAATCGATAAATGAGCTTTCCCGCGAAATGCGAAGTGCGAAATGCGAAATGCGAAATGCTAAATGCGAAATGCGAAATGTTCAGTTTGCTTACGAATAAATGAACAACTTTTTTTTCGTCAACGTTTTCATTTTACAAATTCACGTTCCGTTGTGTTCTCCGAGGTTTTTTGCTCGGGATCGAGTAATACAAAAAAATGCAATCTGCAGGCGAAACGTCGTTCCACAGAAGAAAACGGATGCGACGCGTCGAGCTCCGTGTCAGCGACATTGGCGCCACGGCACCAAGTGCCCAAACAACCTTTATGCATATTTGCTTGCTCGGAGGTACATAGTAAGAATGTACGTAGAAATGTAGTCGTTCAAGAATTTTCCAGAACACACTCAGTACTCGGCAGTATCGTTCATTTTTATAGTTGATGCATTTCACTTCCTTGTCCTCTCCAAACTACTATTTCATTAAAATTTCACGACAAATATAATAATACAATATAATAATTTTTTTCGCTAATATAAATCATTAGAGCAGCTGGTTAACAGTTGAGTTCAGAAGGTTGTCTATTTTTTATAAACAGTTATATATTATTCGATAGGGAGCGAAAATCGAGTTTTGCTGAAAAAGACGATTTTATGATTTTATGCACCGATTAGTAGAAAGTATAGAACTCGACATCGTCGCAATCAATTTTTCCTATTCCGGAAAGTGATTTGTGTTCTCGTTAGACAAACTCATTTTTCTCTCCTTATTACACAGTAATGTTACTGTTATTATTATTTCAAGAACTACGTTGAGGCGGAACGCTGCAGGGGTACACTAGGTACTTGCAGGCATGAGTCTTGGCTCCCTATAGTAATTAGCACGTAGACTATATAGCATGTACTGCTATAGTCTAGGGTACTTGAACAGTTACTGCACTATGATTGTATAATGTACGATACCTATGAAAATTCTCATTTTTATGATACGAAAAGTATTAAAAAAGAGTTTCCGTTGAAATAAAAAAATTGAACGTAATTTGTGTCTCGAGTCGCGTACTTTATTTTACATAGTTTGCTTTTCCAAGAACTCGAATAATCGAAGAAGACGATAAGTTTACGCAAAAATATTTGTATAGACAGCAGTTCCGCTACGTAGTAAGTACATTATAAGTAGTGTGCATAACGTGATAAAAGTTGAACATTTTCTGAATATTTTGCAATAGAGCTCATTCCGACAGAATTTTGTCGTTGCTGAGATATGATATTCCCAAGAAGTATGCACATAACAATAGTCTCAATCGTTAACGAGTTTGGAGACAACCGATACGTGATCCGAAAATTGGTCGGAGGCAAGGACGAGCGCAGCCGCAGCAAGCTTGAAAGGCGGTCGAGTTCGGTTGTGCGAAGGAATCGGTTGTGCGAACTAGCCGGGAACGCGGCTGCCGGCGAGGACTGAGACGAGGCGAAAAATCGATTGCAGACTCGGCGTTCACGGAGCGCGTGCTGGGGCCGCCGTCGGAGAACTACAAGGCCTACGTGGAGGCCGACCTGACGCAGCGGGCGAGGCTGGTGCCGAGTCACAGCCTGTTTCTGCTGCACGGCATGGCCGACCACACGGCGCCCTACACCCACGGAGTCTACCTCGCCAAGGCCCTGACCGAGTCGGGGGTGATCTTCCGATACCAGGTGAGCTCGCGAGCGCGATCCTCTTGGCAATGCGCATGAGACACGACGCACACGCTTTGCAGAGCTACGCGGACGAGGACCACGCTCTGACGGGCGTGCTCAGCCACGCCTACCGTTCCATGGAGGACTTCCTGACCCAGTGCCTCGCCCTGGACATCTCCTCCTAGTGCCTCAGCGGACAAGCGACCGTCGCGGCCTCGTCGCGGCCTCGTCGCCACTTGTCTCTCCGATCTGCCGTTCGCCCCGACGACGGCGGACGTCGAGGCAGGGCTCGCGTCGCTCGCGTCGCTCGCCCACCACTCGCACTTGGGCTTCGCCCACTTGCTTTCGGCCACTTTCGCGGTCGTCCGGCAGCAGGCTGATCCGAGCCCTGTCCCCCGAACCCTGCCACTCGTCGACCAAAGGAATCGAGTCCGCGATACAATCACACCTGGAAACCAACTGTCGATATTTACTGGTTGTCCGTTTCGAGCTCCGCGCACGGCGCGCTGCGCCCAACTCATTCGTGTACGGCTTTCTGCGTCTACTCGGCTAACTTTAACCGAGAGCCAACAGCTGTAATATATATAATATTACGTTTACGACTATCACGCCTAGGGATGTAAGAATAGCAACAGAGAGCGAGTTATCCACTTTCGGCCTCACCACAACTTACGCATGCGCGCTGCACGAACTTGCATACAAGGTACACTTTGAGAGATATTTGTACATAACTATTCAACGTGCATCAATATTGTTATCGCGAAAATTAAAAAAAAAAGAAAAAAAAAAAGAAAAAAGAAAAAAAAGCGATTATTATTATTATTATTATTATATATAATGCAAATAAGTTGTCGAGATTTATTGCGAAAAGTCACTCTTTGAATCTAGGTATGGTCGTTACTGTTATTGTTGTAACTATCATTGTCACTGGGTCAGGATAAAGAGAACTGCGAAAAGAAAAAAAAGAAAAAAAAAAGAAAAAAAAAAAAGAAAAAAAAGAAAAAAAAAGAAAAAAAAAGAAAAAAAAGAAAAAAAAAGAAAAAAAAGCGAGGCGAGAGATAGAGCCGTGCGTCCTGGTCGGCCCGCTAGAAGGATTCGAGCGAGCGCGACGAGGACGCACGGCACGGACGAGAATAAATCCGCACGCTGTGCGCGCCGCAGCAGCCCTTATATGCCGACAATCAAGGCTAGTGCAAGTAATCAAACAATAAGTAAGTCGATAAGGAAAAATGTAAGCGTAGTAGCGATATGATAATAGTTAACTGCTGGCTTGCGTCGCCGCCGCGGGAGGAGGAGGAGGAGGACGGTAGGTCGACGGGCTCGCGAGCTTACCTCGCGCGCGGATAGCGGGGCCTGGTTGAATCGAGCTTCATTCAGTTTTTTCCGCTCAGCGAGCGGCGCTTATGCTGTCCCGCGCGCACGCGGACACGCAAATACGAGCTGTCGCGCGTGGAACGACTATACGACGATACACGATACATGCAGATTATTTATGCCACTTGTTATTTATATATTAACGTATGTGCAATTCATAGTCGGTGTAAAATGTTGCGTAGAATTGACACGAAACACGGTGCTGTTGCTATTAGTTGTAATGGAGTCATCTGATTAACGATGAGATACGATCGTCGATGTGTGTTTGTGTGTGTATTCAAAAGACAAAGTGTTTTACGGAGCATTCGTGTGCATTGCAGTAGGTCGGAAAATTTACCAAAAAAAAAGAAAAAGAAAAAGGAAAAAAAAATCAAGTTTATCGTTGGTCGATGTGTAATACGATTGCAGGCTGGGCTCGATCGGAGTCGCGCGAGTTACGACGCTGACGCCGCAATTTTTCGTCGACTCGTTGCCACGATTCAATTAGTTTTTTCCTCCGCCCGAGTCTTTCCGCGACGAACAGGAAACTTCGCGCCGCGCGCATATAGCTCCGAGGACCGTGATGCAGACTTTTCGAATACGTCACCGGTAAAAAGTCTCGTGCCAAAAGTTTCGCGATGGACCGTCGCGTATCTCACGCCCAGCGCCGGGCGTTGTTTATATAGTGGAACGCGGCGACAAATAAACACCGAGATAAAACGCACGCGCGCGCGCGAGCTATGGGAGAAAGTTGTTGAATTTCAGATATTCGACGGCGACTGCGTCGTTGCCTTCGCGGCCTCGTATACTGACTCGCGTAATTTAGGGGCGCGTCTTTTATTTTGCTCGCGCATGACGTTACAATCGAGGATGTGGGCGAGCAATTCGGCCGCTGGTTTTGCGCCGCGATCAGTCATTAAGTGTTAAACGTATAAACGTTCGAACGTTTTAGAAAGGATTTTGGACTTTGTTTTTTATTCTATTCCGAACGAGTTTAAAATATTCGAGGGCTCTATATCATTGCGTTGCGCATATGTAGACATTACAAATTATTTGAAGAATAATGAAAAACATTTCGTGTTTTTATATATCACGTTATAGACTTTTGTACACCAGAACGGATTGTAATGAACTTCCATCTAGAGATTGTTTCAAATTTATTAACACGTTTTTCAAGCTCTTTTTTCGATCGTAACATTGATAAACATATTAAACTGTAGCGTAAGTTTATTGTACAAAAATGAGAAAGTTTGTAGATAGAAAAATAAAAGTTGACTTCTCGTTATGATCTCTGGAGCCCACGGGAAAAATGCGTTAGATCACAATAATAATCACAATGTACGAGCGGACACTTAACGTTCTCGCTAGTAACGCATAGAAATAATCTACAGCTTGATAACATTTAACAAGAAGAAAGCGGCCGCTAACCCAGCTGAAGAAGGATGCACCGACGAGAGCGCGAAACTCAATCAAAATCGCTATTTAAGGAATCTCAAATTTTTGCATTTTCTATCGAACCTTATCCCCGACTTTTTCTCTCCGAAATCTGTTTGTGCTTTTTCGTCTTTTGTAAAAAATGAATGTCAAAAGTCTACGTGTGTCGACGGAAACAAAAATATATTTCTAATCGTTCTAGCTTCTTACCAGAAACTTGCAAAATTTGAGTTTTCCGAAGCTGTGGGCAACAAATTTGTACAGGCGCGAAAAGACTCGCCAGCGGCGCTGATGGTGAAAGATCTAAATTGTAAGTGTCGCTTTAGTCGTCGCTGCTTTGGCAAAAGAAAAAGATAATCGAAAACAAAGAAACAAACAAAAAAAGACTTTCGTACGAATTTTTCAGACTCCTAAATTAGGAAAAGGAGACTCTGGAAGCTCGAAAATGAATCTGCGTCAATTACACTGAGCAAAGCGATATGTTAGTTACGTATAATATTAGAGAGAAGCGCATGGTGATGTGACAGCGCCGTCGAACTTGCGATTAGCACCAGTTATTATCTTCCACCGTAACACTCACGAGATAATCATGTTACTAAGACTCTGCGTTTTTTAATATCAGCGAGACGAGGCACGGCCCGAGTATGTCGGGCGGGCGACAATGTTTTCAATAAACTGTTACATTACCTGAACCCTTATGTTATCTGTCTTGCAATTTGCTTGAATCCAATCGTTATTTTAACAGTTGTTTATAGACGCAAACAAACGATAGTCGATAAATATTTTCGTTCAACTAGAGTCGCCAGATCTTTTCTATTTATAACCAATAAAAAGCCCGATACACTTTTTGATTTCTCATTACATCTTATATAAAATATATTAACCATGAAAGAAATCAAAAGTGAACATGAAAATGACTTGAAAAGGATTTGCAGAAAAAAGAAAAAATTCAATTTCGATGAGAAAGCAGTAAGACGATCCTGGCAGCAGCGCAGAAAGTAACTGATTTCAACAAATGTCGGATACTTCACTTGCAATTTTTACGGTACATTTCATTTCGTAGAAGTAGATCATCCCGCAGGCGCCACCACTCTTGGGATCCCGCAATGAAATCCAAAAGTAGCTCTCGCCTAAAGAGGCGATCCAGGTCGGGCTCCACATCAAGCTCCAAAAGTGTTATTTGTTTGGGTAAATGTGAAAAAATTCCACCGGTGATTGTGATCGACGACAATAGCGACGATGACAAACTGCAAACAGTCAAACGAAAACTTCGAAGACAAAGGGTCACTTGCTACAGCTACGCGGACGGAAAAGATAAAAAGGCGACTCGAGAAAACAGGCAAAAAAGGCATTTCTAATGTTGTTTTATTGCTCTCCCAGCTAAAAATGACGTTCTATTATGATCGTAGCTTACGAAACGAAGTGGAACTTCTGAACAGACTTAGAAAAATATACGTGAATTCAGCAACGGCAAGTAAAAACCAATGGAATAATTAAAAGAACAACGGACATTGGTACTCAAGTTATACAATCAGTTACGATATATTATTTTTTATAGGCATAAATTAGAAGGTCGATCATCCTAATATTTGCAATGCTTATGAAATAAAAACTTGTTTAACTAGGATACCGATTAAATTACAGTAATCGTTATAAAAAAATAAAGCTATTTACAAGTTTGTCATGCCATACTCAATAGATATTATGCATACTTACATAAAAATGACAAAATTGAAATAAATTTGCAAACTGATTGATTAGTAAATGGCACTGGAAAAGACAAGTAATAAAAATATTCTTGTCAAATATAAAAATTGTCTCTAAAAGTAACTTTTGTTCTGAATTTTAGTGGGTATATAATATTCAGATAAAAAATGTTTCATTGGCTTGTCGACGTTTTCAATTTCGGCCTTGCCCAATTTCATCTCATTCAAATGTTGTGAAAAATCCACGCCCACGTAGCAGCGATTTGACAAGTCTTCGATTTTCTTCAAATCTTTTTCTTTCAGTGGGATTCTTGATATGCCTAGTAACGTCAAATCTCTTTGATGAATGCCAAGCCAACGCATTTTAGGACAAAGTAACTGCTCTCGAAATCCTGAATTGTTTGATGTTCCAAATCTGATAAGATATGAGTGTCGATTGGCGTTCAATTGTATGGCTGCGAATAAAAAAGCGACATCAACTACTACTCACCTATAAACGCACATTATCTCGAAACCATAAGGATCCGCGTCAACGAGCGCGTAAACCGGCAAGGCTGCCTTCTCCGAGAGCAAGCTGACAATCATCCTTGACGGAATGTCAGGATAGCCCTTGGCAGTAATCATGATGCACTTGTTGAAGGCGGGACAACCCTCGGCCAAAAGCCTCTGGAACGCGGAATCTTTTTCGACGACTAGCACGTACTCGGCGCTCGTGCGAACTCGCGTCACGTTAGGTATGACGTCTGGCACCGCTTGGCAACTCTGCGGCGCGTAATCCTTCACTACGTCTTCGATGTACAGACTCAGGTCACCAGCGATCAAGCCTTTACTCGTCGTTGTGAATCCTGAAATACATGCAGTCAGGTTTCACTGTCAGTTCGCGTTATTTACGCGAAGTAGCGTGTTCGTTAATATATATGCCCACCAATTTCCCAAGGCGCGCAATCGAGCATCGTGGCAACCTCGCCGATGCACAAATAAACCTTTTCTGGCTTGTCGAGAAAGCGTTTGACAGGCTCGTTCTTCAAAGAGTAATAGAACGCTCTCTTGGTGCAGTAAAAGGAGTCGCTCGTTTCGTCAACGTTAGCGATCAGTTTCGCGTGGACATACTCCAAAATCCTCATGATTATGGCAAACCTCTTGCGAGTGGCATTCCCGCTGAACTTGAGCATTTTTACGTGCCCAACCGAGTCCTCGGACGATTCGCTTCTATCCCCCATGCCGTCACTGCCGGTACTACCCATGCTCTCGCTGCTGTTGCTACTCCAGCCAGAACTTTTGCCATCGGCGTATACAAGACTGGGTGTCTCGTTTCGACTTATTGCTATGATCAGATCGCTTAGGACATCTTCGATGCGACTTATTATTTGCTGCCTGCACATACGCATACTGCCACTGTATCAGGTGTCATTCGAACTGTTGTTATTCGATACAGATGCATTCGAATGGCGCACTGGCAGACGGTTTTCACGATCGAACGCTCGTTTCGTTGACATACCGATAATCGTGAAAGACTTTATTGAGCTATTCAAATATACGTAGGGACGACACAGTTTTATCGAAAAAATAACGATTATCGAACGTTCAACCAAAAACTCGATTCGATTTGCTAAATAATACGTTACTTATAAAAAATGAATTTACACATTCGCAAGACTTACCTTCTCTCAAAAACATTTGCTTGTGAAACTTCGTAAACTTTATCATCCGGGGTGTCTACGTTCATTTGATTGTCAGCCTCCATCGCTTTATTCGCTGGATTTTCACACGGAAAACTTGATGCAAACGTTGATCGCGAAATCGTAATAACCGACGTATGGAACGTGGTTGAGTATTTACCCCGTGTAGTTGAAGCAGTTACAAGCTCTATTTTCGTCCGTTAGGTGCCGCTGGCATGCAGGATAGAGAGGCAGATGCATGTTACCGACCTGGCGAAACGGAGAGGCGCTTATTTCGAAATCGTTCGGAATAGCACTCTCGACGGTCCGAACGCGACGGCAAGTAAAATCTCGTAAAGCGCGCAATGAGAATTTCAAAAGAGACGAAGGGTCTTAGATTCGGTCGTCGGTATAATGTCGCGCTCAAGGGTGCGTAGATAATGTACAGCGAGGATCATTCACGCGAATGTTTACGACGCGAGAGAGAGAGAGAGAGAGAGAGAGAGAGCGAAAGCGCAGCGCTGACGATCACTTCGCGGTTGGTCGTTTTACAGCTCGTTCTCGTCCCTGTCTCTCGCTGTTCCTTTTTACTGCGCTGGCGAATGAGCGTCTCCTCGGATTTACTACCCGCGTAAAAGGCCCAATATATTAACGAATTCCCGCGATCACGCCCCCACGGAAGAATTGGCGAAAATGCTATAGGAGGCGCGATGCACGGTGAGCGGAAAACGGGAGGTGGAGGGGTCGATTCGAGTGTGCGGAACGGTAGTCGCGAGCTACGGGCCCCACTGTCGCAGAGTGGCCCCATTCAGCGCGTAAGGAGCTCACAAATGCGCAGCAGGGAGTCGCTTTGCTCGCACGCGCGCCACCCGAGAAAGTCCGTTTGTGCGTGCGTGTGTTGTTGCTGTGAGAAATGCCACGCACCGATGCCTCGGACTGATGCCTATCTCTCGAATCGACCTTTCTTCCCGGCCACTCGACTCTTGACGACTTCTTTCCCTTTTCATTTCACTTTTTTTTCACCTCGACTCATCGATTTCGCCTTTATTTTGGAGTTGATAAGCTAGCCGCTCGATGACAACTTTCGTCTTTGTTGCGACTCGCAGTGGTCTCAGGGAACTAAGTACCCGATAAATTTCGGCGGCAATGGCTTTTTTCAACGGTGGTAAGAAAACGTGTAACGCGGTATGGTTTCGCCGGCTTTACAAACCTACTCGGGTGTTAATCGTAAAATAAAATTTTCGTACTGGCTCTCACACATCGTTTTATGATATCTCATTCTCGGGAAAAAAACACCGGCTATTCGACTGCCAGTTCTCTCGTATCCAGTGGTAATGAGCCTAATAAATATGTTTTTCAAAGATTTTTTAAAGGATTCTTCAGAAGGTGTGAAAGGGAGGCTTTATGCTAATACTTTTATTATCATATCACTGTTTAAGTAGCTATTCTTGTTGAGTAGAAAACATCAAACACCGAATGAATACATAAATTATCATATTAACTAGCCAAGAGTTCGTACAATATTTTTCACAAGCTCGCGTCAATGAAATCTTGTTGCGATTTATTGAATGAAATAAATCCTGTTAATGCTAGCCAGTCCTCGTATAATCGTCGTGTAATTCAAATGATCATCATAGACTCAGCCCCAAGAAGAATCAACATCCATATATTTGTCAGCCAAAAGTCGTTCGTTTCGGTCATTGTGGGTCAGCTGTATGTTAGCGTTGGCCAACTTATCGCGCAGCTTTGTTCTGCGTCCATTCACAAAACGTTCCACAAGCTATCGAGAAATAAAAAGGAGCGCGGTCGCGGCCATTGTGGCTGAGGGAATCTCGTAAATAGAACACAAATGCAGGCCAATTATCTGGGAGAGAGAGAGAGTCGGGCATTCGCCGTCGAGTGGTTGCAACTGCACAGCGAGAGAATAGTCCCGTGGCGTCGCGTTACAAAGCAAACAGCGGCGCGAGATCTCGCGACGGCGGCGGCGACAACGACGACGACGACGACCCCACTCGAAGGAGAACAGGCCAGATGACATTTGCATCTGCGGCGCTACAAATGTACCTACAAATTTCGGGACCATAAATATCGGATCGAGAGCGCGCGCAGGGACATTAACGAAGCCGGAGCTCGGTTGGGGGGCGCGTGCCAAAATATTTGAGGGGTGCAGCGCCTAAATAATGGACACTGCGCGCTCCTCGATAAATTACGCCGCCGCGGCAAAGGAGGACGACACTTTTCCCATATCGGCGCGCGCGCAGCATAGATGGAACGTCATTGCGCCGACACATTGTCGCTCAGATAGGCACTGCCACCCTGGAATAATTGCTCTACTTGTTCGGCCTGCTACACCTCCCCGTATGCTCTCGCGAAATAAAAGGATTTATTCATGGAAAAATAATACAGAACTATACGGTTACTCGGTCTGCGGACGACGACGCTTAGTTTCGCATTAAAGCCACTCGAGAGTCTCCGCTGCTGACAATAGCCCCTTGGATAGTATTACATTGTACGCAACAAGTACATTCGAGAAAAACAGCCCCTCGACAGACGAGAGAGAATGAGAGAGAGAGAGAGAGAGAGAGAGCCTTCAAATAACCCGTATGTATCGTCGCACGCGCAAGATAGTGTCCACACGGTATCGACGTGCCCCTTCGACGATTCGCCGTCGCTTCGTCGTCGTCGTTGTCGTCGTCGTTGTCGTCGTCGTCTTTGCGCGATTTCCAGCCACTCCACTGTCGGCGTCCTTTTCTTCCTCCTTTGTTTTGCGCATGCCAATAGTCTCTTGAATATTTTTAGCAGCCTTGCAAATTGGTCCTTGAGCTGCGGTAAAGTGCGATATTGAAAATCGTTTAAATCTCAATGAATTCGTTCTTCGATTGGAATTGCGTAGAGTTGACGTTCAGCTGATCTTCGTCTTTCACATTATATTCGTTATAATGAACTTGTTATAGCGAAGTTGAAGAATTTTGAAGGTTATTGTAGATTTTCTTCTTTGTTTCATTGCTCGCGTGACGCGTCGAGCCCGTCGTGATACGCATAAAAAACCCGCAAGTTCGCCAAAGTCCTAAAGAGTCTCGAAGATTTGCGGGAGCTCCAAGCTAGTGGGAAATGACGGAGGTGACGGTAAATTTTCAAGGGTCTCCGAGGATTCAAGTGAGCAGACTACGAGGTTGATGCGATTGCAGGGAAATCCGATCCCGTTAGCGAATGGACATTGAAAGAAAATTGGCCGAGAGACGCCCCGCGGAGACACCTTGAAAGTTTCTTCCGGCACGGATTAAGGTGGCCGAGGGGATGCGATTTTCACGCTCGATTTAGCCCCTTGTGAGACGCCGACGAGGGCTGGGCAAGTGCGACGATCCACGCATTTCTTTCTTTTTTCTCTTTCTCTCGCTCCTCCGCTACCTTTGCAATCTGATATTATCGAATTTGTCCAGCCAATTTGTCTGCAATGCATCTTTGACGGTTACGCGAGAGAGCGTTACTGCGGTGACAGTCAACTACGTGCGAGCGTTGGAAAAAACTACAGAAAAAAAACTTGTCGCAAGTGAAACTCGCTGAAAATTAGTTGCGAAAGCTTGCGCTTATAAAATCAGAGTGTAAAGTAAGTAAGTGTTACGTAAAGCGCAAATTTTAATGAGTTGACTTGTCAAGCGTGTATCAGAGCCATTGGCAACACATTTCGTAATTTGTTCTTTTCTGCTGCACGACATTCGATGTTCTTATTAGAATATGCTTAATTGGTTAGTTTGTCGAAAGTTTGAACGCGGTGCAGAGATGAAACAAGTCGTTTGGGAGGCTGACAGGAAAAAATCGCAAGAAGGTGGTATATCGTAAATAAACGAGGTCCATCCGAAAGGAGGAAGCGGCAGGATGTGACTGCAGTCCCGGTCTCGGATAAAGAAAATCCGAATCTCACAATTAAGTGTCCAATGAGGTCCTCGTAAAAGTGTATTCCAGGAAGGCAGCAGCAGCAGCAGCAGCAGCAGCAGCAGCAGCAGCAGCAGCAGCAGCAGCAGCAGCTCTTGGCAGTGATGTTTTCCGGAGCCCAGCGGGTGGCGCTCGTCGAGTGCCCTCCACGGCTCGGTAGCCCAAAGCGCGAAATTTTATTGTTGCCACCGCCGTGTTCACACACTTCTCGAGAGCCTCTCCTTTCGTTCGGGCTGCATGAATTATTCCAAGTGCGAGCGGCGCTTTTTATGGGAAAGTCTCGCGGGCGAGAGAGGGAGAGCTTTGCCGACACTTATCGCGACCTCATCAGCGATTCCGTGGCGAGCGAGAGCAGCGTCCGTCGTGAGCTGCCTATAGCCGTGAGCGAGGCGGCCAATACCTTAATTGTCAATTAGGCGCGCGAGGCCACAATTAGAGCCCGCGGGCCGAGCGAGAATATCTCGAGACTCGGAGTTTAATTGAGCAGCCTTGCTGCCCCGGCAAACTCGGGCTTGATAGAGCGATTAAGCGATCATTGTGCGCTCGCGCTTTTAGCTTGGTTCATTGGGATATTTGCTACCGCGACGCGCCGTAAAGTGCGATGTTGAATATCGCCGGAAGTGACTCTTGTCGCAGCTCTCGACGGCCGAGAGGGATTGTTTAAGATGGTAGTATACGAGCAGCTCGGCACGATTTTACGCGCGCGAGCGCGCGACGCCGAGCGGACACGCCGAAAATATATATCTGCGGCTAGGATCTCCGATGCCTCGAACGCGCTCGCCAAGATTTATCGCCGTCGTCAACCTCCGGGATGTGCCTTTTCTGCAGGCAGGCGGCGACTCTTCGCAGGTGCAACCGCGACGCGAACGAGAAAAAGCTCCTTTTTATTTTTTTCTCCTCGTTCTCTCGGATAGTCGCACCGAGTCACGCTGTCATCCCGCGCGCCTTTTCCTTCGTGCATCGGCTTTAGCACCAGGCTGCCTCGCCGATTTATGCCTGTTTCGCTTGTCAATTAGGAAATGTTTCGGTGACAATGCCGCGCGCGCGGTTACTCGGCTTAACGACCGCCTTCGCTGTAGCGCTCGAGTTTCCGGAGTGCAGAGTGGAAAAGTCAGGACTGGGAGCGAATCTCCGGATCAACTGGCGATTTATT